AGAGTGTGAGAGCATGTCAGGACAAAAATCTCAAACTCCATAACTACATCATGGAGAAGGCCAAACGGATGACGTACTCAGTGAATGTCTCAGGCAGCGGCGAGATGAGGAGGTGCTGGAGGAAGAGGCCCATCATGGGAGAACAGCCCCTACACTGGCATGTACCACCGGCGCATAACAGAAGTGGCTGATCTCAAGAAGTCCTCCTACTAATGGGCTAGAAAGGGGCTGGCATACAGGGACAGCACAGAGGCAATCATCATGGCTGCACAGGAACAGGCGATCTGAGACCAGATGCGATAGAGGCCCAGATATACCCACACAGACAAGACCCAAGGTTGTCGTGTGGTTGTGCAAAGAGGGCACCTGAGACGATCCAACCACATAACTTGCAGGGTTGCAAGATGCTGGCTAGGGAAGGCCTACATGGAACCCATAACCAAGTGGCTGCATAGTGTACTGAAACATCTGTGGAGAGTATGGGCTGGAAACCCAAGGTCTTAAGTGGGAAACCTCCTCCAAAGGTGGGTGGAGAATGAGCGTGCGACTGATCCTGTGGGAACTTCCATATACAGACCGATCCGAATGGTAATGGCAAACAATCCTGACATCGTGGTGGTAGGGACAAAGGCAGAGGACAGCCGTGGGTGGTGGACGTGGCAATTCCAAGCGATGGTAACACCGGAAAAAAGAACATGAAAAGCTTGAGAAATACCAAGGTCTCAGAGAGGAGCTGGAGAGGGCCTGGAGGGTAAAGGTGCAGTAGTTAGGGCCCGTGGATGATCGGTGCACTCGGGGCAGGGACCCCGAAGCTTAGTAGGAGTGGTTACAGCGGATCCCCGGATACCAACCTCGGACATCTCCGGTCCAGAAATGTTGCTAGTGCTAGGAAACAGCCAATATACTGCGCAGAACCCTAAGCTCCCTGGCCTCTGGTTAGAGGACCCGAGCTCTAGAGAGGGATAAACCGCCCGCGGAGGGCCAAAGGTGAGTGGACAATTTTATATATACTGTAGTATTACTTACAGACAAAGTTACATGTTATAACAGCTATAGCTTAACGGTCCATCAGGCTCATTTTGATAAAACGTTATACAATGTTGTATTTGAGGGGATCGAACAACAGATCAACCTTAATATTCTTTTCCTGTACTGCATTTTATAACTTTGAGGTTTTATGGGACAATCTAAAGGTAATAAGATTGTTCATCAATATGGGCCAATTCATCAACAATATGTCTACTTTTAAAGGTTATAAAAGCAAAGGATACCACTGGTTTTATGAGTTTATATTTATATTGTTTGACATTGTGAGATTAAAACCCGTAATGTTGTATTAATTACTACACTGTCACTACCCCTTTGAAGTCGATGATAAATGTAGCTGTAATTTTCTCAAAGTAGTGAGTAAGGAATAATATTCTCTTTTATAATACAATTTTTAACAGACCAAGGGTCAACAAAAGTGCTTTACAATGTTCGGTACCAAGTGTGTGTAGGAGAAACTTGCAGCACCTGGAGGAACTCAGACAGCCACGAGAAGAAGCCTGCTAACTCCACCCACTTAGAGAGGCCCTGTTCTGACCAGGATTCAAACCTTGGACCTTTTTTAAACAACAATGTAAACAAGAAAAAGGTAACCTTGTGTGGTGTTTTTGTGCGTCTGTGTGCTGTGATTGCTATTTAACTGGACTAATGAATCCAGAACGAGAGAGCAGTTAAATATTTGTGGCTGGTGGGTCAGGTGGGAGTGTGTGGGTGGTGGGTGGGGGGTGTTCGCGATACACAGACAGGAGATGGATGCAGAGATGGCTGGGCAGGGCACGCTAGCCAGCTGTTGGAGCCGTTTGATTGGTCTGTGGAGGCCTGACTCTGTCTCCTCGTGGCTCAGATAAAGTTTGTAGGCGCTCCCACTGGCAGGTGGCCGCTGTCCCTCCTCTCTCTCCCGGACATCCCAGGCAAAGATCAGCCAGCGTGCCTGCCTCGCTCTTATTAAAACCTCAAAAGCTCCACAGCGTCACTGCTCAGAACAGGAGTTAAATACGGACGGCATTATCACCGAATTATATTTCAGCCTATGAAGATTGACGACTGTTTTTTTAGTGGGCACACTGTTGGCTGACTCCAGGTGTTAGGATTGAGAAAAGAGGGAGCTGAAAGAATGTTTACGCATGATGGTATTGTGACCCATGCATATTGTAAATATAGAGATGGATAAATGTTGCTAAAAATCTGGATCTGGCTGGTAAATTTTCACCAAGGGAAAAGGTGGAATTCATGACCCACAAAACCAAGTCCCCCGACTGGGTAAGTTTTGGCCCTTTATGATGCACAGACATGTGTACTATATTATTTACGCTCTCCTTTAAAAGGGAAAGTATTGCCTGTTCAGAGCAGCCCAGACTTGATGCCACCAGTCAGCAACAGATTTTACCCAGTTTTTGTTAGTTTTCTCTTAAACAGGGCATGAAAGTCCGCAAGAGCTCGGCTGTCCTTCACGCGCGGATTTAGAAGGTGGACGGAATCAAGCCTACAGTAACCAAAGGAAATAGAAAAGGCTGTAACGTGCAGTGCTGTGAGTTGCTTCTCCTCGAGGCAGCTTGACAGACAGGTCCCGGGTGACCGTGTTTGTTGACAATCGGTGCTAGCGTGTATAGCGCGCCTCACCGCCGGTTTGGCTGTTTCCATAGTAACTCACCATACAGTATCTCTCCTTGAAGCTGACAGAGCTCATGTTTGCTCGGTACAGAGCCAGAAGAACTCCATTGCACAAATTTTCTCCCAGTTTCAGTTGTTTCTTTGTGGCTTGCTTCTCCAGATGGGAGTAATTCAATTCTCCGCAACACTTTGTCTTTTTTTTGTTTTAGGGCGGCAGGGTTGAGTGTGAAGACTACTGTAAGTTTAAGCCTCCATAACACTTTTTGTACTTTGGGCAATGAGTCCTTAGAAGTTATAAGCCCAGGAGTCTATTTTCTTTTTGAATCTCTTAAAGTTGTATGCTAACCATAGGCGGCCTTGGTGGCGTCAGTTGGTTAGCGCTTCTGCGTCACAGAATAAGAATAATGGTCCTGTGTTTTTGATCCTACTAGACAGGACATTTCTATGTGGATGTTTGAATTGTTCTCCCCTCTTCACGTTTTAATGTACACCAGATCTGAGTACAATGAGTGAGCCGCGATGGATGGAGATTGTGTGAGTGGTTTTGCTTCTGCCATCATCATGTGAATGGAAAATGTTGGCACTCCAAAACAATACATGGGAATACAAATACTATGACTCACTTGTTTTCTTGTGAGATTAGAATGTCCTTCATCTTATTCTTGAATAAAAAAAATTCTTTCATATATTCACATTTATTTTTCTGTCTGTAAAGGGCTGATGCTCCGAGGCCAAAAATCCAGCATGTGAACTAGTGATCAAACTGTTTGGAGAATAAGAAAATGTTTGGACTTATGTGTTACGACCCAGCTCTGCTAGGGTAAGGGATGGTAACAAAAAACCAAAAAAAGATGAAAATGACAGGACAAGTAAAGGAGAAGTAGACATTAAATCAAAAGGACACAACACAGGACGATAAGGGGGGTAACTCAAACCACTACCAAAACAAGACTACACTAAACACTGTAAAACATACTCGCTGTGTCAACAAAAAGCAAAGTGTCACAAAAACAAAAACCCAAAAGTGACAAATAAAAAGAGGACAAAACCAAATAAAAACTATACGGACCATAAGGACTGTCTTCAAGTCATTGCCACCACTTGTGACAATGGACAGGACACTTTCATGGAAGGACAATTTGGCACAGGCTGGCAGCCCGAACAGCGGTGTGGAGTGTGGCCTTAAGTGGGAGATTGAATCCTCCAATCAGCACCTGGAGACACGGACTCTGGGAGGTGGGAGAGGCCAGTGGTTGTCAATCACAGGCAAGGGAATCTTGAGACAGGGAGGGGTTGCCACACACGACACACACAAAACACACAAAATCCAAAATAGGAGCAATTTTTACAGGGACCCAGGGCCGTTAACAGGATGGTTTGTATAACATGGTTTAATGTTTGTGATGTTTAAAACCAGGCAGCCCAGCTTTAAATGTCCCCTCACATGCAATTGCCTCAAGTGTCAAAATGTTAAAATTGTACCAAAAGCTTAAATTTACTCCAAAATGGTTTATGCCAAACATCACTTTATGCCAAATACAACGCAGCATAGCATCCAATTCATGAATGCAGGAATTATTTTTTAGAAAAAGTTGGTATCAGTGGTGTCTTATTATTAAAAAAAAAATTGGGGTGAGCACTTCTTTTTCTTCAGAACACCTCTTTCTTATTCAATTCAACCATTGTACCTCCTCGGTCGCATTCAGTGAAAGGAGAGCAAAAGAAGCTTAAAGTTGCCCAATGGAAGAATTCTCAAAGGTGAGACCTTAGCGTTGGGGACAAAAGCTTTGGAAAAGGCATATTGTAGCCGCTCTGCTCCTTACAAAGGTTATCTCTCTCGACTGTCCTTAGGGCACTCCCAGCCAGTCAGTGGGCATCTTGAAAGCTGCTTCATTTATGTCCATATAGTTTTTTTTTTGTTATTTTTCATATTGCAGTTATAGTCAGACCGTCGCTGATAGGGCTGCGTTGCTAAAATTAGGATTATACTAACATTCAAATAGAGTGCTTACTTTGGGCGTGGAGAGAGAGAAGAGGGCTTGCGGATCTAAGCTGGCAAGAAGGATATGAGTGTGGGCTTCTGGCAAATGGCTAGAGCGCTAATCCCCCGGCTTTCTGTATAGGGCTTTACTTTGATGAGAGGCAGTAGTGACACGCGGCATGCTCTGTCAAACTGGACTCCCCACGCTGTAATAATACCCCATTCTAACCCTTCCGTAATTAGAGTTGTGCTTTGTTTTTTTTTTGTGTTCTTTCTGTTATCTATTTTTTTTTTTTTTCTATTTTCAGAAAGCTGGACAGCAACAACATCATGGCCGGATCGATGTCGGATTACGAGGCTCATGGCGCTTGCATCTGAGACGAGGGCTCAGCACGAGTCTGATCGGAGCCAAAACCTGGGAAAGGAGGGGAGAAAAAGCCGCCGTAATGCCAGAGGAGAGCAGGAGGAGCGTGTAAGGGCTAAAGCGGACGGCCAAAATATACAGAGGTAAAGAGGGGCAGCAGTCCCCTTTAAACAGGCTCATAACCCGAGGTGACCAAACTGAAGCTTTGCAAACATGAACAAACACACTACGATCAAACTCAAAGCTAACTATTCAAAAAAGTAATTACACTCGATGTGTGATGAAGCTGGATACACAGGATTTTGTGACAGTTTTTATCCCAGCCGTATGTTTCTTCCCATACTATCTTTTTTGTTTGAACACCACTGGTTGAATTATGGTTTTTTTTTTTTTTCATGTTCATTTTACATTCAATTTGTGTTAGTACAGCCTTAATTCAAACAGCAGTTGTTTCAGAGGACAAAAACAGTCAATTTAGTATCAACAGAAGCAAAACATTATCATGTCCAAAATGACGTGACTAAATGTAAGAAAAATTTCTTTATCTCTTGAGAAAAATAAAATACTGTATACTGTATATGTCAATGCCAACATGTTCTGCTTCTGTCTCTTCATGTTCTGCTTCTTCTCAATAACCACATGTTCTGCACGTCAGGCATGGTTACGCCGGGGCGGCCGCTTGTTGGCTGCTGTTGGAAAAGAGTCTCTCTTTTGGGTCTCTCCAATTAAACAACATTATCATATATATTTAGAACCCTGGGTTAATCTATCACATTGCTCGGATGTCATGTACTGTATGTCCCAACAGTTCAGAAAGTACTGTACATGAATACTTACATAAAAAATCAACGACAAAATACCAGACGCTAGCAAAAAAGACATGTGAAAAGTTTACAGTCCCCTTTGGGCATGGGCCTTTGCTTGGACTCTTATAAATGCTATTGTTCCCCTGCAAAGCACACTACCCCTGTTTACTGTCCCCCATAAAGAAAGACTTTATTCCAGCTCAGGGATGCATTGTGACAAGATCCTTTGAATAGCGGAAGGTCTTACCAGCGGAGCGATATTTTTAACATTTACGGGCAGTTGACATGGTGAATAAAGAAGTTGAGCGGTCTGGAACCTCAGCAGGATGTAGGCAGACATTCTGAAGGACCATTGCCACCTCCACTTCTACCCACACGGGGACCAGGCCAGGGCCCTGGCAGCCACTGTTTTACATGTTTTTACTATTCAGCAGCACACAAACAAGACATGTTCTGCGCATCATTATAAATAGGAGACATTTTTTCTTCTAAGGACCCAAAGAGTTGGGAAAGAATTGTTAGGCATACTCATGAGCCAGTGTTCACACGGCTCAGTATTTTAGAGGAAAGCACTGGCAATTCTGAGTTGTCTTGTCAAATAATTATTTTCTACCCTGCGGGAAATGATGTAATTATTTATTCTTTGTAGACAGATCCACAATATCCATTTGTGAGCACATAGTGTCCTGGACTTTTCAAATCCAAGAAGCATTTTATATAAGTTGTGGAATTAATCGAATTACCACGTGATGGGGGTTGTTTTCTCATCTCTTGTCCACTAATTGTGTTTCTCCATATTTTTTATTGTTTCACTTTTGTTTCACTTTCAAACATGAAATGGCCAAAAGTAGATGGTTAATTTTATGAGGCAAAAAATGTGTTTTCCAAGAATCTTCCTTTTGATGAAACCAGAAACATGAGGTAGACAGGCAGCAGCGAGCAAAGACTTCAGGAGAAAAATAGTTAAAAAAGAGACAAATAGATTTTGTCACGTGGTGTTTGGATGGGAAGACCAGGACCGATGATGGACAATGATGTTCTGATAATAATGTTACATCGGTGTGTAGCACTTTTTATGGACAATCAAAGCTTCACACGTCATTATTCATTCACCTCCAAGCACATTGGTGTCTTGCCTGAAGGGGGACACAAACAGTTTAGCACTTTACAGCCTGTTGTGGGAGTTTCTATCCCAAAGTAAGAAGAAGCTCGAAAGGTATTTTGTCTTAATCAGGAGCGTAAGTTTATTGTAACACACGGCGTGAGAACTCACATACACAAAGCAGCGTACATCCAGTTCTGGCGGGGCCAGTCCCTGAGTCCCGTTTAACATAGACACACATGAAAGGACAGTCACGCCCACAAAAGGTGGGAGTGGTCACCGTTTGAGGGACGGGCCCATCCAGATGGCGAGGCGCCTTGCCTGGTGAGAGACAACTCTTTGTGCCATGGAGATTGCAAACAGAAGGGACAATAGACGCAGAATGTAAAAGGTCAATAGCATGTCTGTGGGCAGGGGGGGAGACGTTCCTTCCTGCAGGTTACTTGAATTAGAAAACAGCCGGGGGCGTGAGTTGGCGGTCCTTGGGCTAATCCAACCTTGCCATTAACACTCTCTCCGTGATAATGTAGGAAACCCTAGTTTTACAGAAATCAATTCAGGTGGGGTGAGTTTTGACCTGGTCCCTGAGCAAAAACAAGAGTTGTGGATTGGACAGGCTACGCTGCCGTCACCCAAGCCTCTTGTATTACGAGGGATGAGGTCCAGTAAGCTCTTCACTTGATAACTCCCCCTAAAATTGTAGGCGGAATCAAGTGGAAAAAAAAAATAAAAACAAGGTAAAACAAGAAGAAAAACGTGGGTTTATTCTGTTAGAACAGTCAATAGGGGCTACTAAACCAGATAATGAGCAACCACTCCGCCAGGAGGACAGGAAGCCAAGTCCAGACCGTGCGGAGTGTCCGTGACATTGTCCGCTTGCATTGGCGTCCCGGAGTCTAGTCAGATTGCTATTGCCCGTTGGATAGACCTCCGTCCTTCATTCATTAAGCGGAAATCTGAGGGACTAATACTAACATTAATAAACACGGTCAGCACGGAAAGTATGTCCGCGTGGCCTGCATATAATAGTCCAAGGGCCCATGCCGGGTCTTAGCCGACTACATTCGGTAGTCTTTTCGCGGGAATGCTCTCGAGTAGTGCGTCTTGCTAGTCAGTGGCACCGCTCCCTGCTGAGCGTGGTGTGGGATGCGTAGTGGTCATGGCGATGTATGGCTCTTGGAGCGGCAAGACTCTAATCGCGTGATGCCTTGGCCTCAGCACTCGGTTGGGCAGAAGTGTCGGGGTTTGGGGTCTGTTGTGGCCTTGGGGTTCCGGGTGGGGGGTTGGCAAAGGGGGGTCGCTCGGGATTCGGAGGCAGGGGGAGTTGGGCAGGGGGGGTCGCATCGGGAACGCTGGATTCTCCTGGGTGTTGTTGATGGCTGCTTCACCGACGGTGGTCGCACGCCGGCCAACCTCTTCTGGTAGGGAGCTGGGATGGGCCTGGGCCCGTCCGCGCCCTCGGTTTGTCTCGTCTATGGCCCACAGTGGCCACCATCCGCACGACAGTGGTTGGCGTGGATCCAAGTTGTCCTCTCCGCGATCTTAGCGGCAGTTTCCGTCACAGGAGGGTCGAGGAATGGGCCAGCCAGCGCTTGGACCGGGCCAATGTTTTCGTCTCGTTTCCTTCACCAGGACCAGTCGCCTGGCTTGATCTTGTGCAGAGCCGCTGCGCAGCTGTGGCATGGGGCGCTCTGACCTGGTGCAGAAATAGAGGAACCAAAAAGTGCATTAATTTCTTACAATAAGGACAGCATTGTCGTTAATCACACAAGAGGTGGCTTGGCAATTCTGCGGTCGGGGGGGTTTTCCCGCGCCCAAGTTGGTCGGTCTGGCAAAGAGGATTTCGAATGGCTTTAGGTTTGACCTTGACTGTCTCTCATGCGCATGTACAAGAGGGGTTGCGGCAGGCTTTGATCCAAGACAGGTCTGTGCTTGTTCGCAGATTTTAACAAGTTTGTTTTCAGAGTGCCATTCTCACGCTCGCTCACGCCCCTCGCCTCCAGGGGGGTTAACTGCAGTGTTTTACGTATAGCAATGGCCCAGAAATTCACCTACTTCCTCAATGACTTTTGCTACAAAGTGACTGCCATTGTCACTAGAGATTTTTTCCGGAAACCCATCGTGGCAAAATTTCTGCGAGCAGAGCTTTCACCACCGCGTTGCTGATGGCGTGTTTGCATGCAAATACTTCAGTCATTTGGACCAGAGACCTCCAGGTATCCAGACTGTATTTCTTACCTTGCATGGTGTGAAGTTCAACAAAGTCATTTGAACTGTTGAAAGGGGCAGGGGGGCGGAGGATGGCAGCCTGTGGGATAATTTGGGACTACCCGTGGTTTGTATTATCTGTGCGCGTGGGGCAGATAGGCATGTTTGCCGAATCTCTGTGCAAATGCCGGGTAAAACCCCTTCGTATCCATTTTGTGTCATTAAGTGACACTCCCTCCTTTGGAGGCATGGTCTCGACATGTGCTAAAATCGCAAAATGTCTGAAGAAATGCCGTGGTAAGACGGTTTGAGGTTGGTCCCAGCCACACACCACATGCCGTCGTTGAGCCCATTCCCTCCCACAGCACGTCTTGCTGGAGTAGCAGTGGCCTGCATTGCTGACAGAGAGGAGAAAATATCCACGTCTTGAGTGAGGGTTAAGTGTGGGTGTGTAGTTTACTGTTCGTTCATCTCCAGTTTTGCTTTTCCGGATCGGTCCTCAATTCATATTGTGGGCTTTGGTGCCAAAGCAGTGGCTCATTTCTTCATGATCCATATACTGTCTCCGGAAGCAGGGGTAGTTTATCTCTCATCTGAAAAAGAAACAGTAGAATCACACAATGCCACTTCCCTCTTCTTCGCATGTGCAGCCTGTCATCTTTTTCCAATGGGGTAAACATAACTGCATTACAGACGGTCGTGTGACATCAGGGGCAGTGGCTTGTAGCCAAATACAGACTTATCTAATATGTATGTTTCTAATTTTATACTCCCCTAAATGTGAGTTACAAACCAAAGTTGTCCCTTTCGCCCAAATGACAGCCTCACTGCGGTTGGACGACTCACTGTCCGACAAACAGCAGAGGAGGGGGATCTCCCAGTACCTTCAGCAAGGTTAATTTCATCTCAGAGTACTTTCCTCAGATTACTTTTATCAGAGTACTCATCCCAGAGTTACTCTTCCATTTTACTCCTGTCAATAAATCTTGTTAGTCTTTGAATCTCTTAGTACTTACACCGTATGCTGTTTGACAAAAATAATGTTCCATGATCAACCTAAAACAATTACAGGAAAACATTTGTTATTCCAGTCTCGTTCAGCACTCCTCATTTTCACATCACACTCGCATCACTCACACCAGGCAGGCCGCCCCTCCCACGTTAGTATATTGGTCTCAGAGTTTGTTAAGGTCAACGTAGTGTACTTGGACATGACGCCACAATCATATAACATACACAAACATATAACACACACAAACATATAAACACCACAGAGGGGCCTGTAATTTTAACTTTGTTATATTTTCATGGTCAATTACAATTGTTCATGAGCTATTTCTATTCGTTTGCAACTTTCAGAGCCTGCAGAACATGCTGAGCTTTAAGAGATTATTTCTAAAAGGATCATTTCATAACTCTAGTGTTTAAAACCACGTAGTCAGTACTCGTGTTAATCACAGATTGTGTCCCCTATATCTTTACTGAGCTCTTGTTACTTTAAAATGTTTTTTTCTTCTGTTTTTCTTTTTCTGTAAAGCCATGTCGGATTCATTAAAAATGTAAATAGTCTCAAACTTTAATACTTCACCTTGGTTTCACGTTCATGTGGAGAAAAAGAAAAGACCATTGTTTTATGTGTGTTGTACTTGCACCTATCATGTCTCCGTTGAACGGCCAAACAGTTGTATTAAAGACATAACTGTCCTAATTGTTTCTAATTTAGCATTTTTCAGAGAACACGTGTCCTCATCTTTGGACTGTGTCCAGTCCCCAGCATTGCTTACACTTATCAATAAGGACAGAGGCCTCACTCCACGCTGCAGTCGTGGGTTTGTAGGACAAAGTATGTGCAAGCGGGGGGCATAGTGGGTCGAATAAAATGTTCTTGTTGCTCATTAAGTAAACACAGATTACCATTGGCGTAGTGCCACTCAATAAAAATACTCCGTTTGTAGCCTCTCTACGCTCACTGAAGCCACTGGACACGTCGTGGACCAGTGACACGCCTGGACACGTCATGGACCAGTGACACGCCTGGACACGCCATGGACCAGTGACACGCCATGGACACGTCATGGACCAGTGACACGCCTGGACACGCCATGGACCAGTGACACGCCTGGACACGCCACGCCGTGTCACTGGTCCATGGCGTGTCCGGGCGTGTCACTGGTCCATGGCGTGTACGGGCGTGTCACTGGTCCATGACGTGTCCGGGCGTGTCACTGGTCCATGACGTGTCCAGGCGTGTCACTGGTCCATGACGTGTCCATGGCGTGTCCAGGCGTGTCACTGCTCTGTGACGCGTCCACGGCGTGTCACTGGTCCATGACGTGTCCGGGAGTGTCACTGGTCCATGGCATGTCCAGGCGTGTCACTGGTCCATGACGTGTCCATGGCGTGTCCAGGCGTTGTCACTGCTCCGTGACGTGTCCACGGCGTGTCACTGGTCCATGACGTGTCCACGGCGTGTCACTGGTCCATGGCGTGTCCGGGCGTGTCACTGGTCCATGACGTGTCATTAGTCCATGGCGTGTCCAGGCGTGTCACTGGTCCATGACGTGTCCGCGGTGTGTCACAGGTCCATGACGTGTCCACGGCGTGTCACTGGTCCACGGCGTGTCACTGGTCCATGGCGTGTCCGGGCGTGTCACTGGTCCATGGCGTGTCACTGGTCCATGGCGTGTCACTGGTCCATGACGTGTCCACGGTGTGTCACAGGTCCATGACGTGTCCACGACGTGTCACTGGTCCATGACGTGTCCACGGTGTGTCACAGGTCCATGACGTGTCCACGACGTGTCACTGGTCCATGGCGTGTCCGGGCGTGTCACTGGTCCATGACGTGTCCAGGCGTGTCACTGGTCCATGACGTGTCCATGGCGTGTCACTGGTCCATGGCGTGTCCAGGCGTGTCACTGGTCCATGACGTGTCCATGGCGTGTCCAGGCGTGTCACTGGTCCATGACATGTCCAAGGCGTGTCACTGGTCCATGGCGTGTCCGGGCGTGTCACTGGTCCATGACGTGTCTGGGCGTGTCACTGGTCCATGGCATGTCCAGGCGTGTCACTGGTCCATGACGTGTCCATGGCGTGTCCAGGCGTGTCACTGCTCCGTGACGTGTCCACGGCGTGTCACTGGTCCATGGCGTGTCCAGCTGTGTTACTGGTCCATGACGTGTCTGGGTGTGAGCAGCCTGGACACGCCATGGACCAGTGACACGTCATGGACCAGTGACACGCCTGGACACGCCACGGACCAATGACACGCCCGGACACGCCATGGACCAGTGACACGCCATGGACCAATGACACGCCTGGACACGTCATGGACCAGTGACACGCCTGGACACGTCATGGACCAGTGACACGCCTGGACACGTCATGGACCAGTGACACGCCTGGACACGCCATGGACCAGTGACACGCCTGGACACGTCATGGACACGTGACACGCCTGGACACGTCATGGACCAGTGACACGTCATGGACCAGTGACACGCCATGGACCAGTGACACATCATGGACCAGTGACACGCCATGGACCAGTGACACGCCATGGACCAGTGACACGCTTGGACACTTCATGGACCAGTAACACGGCGTAAACACGCCATGGACCAGTGACACGCCTGGACACGCCATGGACCAGTGACACGTCATAGACCAGTGTCACACCTGGACACGCCTTAGACCAGTGACACACCTGGACACGCCTTAGACCAGTGACACACCTGGACACGCCTTAGACCAGTGACACACCTGGTGGGGAAGTGATTAGGAGTGGGCAAAATATATCGTAGACAATAATATCGTGAAAGCCAATTTGAAGATATGCTTTATTGTATTCTCTTTTTTATTTTCCAATACATATTACAATTAGAGAAGGAAAGATGCCCATTGGTCTAATGTGTGCCTAAAAAGCCAATCACTGCTTTATTTGTACATTTCAGTAAATATTGAGCCTTTTTGGATGTGTTTTTTCTGTGTTTCTTGAATCTGATTTTTAATGTTAATATATGTTAGTGCATGTTTTACAAAGATGTGTGTAGCACTTCAGAAAATGCTTCATTTTTGATCTACACTGTCTCTTATCTATAGATGCCATGGCAAGCAAAACATTGCAGATCATTTTGTGTAACCATTTTTGATTTTAAAGATATCGTGACAATGTCGTTATCGGGAGTTGGGTATAAAGTATCAAGATATTTATTTTTGTCCATATCGCCCACCCCTAGATGTGATGCATGCTTGCAGATTGGCAGTTGAGTTCTGGTGGATACAGATATAGTTTGTGTGTGATTGACAAGTCTCTGTTGGTAAGAGGCAGTTATGTCTGTAAACCTTTTGTTGCTTGATCTCATTTTCTTTTAGAATGGAGTGATTATAGATGTACCATCTATTTAAGTGCAGGATAGAGACGGTGAAGCCAGTTGAAACTAGGAATAACTGGAATTCAGTGAAGGTATCAAGGGAATACATGACAAAGTTTGGCAGTAGACTGAAGAATAAGCTCTACACGTGTTTGCAGAGACAATTCAAACTCTTAAAAAAGCAATCCTCCATAGATTATTAATTATTATAATTATGTGCCTCAGTCTCTTTGGCCTCATTATCCATGTGTCCTTTCAGAACAGGTTATCCACAGTGTATGTGTGTGTTGACCTGGCCTTACACACCATGTGTCCTTTCAAACCAGGTTATACACAGTGTATGTGTGTGTTGACCTGGCCTTACACACCATGTGTCCTTTCAAACCAGGTTATACACAGTGTATGTGTGTGTTGACCTGGCCTTACACACCATGTGTCCTTTCAAACCAGGTTATACACAGTGTATGTGTGTGTTGACCTGGCCTTACACACCATGTGTCCTTTCAAACCAGGTTATACACAGTGTATGTGTGTGCGGACCAGGCCTCACAGACCATGTGTCCTTTCAAACCAGGTTATACATAGTGTGTGTGTGTATGATGACATCACTGACCTTGTAAACCACACTGTCCTTATAGACCGTGTTTTTGAAAAGTCTTTACAAACCCCTGAAAAGTCTTGAAAACAGTCATTTTGTATATCTCAGTGCAGCAAAGGAAATCTTTAAATTTTAAGCCGTGTATAGGTTCTGTGATTTTTTTCATGATCATTGATATGATTTTTGAGGCTCTAGCACCACGGGAACCCAGTGTCCCCGTATACCTATGTACAGTCTGGTTTAAAGGGATTTTAGAAAAAATGTCCTTACAACGTCTCAAACGGGTGTATGTGTGTGTGTGTGTGTGTGTGTGTGTAGCTTGTGGAGGCCCATCTTCCTCAGAGCGTGCGGGAGCTCCTGCAGTGGACCGTGGACTTCTTCAGGACCAACTTGCTGGGCTGGATCCGGGAGCACGGAGGATGGGTGTGTGTCTCCTCCTCTTAACGTTACGGTTGGGGTCAGGGTTAAGAGTCCAGCATTACTTACTTACTTACTTACTTACTTAGGAAAGGTTAGCGGTGATCCTGGACTGTTCATTACGTGATATCAGATAGTGCCAGTTATTAATAAGATATTCATTTATTGGTTCCACAGTGGGGAGATTTCAGTGTCACATTACAGCAGAGAAAGAAGGGAAAAAAAGACTCGGACGCACACATCAAACAAGGCCTTTTATTTAAGATAATAGACAATAGAATCAAAATGAGATGAGATGGTAAAATAGAATAAAAAAAAAAGAAGCTATAAGTGCACGTGGTTCAGAAGTATTTACAGATGCGTATAATGTACTTTAGCAGCAGAGAATATGAGCAGAATACACATCAGTAACAATATCAACAGGTCAAGTAATAAAGTTACAAGTGAATTATTATCAGTGACACTTGTGCAGACTCAGCAGTTCTCGTTACACATTCTCGTTGTACAGTCTGACAGCAGCAGGGAGGAAGGACCTGCGTAACCTGTCCATCACACAGTGAGGGTGAATAAGTCGGTCACTGAAACTGAAACTTTTTAAAATTCTTCCCCCTTCTGTCATTGTCCTTATCCAAACATTACAAATATGAAAATAATAGATTAGATTTTGAGAAAGCTGGAGACAAATCACATTTGATGGTGGTTTTATTAAAATACTTTTTCATGCCACTGTATTTCTCACTACATGTGAGAAATGTGGCGGCACGGTGGCTGAGTGGATAGCACTCTCGCCTCTCAGCAAGAAGGTCCTGGGTTCGAATCCCGGTCGGACCAGGGCCTTTCTGAGTGGAGTTTGCATGTTCTCCCCGTGTCTGCCCAAAATTAACAATTGTAAACCGCTTTGAGACTCAGATCTGCAGTGAAAAGGCGGTATATAAATAAAAAAACTTACTTACTTACTTACATGTGTGTGTGTGTGTGTGTGTTGCAGATCAGCAGCTTCCCGGCGCTGGCGTCCGCCTCCATGCGCTCCGTGGGTTCCGTGGGCTGGGGGGGTGTCCTGATCTTCATTGCCGGTCTGGCTCTGGGCAGTCTGTTCACTGCCAGACTGCTGTCCCGGACTTGACCCCTGACCCCAGACTCAGGACTATTCTCAACATGTTTACGTGAGCCTCGTCACAGGACCCTCTGTTATCAGTGATTTCACAATCTTTTCTTGTCTCATGCAATGATACATCATTTCAAGACCTTTCCAAAACCTTCATTTGAAGGAGCTTTACCCGTTTCTGTAAGGTTTTGAATGTTTCCCCTACGCTCTCATCTAGTTTTATTTGCGATCTGATACGTATGCTAACATTAGCATGAGCGCAACTTCTTGTAAGCTGTACAACAGTCACTGATGAAAAGTAACGCACTGCTAACAAAAATATATAACTGAAGGATTACTGCAAGTTTCACGTCGGAATGTAGTCCTACCATAGATAGTCCCGCAGGTCTCTCCAGAGGATACGATGTAAGCTAGCTATGTTCACCCGGGCTTGATAATGATTTCTTCTTTGATCATGTTCTGGCTTTAGTTCCTCTTCTCTTCCTCACTGTTGTGTCGTTTGGGCTGTTTTGCTGTGTCTGCAGTTACAGCCAGAGGAGTTATGCTAACATGCTACTGTGTTTAGCAGCGCTGTAGAGGCCAAAGGACGCAGCCTCGTTCTGTGATTGGAGGAGAGCGGGCGTCACGCTAAAGTCTCTACTCAGCACTTTTATACAGCCTGAGTTTATACACAGCTGAATCAATGACCTCAAGTTTTATAATACAACTTGTAAGTCATAATAAGTATTTATATGAACAAAAGTGGGGTATAGCTTCTTTAATGTATAGATCTGGCTCTAAATCATAGTTGATGTGAAATCATTAATTCACAAGAAAAGTGACGTGTTCCGTTTGACAGCCCCTAATTTATACACACACACACACACACGTCACGTTTCACACACACACACACTCACACACACACACACACACACAAGTCACGTTACACTCACACACGTCACGTTTCACACACACACACACACACACACACACACAAGTCACGTTACACTCACACACGTCACGTTTCACTCACACACACACACACACACACACGTCACGTTTCACACACACACACACATGTCACGTTTCACTCACACACACACACACTCACACACACACACACACACAAGCCATGACGTCACACCCCAGCCGCTATGGGCCTACTGTAAACACTCCATATCACATGACGCGTCTCAGCGATCATCGGTTGTTTTCATCTTTACCTTGACTTTCACTCGGACCACCCCCCTCTCGTCCTCCCCAGCCATGTCCACCCGCAGCCCGGATCAACCTCTGGGGAAGACAGCCTCCTAAGACAACAGCAGCATGTTGGGTCCTAGACTGAAGCTGGGACTGGGACCAGGACCAGGACCAGGACCGGGGCCAGGACCGGGGCTGGTACTGGCCGGTAGACAGGAATTGACAGCCGGGTGCAAGGGGCATAGATCCACGGTTCGGCGGGGACAACGGCGGTGGTGGATAACAGACCGATTTTCGCGATTTCCGGTGCCGTGCTGTTATTGTTATCTGCTGCCATCTGCTGGTCAGAGACAGAACTGTCCAATTAATGCTACACATTTATCATTATTATTTTACCCTTTTGATATTCATGTTTCATATTTTATTTACTTTTGTTTCTATTTTTTATTTGTTTATTCATTTTTAATTAATGTATTATTTTATGTAATTTTACTGCAATATTTGGATGTATTTGTGATTTATCCAAGTTTTATTTCATCTTACATATTTTTTCAATTCTATGTTTATATTTATTTTATTAATTATTATCATTATCATTCTTTCAATATTAATTTATATCGTTCACTTTTTGTACTATTATAATTTCAATATAATTACTATATTTTTTAAAAAAAAGTATTATTATTATTACGGTTCGTTACTAAGTTAAATATTACGCATTAAATATTATTATATATTATTATATTATTTCACTTTCTCGCAAGCTCACGCCTTCGCTGCTGATCTTTTTCCCCAACACACTTCTGCCAGGCTCTCATCAGCGAACCGTAATACCGCTGTCTCTTTGACTGATTTAAGTAGTCAAACAATAAATAAAACAACCTCAAATTAAGTCTCATAAATTAAATTATGTTTTTGAGAGTAAACATGAGCTAGCATAGCCTCCCGTTAATATATTTGATCTTTGCGGAAAGTGCGTCGGGTGAAAACGTCCAGCCTTCAGCTCAGCAGCGGTGCAGCTACAGTAGTAGATGTGATTTCTGCTCTTTACATTTGTTTTACTTGTCTTTCTGTGGATATTTTGGACTCGCTGCGATGGAAGAAGTGGACAAGATCCTCATCCGTGCTTTGAAACAAGTGGGCACGTAAGTATCCCCTGCTGACACTGCTGACGCCTGCTCCTGTGCGGTCTGTCATATGACCATCTGCTGCAGAGACACATTTCCACTGTGCACGAAAGTAAAGTGGGAGATAACTCAGGATTAGCCACACGTTATTACAAACAACACTTAAAGCTGGAGTACCCAACTTTTTAAGGATGAAAAGATGGCTAAATTACCAGTAAATTGTAATTTTTTCTTGTGTGAGATCAATAAAGTCTATCTTATCTGTTCTCTTTTCTAAGTAAAGACGACTACAAACCCAAAGCCCTGGCCTCTGTCAAAAGTTTTGAGTTTGATATTTATATTTACTGCAATGCACTTGTTGACAATTGATCAGTTTCTCTCTACCCCTGGTCTCTCTCTCTGCTCTCTCTCTCTGCTCTCTCACTGGTCTCTCTCACTGCTCTCTTTCTGCTCTCTCTGCTCTCTCTGCTCTCTCTGCTCTCTCTCTGCTCTCTCTCGCTCTCTCTCTGGTCTCTCTCTGCTCTCTCTCTGCTCTCTCTGCTCTCTCTCTGCTCTCTCTCTGCTCTCTCTCTGCTCTCTCTCGCTCTCTCTCGCTCTCTCTCTGCTCTCTCTGGTCTCTCTCTCTGCTCTCTCTGGTCTCTCTCTCTGCTCTCTCTCTGCTCTCTCTGGTCTCTCTCGCTCTCTCTCTGCTCTCTCTCTGCTCTCTCTCTGCTCTCTCTGGTCTCTCTCTGCTCTCTCTGCTCTCTCTCTGCTCTCTCTCTGCTCTCTCTGGTCTCTCTCTGCTCTCTCTCTGCTCTCTCTCTGCTCTCTCTGGTCTCTCTCTGCTCTCTCTGCTCCCTCTCTCTGCTCTCTCGCTCTCTCTCTGCTCTCTCTCTGCTCTCTCTGCTCTCTCTGCTCTCTCTCTGCTCTCTCTCTGCTCTCTCTCTGCTCTCTCTGCTCTCTCTCTGCTCTCTCTCTGCTCTCTCTGCTCTCTCTCTGCTCTCTCTCTGCTCTCTCTGCTCTCTCTCTGCTCTCTCTGCTCTCTCTCTGCTCTCTGCTCTCTCTGCTCTCTCTCTGCTCTCTGCTCTCTCTCTGCTCTCTCTGGTCTCTCTCTCTGCTCTCTCTGCTCTCTCTCTGCTCTCTCTGGTCTCTCTCACTGCTCTCTGCTCTCTCTCTGGTCTTCCTGTCATCCCTGTGCTGTGAATCTGACACGGGTGTAAACAACCCGGCTGTGATGCTGTGGTGCCTGTGCTCCTGCAGGGAGGTGCCAGAGGAGGTGGACAGTGTGAAGCTCTTCAGCAGTGAGCTGGTGGTCCAGGCCGTGGTCTCATGTCTCCGTGTGATCGACCCAGGACTGGACCACGGACTGCCCTCCTCCCTCCCCCCAGGGATGTCTGCTCGCTTCAGGGTCGGCATGAGTCTGGCACAGGCCTGCCAGGTGAGGACCAGGACCAGGGATCAGGGTCGAAGGTCCAGGGTCTAGGGTGCAGGGAGAGACCAGAGATCGGGGTCCAGAGCAGAGACCAGGACGAGAGAGCAGGGTCCAGAGACCAGGGATCAGGGTCCAGAGACAGACCAGAGACCAGGGTCCAGAGGGAGAGCAGAGAGCAGAGACCAGGTCCAGAGACCAGGGTCCAGAGACCAGAGACCAGGACCAGAGACCAGGACCAGAGAGAGACCAGAGACCAGGACCAGAGACCAGGGTCCAGAGACCAGGGTCCAGAGACCAGGGTCCAGAGACCAGGGTCCAGAGACCAGGGTCCAGAGACCAGGTCCAGAGACCAGAGACCAGGACCAGCGAGAGACCAGAGACCAGGACCAAAGGGGGAGACCAGCGAGAGAAAGGTAGAGACCGTTGATACTTGTTCCACCTGGTTGCCGTCTCTTCTGTCCCAGGACGTGGGGTACAAGGGGGAGCTGGGGTACCAGACGTTCCTCTACAGCTCTGAGCCCGAGATCCGCTCTCTGCTCATGTTCCTGGTGGAGAAGCTTCCACGAGGGAGCAACGAGTCCTCAGACCAGTCCTCAGGTGAGAACAGTCCTCAGCCCAGTCCTCAGACCAGTCCTCAGACCAGTCCTCAGCCCAGTCCTCAGCCCAGTCCTCAGACCAGTCCTCAGACCAGTCCTCAGACCGGTCCTCAGCCCAGTCCTCAGACCAGTCCTCAGACCAGTCCTCAGACCGGTCCTCAGCCCAGTCCTCAGACCAGTCCTCAGACCAGTCCTCAGACCGGTCCTCAGCCCAGTCCTCAGACCAGTCCTCAGACCAGTCCTCAGACCGGTCCTCAGCCCAGTCCTCAGACCGGTCCTCAGCCCAGTCCTCAGACCAGTCCTCAGACCAGTCCTCAGACCGGTCCTCAGCCCAGTCCTCAGACCAGTCCTCAGACCAGTCCTCAGACCGGTCCTCAGCCCAGTCCTCAGACCAGTCCTCAGACCGGTTCTCAGACCAGTCCTGAGACCTTAGTTCTATGTTTGTTCTTGTGTTTTCAGGTAAATCAGTTCTGTTGCACAAAGACATCGCGGCGGCGCTGAAGGCTGAGCTGCACGTGCCCTGGCTGCCCCGGACCTGCCGTCTGCCCCGGACCTGCCGTCTGCCCCGGACCTGGCGCCTGCCCCGGACCCACGTAAGGAGAGGAGGCTGCACCGTACCTTTACTTCCCCTTCATACATTGCCGGATGGTGGGGGCAGCAGTCTCCGCTCTCCCCACACCTCCTTCAGCTCATCTGAGGGGATCCTGAGGCCTTCCCAGAGTCCCTCTGTGTCCTGGGTCTTCTCTGGTCTCCTCTTGGTGGGACATGACCAGAACACATCCCCAGGGTTTCTGCAGACCCACAATGCACTTGGGCCGGGTCTGACCGTTTTCAGACCAAACTGCAGATCTGGAACATGGTGTTGGTTCTAAACAAACTGTCACAGAAGTCCAATAACTGACACCGTTTATGTTTACATATAAGTCAATAGGAGCTAGAGAGAGGAGCCAAACTTCACCATGAGCACTTCCCTGTTGAGTTTCTTTGAGCTAGCGTAGCATTGTCCATCTGTGCTCAGTCTATGGTGAGAGTTTCTTCTTACAGGTGTTTTTCTGACTTGTTCTTCAGGATCCAGACGTCCTGCACCACTTCCACTCCCAGCCTCTCAGTCTGCCTCACAGCCCAGACCGGACAGGCCTCTGCAAAGGTACCATTAAAGCTGAGGGACCTAACTTTCACACCACAGAAAAGTGAAAGGACATACCACATCTTCCAGTCTCTTTCTGGTCTCTCTCTCTCTGGGCTCTCTCTCTGGGCTCTCTCTCTCTCTGGTCTCTCTCTCTCTGGTCTCTCTGTATGGTCTCTCTCTCTCTGGCCTCTGTCTCTCTGGTCTCTCTCTTTCTGGTCTCTCTCTCTGGTCTCTCTGTATGGTCTCTCTCTGGTCTCTCTCTCTGGTCTCTCTCTCTGTCTCTCTCTCTCTCTCTGGTCTCTCTGTATGGTCTCTCTCTCTGGGCTCTCTCTCTGGTCTCTCTGTATGGTCTCTCTCTCTCTGGCCTCTGTCTCTCTGGTTTCTCTCTCTCTGCTCTCTCTCTCTCTCCGGTCTCTGTATGGTCTCTCTCTCTCTGGCCTCTGTCTCTCTGGTTTCTCTCTCTCTCTGGTCTCTCTCTCTCTGGACTCTTTTTCTCTCTGGTCTCACTCTCTGGTCTCTCTTTCTCTTTAGTCTCTCTTTCTCTGGTCTCTCTCTCTCTCTGGTCTCACTTTCTGGCCTCTGTCTGTCTTTGGTCTCTCTCTCTCTCTCTCTCTCTCTGGTCTCTCTTTGGTCTCTCTCTCTCTCTCTCTCTCTCTCTCTCTCTCTGGTCTCTCTTTGGTCTCTCTCTCTCTCTCTCTGGTCTCTCTTTGGTCTCTCTCTGCTCTAGGGCTGGGCAATAAATCGAATTTAGGCAACTAATCGGCTTTTTCAGTGACTTTAATGAAAATCGATTTAAAATCGAAATCGTCCAAAGCAGGAAATTAAATCGAGATTTCCCATTTTTGCCATATCGCCCAGCCCTACTCTGCTCCTTGTCAGGCAGAAAAGTGAAAAAGAGCACCCCCACTCTTGGCCAATCCTCTCTCACCCCAAAGAGTCAAAAAGTGACTCTTGAGGCTCTGTCTGAAACAACACGAAGACTGCGTGTTGTGTGTTGTTTATGAGGCTAAAATAGAATGGCAAAGTGCTGTGTGCGACCCTGGTCTGTGCAGTGCGCTACATAAATAAAAAGTGTTGTGTGCAGAGCTGCTTGAATACCAGAGAGACCTGTTGCCCCCGGTGACCAGCCAGACCTCCCAGACCTCAGTCCTGGCCTCAGTCCTGGAACAGCACACCTCCCACTGCTGCCAGACCCAGGACTGGAACAGCGAGTGGAACAGCCAGGGCCTGCTGTCCCGGCTCAGCCCTGAGGTGAGGACGCAGCACTTTATACAGACTACAGAGGTGAGGACGTAGCACTTTATACAGTCTACAGAGGCGAGGGCTTAGCACTTTATACAGACTACAGAGGTGAGGACGTAGCACTTTATACAGACTACAGAGGTGAGGACGTAGCACTTTATACAGACTACAGAGGTGAGGGCGTAGCACTTTATACAGACTACAGAGGCGAGGGCGTAGCACTTTATACAGACTACAGAGGTGAGGACGTAGCACTTTATACAGACTACAGAGGTGAGGGCGTAGCACTTTATACAGACTACAGAGGCGAGGGCGTAGCACTTTATACAGACTACAGAGGCGAGGGCGCAGCACTTTATACAGGCTACAGAGGTGAGGACGTAGCACTTTATACAGACTACAGAGGTGAGGGCGTAGCACTTTATACAGACTACAGAGGCGAGGGCGTAGCACTTTATACAGACTACAGAGGCGAGGGCGCAGCACTTTATACAGGCTACAGAGGTGAGGACGTAGCACTTTATACAGACTACAGAGGTGAGGGCGTAGCACTTTATACAGACTACAGAGGCGAGGGCGTAGCACTTTATACAGGCTACAGAGGTGAGGACGTAGCACTTTATACAGACTACAGAGGCGAGGACGTAGCACTTTATACAGACTACAGAGGCGAGGGCGTAGCACTTTATACAGGCTACAGAGGCGAGGGCGTAGCACTTTATACAGACTACAGAGGTGAGGACGTAGCACTTTATACAGACTACAGAGGTGAGGGCGTAGCACTTTATACAGACTACAGAGGTGAGGGCGTAGCACTTTATACAGGCTACAGAGGCGAGGACGTAGCACTTTATACAGACTACAGAGGTGAGGGCGTACCACTTTATACAGACTACAGAGGTGAGGACGCAGCACTTTATACAGGCTACAGTGGCGAGGACATAGCACTTTATACAGTCTACAGAGGTGAGGACGCAGCACTTTATACAGACTAGAGGCGAGGACGCAGCACTTTATACAGAGGCGAGGGCGTAGCACTTTATACAGACTACAGAGGTGAGGACGTAGCACTTAATACAGGCTACAGAGGCGAGGACGTAGCACTTTATACAGGCTATAGAGGCGAAGACGTAGCACTTTATACAGGCTACAGTGGCGAGGACATAGCACTTAATACAGGCTACAGAGGTGAGGACGCAGCACTTTATACAGACTACAGAGGTGAGGACGTAGCACTTAATACAGGCTACAGAGGCGAGGACGTAGCACTTAATACAGGCTACAGAGGAGAGGACGTAGAACTTTATACAGGCTATAGAGGTGAGGACGTAGCACTTAATACAGGCTATAGAGGTGAGGACGTAGCACTTAATACAGGCTACAGAGGCGAGGACGTAGCACTTAATACAGGCTATAGAGGTGAGGACGTAGCACTTAATACAGGCTACAGAGGCGAGGACGTAGCACTTAATACAGGCTACAGAGGTGAGGACGTAGCACTTTATACAGGCTACAGTGGCGAGGACATAGCACTTAATACAGGCTACAGAGGTGAGGACGCAGCACTTTATACAGACTACAGAGGTGAGGACGCAGCACTTTATACAGACTACAGAGGCGAGTACGGAGCACTTTATACAGGCTAGAGTTGAGGACGCAGCACTTTATACAGACAACAGAGGTGAGGACGTAGCACTTTATACAGGCTACAGAGGCGAGGACTTAGCACTTTATACAGGCTACAGAGGCGGGGACTTAGCACTTTATACAAACTAGAGATGAGGACGTAGCACTTTATACAGACTTAGACTTCCCTCTCTTGCAGGAGTACCAGCTGAGTCTGACCTCCCTCTCTTGCAGGAGTACCAGCTGAGTGTGCTCTCATGGTACCTGGTCTGACCTCCCTCTCTTGCAGGAGTACCGGCTGAGGAAGCGCGCTCGTCTGCGTCAGCGCCTGGATGAGCAGGTGCGCTCTGCTGTGGCCGCTGATGGTTCCTCTAATGGTTCCTCTGATGGTTCCTCTGGATTAGAGCTGTCAGAGCTGCTGCGCTCCTTCAGAGGCTCAGAGCAGCTCCCACAGAAGAGCTCCCACTTCAGCCACACACAGAAGTTCACCTTCACTCAGGTAGGTCCCTCTGCTCCTGCTGGTCCTACTGAGACAGGACCAGCAGGAGCATGTAAGACTCATGCTGATCCGACTGAGACAGGACCAGCAGGAGCATGTGAGAGTCCTGCCGGTCCTGCTGAGACGGGACCAGCAGGAGCATGTGAGAGTCCTGCTGATCCTACTGAGACAGGACCAGCAGGAGCATAGAGGCCACAGCCTCTATGCAGCAGCATGTGAGGAGTCTGGTCTCTCTCTGGTCTCACTATGGTCTCACTCTGGGCTCTCTAATATCACTGTTCCAAAGTGCTAAAGCCACGTTCAGACCGGATCATGCGTTGCGTCTGCTTTCAATGCAAAGTCAATGGTGATACGCGTTCGAGCGTCAAAACGCATTGACCTCTCGGCCCACACGGACTGTTCAGTAGAGACGCACGGACTGTTCAGTAGAGACACAGTCACACGGACTGTTCAGTAGAGACGCACGGACTGTTCAGTAGAGACCCACGGACTGTTCAGTAGAGACTCACGGACTGCTCAGTAGAGACTCATGGACTGTTCAGTAGAGACTCACGGACTGCTCAGTAGAGACTCACGGACTGTTCAGTAGAGACGCACGGACTGTTCAGTAGAGACGCACGGACTGTTCAGTAGAGACGCACGGACTGTTCAGTAGAGACGCACGGACTGTTCAGTAGAGACCCACGGACTGTTCAGTAGAGACGAACGGACTGTTCAGTAGAGACTCACGGACTGTTCAGTAGAGACTCACGGACTGTTCAGTAGAGACGCACGGACTGTTCAGTAGAGACCCACGAACTGTTTAGTAGAGACGCACGGACTGTTCAGTAGAGACTCACGGACTGTTCAGTAGAGACGCACGGACTGTTCAGTAGAGACTCACGGACTGCTCAGTAGAGACGCACGGACTGTTCAGTAGAGACGCACGGACTGCTCAGTAGAGACCCACGGACTGTTCAGTAGAGACGCACGGACTGTTCAGTAGAGACTCACGGACTGTTCAGTAGAGACTCACGGACTGTTCAGTAGCGACCCACGGACTGTTCAGTAGCGACCCACGGACTGTTCAGTAGAGACCCACGGACTGTTCAGTAGAGACCCACGGACTGTTCAGTAGAGACCCACGGACTGTTCAGTAGCGACCCACGGACTGTTCAGTAGAGACTCACGGACTGTTCAGTAGCGACCCACGGACTGTTCAGTAGCGACCCACGGACTGTTCAGTAGAGACCCACGGACTGTTCAGTAGAGACCCACGGACTGTTCAGTAGAGACCCACGGACTGTTCAGTAGCGACCCACGGACTGTTCAGTAGAGACACACGGACTGTTCAGTAGAGACACACGGACTGTTCAGTAGAGACACACGGACTGTTCAGTAGAGACGCACGGACTGCTCTGTAGAGACGCACGGACTGTTCAGTAGAGACGCACGGACTGTTCAGTAGAGACGCACGGACTGTTCAGTAGAGACGCATGGACTGTTCAGTAGAGACGCACGGACTGTTCAGTAGAGACGCACGGACTGTTCAGTAGAGACGCACGGACTGCTCAGTAGAGACGCACGGACTGCTCAGTAGAGACCCACGGACTGTTCAGTAGCGACCCACGGACTGTTCAGTAGCGACCCACGGACTGCTCAGTAGAGACCCACGGACTGTTCAGTAGAGACGCACGGACTGTTCAGTAGAGACGCACGGACTGTTCAGTAGAGACGCACGGACTGTTCAGTAGAGACGCACGGACTGTTCAGTAGAGACCCACGGACTGTTCAGTAGAGACGCACGGACTGTTCAGTAGAGACTCACGGACTGTTCAGTAGAGACGCACGGACTGTTCAGTAGAGACCCACGGACTGTTTAGTAGAGACGCACGGACTGTTCAGTAGAGACTCACGGACTGTTCAGTAGAGACGCACGGACTGTTCAGTAGAGACTCACGGACTGCTCAGTAGAGACACACGGACTGTTCAGTAGAGACTCACGGACTGCTCAGTAGAGACTCACGGACTGTTCAGTAGAGACTCACGGACTGCTCAGTAGCGACCCACGGACTGTTCAGTAGCGACCCACGGACTGTTCAGTAGAGACCCACGGACTGCGCGGGAAAGTCAAAGGGGAGGAGCAGGAGCAGAAAATCAACGCCCACAGGAGATAAACTTCGCTGAACCTTTCCTCGGGACGTTCGTGCAGCGACCAATCAGAGAGCAGCAAAGTGGTCACGGGGACATTGGTGGTCTGAGCGAGCAGACTGAACATACTGTAAACAGCCAAAACAGGAGCTACACCAGGACTAAACCAGGACTAAACCAGGACTAAACCAGGACTAAACCTGGACTGAACCTGGACTGAACCTGGACTGAACCTGGACTGAACCTGGACTGAACCTGGACTGAACCTGGACTGAACCTGGACTGAACCTGGACTGAACCTGGACTGAACCTGGACTAAACCAGGACTAAACCAGGACTAAACCAGGACTAAACCAGGACTAAACCAGGACTAAACCAGGGTTGACAATGGGGACATAGTGCTTGTTAACATGTGCTTTCATGCTTCCGTGACTTTATGCAACTGCTTCGAGTGTGTTCGCCGATGCGGAAATACCGTTTAATAATAAAATAAACTTATTGCGCACCTCCGTGAACACACACTACTGTTATATAAAGCCTGTGAAGGTCTCTGAACACAGACACGCTGCAAAGCTGCATTATTGGAGAAGATCTTTTAACGAGAAGCAGCTAGCATAGCTCTGTTAGCATCAGAGCCGGCTACTTCCGCCACTTCCGGTGCTGGTCAGGACGTTCTGGTGTGAAGACCCTGCATCTGAAAACTAGAGAATGCACGTCTGGTGAGCGAGGCTTCAGCGTTTGAGCGTTTGTGGTCTGAACGCGGCATAAGACCTGTGTTGTACCGTGCTCTGACCTCTGACCCCTGACCCCAGGAGGCCTCCCCCCTCCCCCTCCCCCCGGTGGCCTTAGGGGGGGGTCAGCAGCAGCAGCAGGAGGAGCTCAGAGCGTTACAGCAGCAGCTGCAGCAGCTGTGCACAGGTGTGGAGCAGCTCACAGTGGAACTGAAGCACCGGAGCCTCACCGCAGCACAGGTACCACAGCACAGGGACCACAGCACAGTTACTACAGCACAGGGACCACAGCACAGTTACTACAGCACAGGGACCACAGCACAGGTACCACAGCACAGGGACCACAGCACAGTTACTACAGCACAGGGACCACAGCACAGGGACCACAGCACAGGGACCACAGCACAGGGACCACAGCACAGGGACCACAGCACAGGGAGCACAGCACAGGGACCACACAGGGACCACAGCACAGGGACCACAGCACAGGGACCACAGCACAGGGACCACACAGCACAGGGACCACAGCACAGGGACCACCACCACAGCACAGCACAGGGACCACAGCACAGGGAGCACAGCACAGGGACCACAGCACAGGGACCACAGCACAGGGCACAGGGACCACAGCACAGGGACCAGGGACCACAGCACAGGGACCACAGCACAGGGACCACAGCACAGGGACCACAGCACAGGGACACACAGCACAGGGACACAGCACAGGGACCACAGCAGCGTGAAAATGAGGAAAAACAACATCAGATCCAAGTCAAGAAGAAAACCATCGACCTTCTACCAGAGACCGACAAGAACCTGCTCCAGATGCAGGTGAGCTGTTCCCATGGTTACGGACCATGTGTGCTCACAACACAGCAGTCTGGCCAGAGAGAGAGAGACCAGAGAGAGAGAGGCCAGAGAGCGAGAGAGGCCAGAGAGCGAGAGAGGCCAGAGAGGAGAGGGAGGCCAGAGAGAGAGGGAGGCCAGAGAGAGAGAGAGAGAGGCTAGAGAGAGAGAGGCTAGAGAGAGAGAGGCCAGAGAGAGAGAGAGGCTAGAGAGAGAGAGGCCAGAGAGAGAGAGAGGCAGAGAGAGAGAGAGGCCAGAGAGAGAGAGAGGCCAGAGAGAGAGGGAGGCCAGAGAGAGAGAGCGAGAGAGAGAGGCCAGAGAGAGAGAGAGGCCAGAGAGAGAGGGAGGCCAGAGAGAGAGAGCGAGAGAGGCCAGAGAGAGAGTGAGGCCAGAGAGAGAGAGAGAGGCCAGAGAGAGAGAGCGAGAGAGAGAGGCCATAGAGAGAGAGAGAGAGAGGCCAGAGAGAGAGGCCATAGAGAGGCCAGAGAGAGAGAGAGAGGCCAGAGAGAGAGGCCAGAGAGAGAGAGGCCAGAGAGAGGCCAGAGAGAGAGGCCAGGGAGAGAGGGAGCGAGAGAGAGAGGCCAGAGAGAGGCCAGAGAGAGACACCAGAGAGAGCGAGACCCGAGCAAGATCATGAGGGATTATGAGATTGACAGACAGGTTTTCAGTGATATGGACTCTGTATTGGACTGTTCCCTCACCTCTGGTCCTGAGCTTTGAGATAAGACCGAGAGGACGAGATCACGGAAACAAGCGACACTTAAGTTTTGAGTTTTGAGTGGATCCGCCCTAGAGATAGTCACACAGGAGGAGCTCGGAGTAGAGCTCATACTCACATACGTCGTATTCTTTATGTACTATTTCCTCATATTTGTGACTTTTGCAGGAGCAGGTGGAGACCAGCGCACGCCGTGTACTCAGCCTCGCACGCAGTGGAAAAACACAGGACTCCCACTGATCGAAGAGAAACGCAGACTGAAGGAACTCTGCAGGGTCCAGGACGTGCAAGTGACCAGAGGGAGACCAGAGGGAGACCAGAGGGAGACCAGAGGGGAGACCAGAGGGAGACAGAGGGAGACCAGAGGGAGGCCCAAAGAAAAAAGAGGGAGACCAGAGGAGGCCAGAGGAGACCAGAGAGAAACCAGAGAGAGAGACCAGGAGAGAGAGACCATAGAGAGAGAGACCATAGAGAGACCATAGAGAGAGGCCATAGAGAGAGGCCATTAGAGAGAGGCCATAAGAGAGAGGCCATAGAGAGAGGCCATAGAGAGAGGCCATAGAGGGAGGCCATAGAGAGGCCATAAGAGGGAGGCCATACAGAGAGACCATGAGAGAGAGGCCATAGAGAGGCCATAGAGGGAGGGCCATAGAGAGAGGCCATAGAGGAGGCCATAGAGAGAGGCCATAGAGAGAGGCCATAGAGAGGCCATAGAGAGAGAGGGCCATAGAGAGAGGCATAGAGAGAGGCCATAGAGGGAGGAGAGAGAGGCCATAGAGGGAGGCCATAGAGAGAGAGGCCATAGAGGAGGCCATAGAGAGAGGGCATAGAGAGAGGCCCATAGCCATAGAGAGGCCATAGAGAGAGGCCATAGAGAGAGGCCATAGAGAGAGGCCATAGAGAGATGCCATAGAGAGAGGCATCATAGAGAGAGGCCATAGAGAGAGGCCATAGAGAGAGAGGCCATAGAGAGAGGCATAGAGAGAGAGGCCATAGAGAGAGGCCATAGAGAGAGGCCATAGAGAGAGGCATAGAGAGAGGCCATAGAGTAGAAGAGGGCAATAGAGAGAGGCCATAGAGAGAGGCCATAGAGAGAGGCCATAGAGAGAGGCCATAGAGAGAGAGGCCATAGAGAGAGGCCATAGAGAGAGAGGCCATAGAGAGAGGCCATAGAGAGAGGCCATAGAGAGAGGCCATAGAGAGAGGCCATAGAGAGAGGCCATAGAGAGAGGCATAGAGAGAGGCCATAGAGAGAGGCCATAGAGAGAGGGCATAGAGGAGCCATAGAGAGGCATAGAGAGAGACCATAGAGAGAGGCCATAGAGGCCATAGAGAGGCCATAGAGGGAGGCCATAGACAGAGGCCATAGAGAGAGGCCATAGAGGGAGGCCATAGAGAGAGGCCATAGAGAGGCCATAGAGGAGGCCATAGAGAGAGAGGCCATAGAGAGAGAGGCCATAGAGAGAGGCCATAGAGAGAGGCCATAGAGAGAGGCCATAGAGAGAGGCCATAGAGAGAGGCCATAGAGAGAGGCCATAGAGAGAGGCCATAGAGAGGCCATAGAGGAGAGGCCATAGAGAGAGGCCATAGAGAGAGGCCATAGAGAGAGGCCATAGAGAGAGGCCATAGAGAGAGGCCATAGAGAGAGGCCATAGAGAGAGGCCATAGAGAGGCCATAGAGAGAGGCCATAGAGCCTAGGAGGCCATAGAGAGAGACCATAGAGAGAGACCATAGAGAGAGACCATAGAGAGAGACCATAGAGAGAGACCATAGAGAGAGGGCATAGAGAGAGGCCATAGAGGGAGGCCATAGAGAGAGGCCAAAGAGCAACCCGCCTTGAGGCTATACTGTTTATCTGGTGCAGATGGAATCTTCTGGAAAATTGTCTGAGATCCGGTCTCTACACGAAAAGATCTCTGTGTGTTCGGAGGAGGCGAAGAAGAAGGAGCAGACCTACAAACAGCTGGTATTTCACTGCTGCGTCTCCTCCTCCTCTGAAATCATCTCATTCACTTCATTTGGATCAGAGGCATGGAGGAGGTGGATCATCAACACTATTGGTCCTCCTCATTGTCAATCATTCTGGTGCTACGGTTCTTTCCTAACATTTGGGAATATCCTCCTATAAACCTTTAAAGTAGCAATATGTAAGATTTTCATGTCATCATTAGAGGGCCCTAATCTGTCATCATTAAAGGGCCCTAATCTGTCATCATTAAAGGGCCCTAATCTGTCATCATTAAAGTGCCCTAATCTGTCATCATTAAAGGGCCCTAATCTGTCATCATTAAAGGGCCCTAATCTGTCATCATTAAAGGGCCCTAATCTGTCATCATTAAAGGGCCCTAATCTGTCATCATTAAAGGGCCCTAATCTGTCATCATTAAAGGGCCCTAATCTGTCATCATTAAAGGGCCCTAATCTGTCATCATTAAAGGGCCCTAATCTGGCATCATTAAAGGGCCCTAATCTGTCATCATTAAAGGGCCCTAATCTGTCATCATTAAAGGGCCCTAATCTGTCATCATTAAAGGGCCCTAATCTGGCATCATTAAAGGGCCCTAATCTGTCATCATTAAATGGCCCTAATATGTCATCATTAAAGGGCCCTAATCTGTCATCATTAAAGGGCCCTAATCTGTCATCATTAAAGGGCCCTAATCTGTCATCATTAAAGGGCCCTAATCTGTCATCATTAAAGGGCCCTAATCTGTCATCATTAAAGGGCCCTAATCTGGCATCATTAAAGGGCCCTAATCTGTCATCATTAAAGGGCCCTAATCTGTCATCATTAAAGGGCCCTAATCTGTCATAATTAAAGGGCCCTAATCTGTCATCATTAAAGGGCCCTAATCTGTCATCATTAAAGGGCCCTAATCTGTCATCATTAAAGGGCCCTAATATGTCATCATTAAAGGGCCCTAATCTGTCATCATTAAAGGGCCCTAATCTGGCATCATTAAAGGGCCCTAATCTGTCATAATTAAAGGGTCCTAATCTGTCATCATTAAAGGGTCCTAATCTGTCATCATTAAAGGGTCCTAATCTGGCATCATTAAAGGGCCCTAATCTGTCATCATTAAAGGGCCCTAATCTGTCATAATTAAAGGGCCCTAATCTGTCATTATTAAATGGCCCTAATCTGTCATCATTAAAGGGCCCTAATCTGTCAGAAGGCATGAATAAAACATGCTCTTTTCCAATACTTCTTTAACTGATAACAATAGTTCATTTGGATTTCAAAATGAGTTTTACAGCCCCTAATTCTTCCCCCGTCCACCGTTTCACCAATCTGAAAGTCCGTAATCTGGGCGCCAGAACTCACTGCGTGGAGCTAATCTCACTGGCAAAGTACCATGTGGCGTAGAACTAAAAAAGGTCTCGTTATGATTCTCAAATCATTAACGACAAAATAAGGAATAAAACCAGGATTTCTATCTTTGTGAAAAAGGTGTTGGTTATAGATTTGTTGTTGACTAAACTCTTGTCTATTCAGCTGTTATGGTCCCAGCTGGATTCGTCTGCATATCTGGCAACCTGAGTCAGGGAGAGTGGGAGAGGCTGCAGTAACTTTGATTCATGCAGAGAACTCACAACTGCTACTGTGTCTCTGTGTGTGTGGCCAAAAGTGGTACTGCAGCCTCTCCTACTCCTGGGTCAACATAAGGAGCAGCAGCGCTACCCTGAGCTAACCCTCTGGTCCCTTGTGGCAGGTGTCGGAGCTGGAGTCTCTGCCTCAGGACGTGTCCCGCTCGGCCTACACCCAGAGGATCCTGGAGATCGTCAGCAACATCCGAAAACAGAAGGAGGAGATCAGCAAAGTAAGAACCTGAGCATTCTCTGGGTCTGGTGTCAGGACCTCCTCCTGGTCCTCTGGGTCTGGTGTCAGGGCCTCCTCCTGGTCCTCTCAGTCTGGTGTCAGGGCCTCCTCCTGGCCATCTGGGTCTGGTGTCAGGACCTTTTCTGGTCCTCATGTAGATGGAGTTAGTCCAAGTCCTTCAGGTCCATGTCACACCATAACGTATCATTAGGTCTGGTTTGGTCCAATGGAAGTACAGTGATCTCTTCTGGTCCTCCCTAATAGTAACATCACACTGTAAAAACAATTGGACCAGGTATCGACCCCTGAGGCACACCAGAGCTGCTGTGGAGGGTGAGCTCTGGTCCACATGGTGCCTCTCTGTGAAGTAGGAAGTGTCTTTCAGTGTCCAAAAAAGCACTGTACGAGTTTGATGTATTATTATTATTATTTATTATTTATCATGCAGCGTTATTTTGAGTCTCACAAACATTATGCTGTTTTCAGTCAGATGTGTCGACTGTTGTGTGTTCTGTGTGTTACACGTACACAACTGTTACACAACCTTCACAGAGCAACACACACCACAGAGCACCACACACCACAGAGCACCACACACCACAGAGCAACACAACCACAGAGCACCACACACTACAGAGCACCACAACCACAGAGCAACACACACCACAGAGCACCACACACCACAGAGCAACACAACCACAGAGCACCACACACCACAGAGCACCACACACTACAGAGCACCACACACCACAGAGCACCACACACCACAGAGCAACACAACCACAGAGCACCACAACCACAGAGCACCACACACTACAGAGCACCACACACCACAGAGCACCACACACTACAGAGCACCACACACTACAGAGCACCACACACCACAGAGCAACACACACCACAGAGCACCACACACCAGATTATAGACTCATCATGTGTAGATTATACGTGTGTAGATTATACGTGTGTGTAGATTATACGTGTGTGGATTATACGTTTGGATTATACGTGTGTGGATTATACGTGTGTGGATTATACGTGTGTGGATTATACGTGTGTGGATTATACGTGTGTAGATTGTACGTGTGTGGATTATACATGTGTGGATTATACGTGTGGATTATACGTGTGTAGATTATACGTGTGTGGATTATACGTGTGGATTATCCGTGTGGATTATACGTGTGTAGATTATACGTGCGTAGATTATACGTGTGTGGATTATACGTGTGTGGATTATACGTGTGTGGATTATACGTGTGTAGATTATACGTGTGTGTAGATTATACGTGTGTGGATTATACGTGTGTGGATTATACGTGTGTAGATTATACGTGTGTGGATTATGCGTGTGTGGATTGTACGTGTGTGGATTATACGTGTGTAGATTATACGTGTGTGGATTATACGTGTGTGGATTATACATGTATAGATTATACATGTGTAGATTATAATCTCTGTAATCTGTGTCTGCTGCAGATTCTGTCGGACACTAAAGAACTGCAGAAGGAGATCAACTCTCTGACGGGGAAACTGGACCGAACCTTTGCCGTCACAGACGAGCTCATCTTTAAGGTGAGACCGAGACAGCAGTGAGACCGAGGCAGCAGTGAGTAGGTCCGAGACAGCAGCGAGACCGAGACAGCAGCGAGACCGAGGCATAGACTGTAAAAATTAACGGACAGTCACGCCTATCTCCGGCGTTCTAACTAATGGGCCAAACAATGTGCTCTACTGGAGCTATCCAAAATGGCCGTGAGTGGTCCCGCCCACAAGAAAATTATGAAAAAATGCATCTGCGCATGAGACAGCCGGAGCAGCTCCATTCATTTGAACGAGAGACTTCAAAAATTCACAGCAAGTAAACTAGAGTGGTCCAGAACACTCAGCATTGACACACATGTGGAACGGAGCTTTGGGCCAAGAGCCAACTTTTGGTCCATCCTGTAAAGACGTTTTTGAGAGACACGGGGAGAACATGCAAACTCCACTCAGAAAGGCCCTATTCCGACCGGGATTTGAACCCAGGACCTTCTTGCTGAGAAGCGAGAGTGCTATCCACTCGGTCACCGTGCCGTAGCAGCAGTACTAGCATCAGTAGACACAGGTCCAAACCCTCTCTGACCCTACACCTCTTCTGTTGTGAACTGAACCTTATTTAAAGCTGGTTTTAACTGGTCACAGGAGGGCGCCGTAGCATGCAAACGCCTAAAGGCGCGTTCAGACCAAAAGCTTCAAAAAGCTTTTAACGCGCTTCAACTGACGCCGGGATAGTTTTGTCATTTTGGTGCTTGAAGCTTTTGACGCGCGTCAAGCTCTCGGCTTCACCTGACGCGCTTCACCATTCACTTTCAATGCAAAACTGACGCTTTTGAAGACGAAGTTAAGTCCGGTGTGAACGCCCCTTAACAGGAGGCAAAACCCTGTGTCACATGATCCCTGTGTCACATGATCCCTGTGTCACATGATCCCTGTGTCACATGATCCCTGTGTCACATGATCCCTGTGTCACATGATCCCTGTGTCACATGATCCCTGTGTCACATGATCCCTGTGTCACATGATCCCTGTGTCACATGATCCCTGTGTCACATGATCCCTGTGTCACAGATCCCTGTGTCACATGATCCCTGTGTCACATGATCCCTGTGTCACATGATCCCTGTGTCACATGATCCCTGTGTCACATGATCCCTGTGTCACATGATCCCTGTGTCACATGATCCCTGTGTCACATGATCCCTGTGTCACATGATCCCTGTGTCACAGATCCCTGTGTCACATGATCCCTGTGTCACAGATCCCTGTGTCACATGATCCCTGTGTCACATGATCCCTGTGTCACATGATCCCTGTGTTTCAGGACGCCAAGCGAGACGAGTCGGTCCGGAAGTCCTACAAGCACCTGGCCGCGCTGCACGAGGTACCATGTGTGCAGTACATCTCTGACACCACCAGAGGGGGCACTGTCCCTGATCCAGAACCATTGCACATACAGACATGTGATTAAAGCTGAGGGACCTGACTTTAGACTCTTTCATAAATAACACGTTTGAACAGACACAACATTCTGTCTGTCTCTGGTCTCCTTCTCTTTGGTCTCTCTCCCTGGATCTGGTCTCCCACTGGTCCCTCTTTGGTCTCTTTCTGGTCTCTCTCTCTCTCTCGCTCTCGCTCTCGCTCTCTCTCTTGCTCTCTCTCTTGCTCTCTCTCTTGCTCTCTGCTCTCTCTGGTCTTGTGGGTTTTGACAGAGATCTGTTTGTGTGTTTAAGAAAGTCTTTGCTTGTTCTCTCTCTGTTCAGAACTGCAACCAGCTGATCCAGACCATCGAGGACACAGGCTCCATCCTGAGAGAGATCCGCGATTTAGAGGAACAGGTGCGGAGACCAGAGAGAGACCAGAGAGAGAGACCAGAGAGAGAGACCAGAGAGAGAGACCAGAGAGAGAGAGACCAGAGAGAGAGACCAGAGAGAGAGACCAGAGAGAGACCAGAGAGAGAGACCAGAGAGAGAGAGACCAGAGAGAGAGACCAGAGAGAGACCAAAGAGAGACCAAAGAGAGACCAGAGAGAGACCAGAGAGAGAGACCAGAGAGAGACCAGAGAGAGAGACCAGAGAGAGAGACCAGAGAGAGAGAGACCAGAGAGAGAGACCAGAGAGAGAGACCAAAGAGAGACCAGAGAGAGACCAGAGAGAGACCAGAGAGAGACCAGAGAGAGACCAGAGAGAGACCAGAGAGAGAGACCAGAGCGAGAGAGACCAAATAGAGAAACCAGAGAGAGAGACCAGAGACCGGGGAGAGAGAGACCAGAGAGGGAGACCGGAGAATGATAGAAAGAGAGCAGAGAGTGAGAGAACAGAGAGCGAGAGAGAAGAGAGTGAGAGACCAGCGAGCCAGAGACCAGTAGTAGTAGAAGGTGTGGTACCATAACTATCTGACATGTTTCCTGTCTGTGGTTTCCTGGTTTCAGATCGAAACAGAGAGCGGCAACAAGACTGTGGCAAACCTGGAGCGGATCCTAGAAGACTACAGGTCCATCAGACTGGAAAACTCTGCTCTGGCTGCTAAAGTCCAGTGACCAGAGAGAGAGACCAGAGAGAGAGAGACCAGAGAGAGAGACCAGAGAGAGAGACCAGAGAGAGAGAGACCAGAGAGAGAGAGACCAGAGAGAGAGAGACCAGAGAGAGAGAGACCAGAGAGAGAGAGACCAGAGAGAGAGAGACCAGAGAGAGAGACCAGAGAGAGAGACCAGAGAGAGAGAGACCAGAGAGAGAGAGACCAGAGAGAGAGAGACCAGAGAGAGAGACCAGAGAGAGAGAGACCTGAGAGAGAGGGACCAGAGAGAGAGAGACCAGAGAGAGAGAGACCTGAGAGAGAGGGACCAGAGAGAGGGACCAGAGAGAGAGAGACCAGAGAGAGAGAGACCAGAGAGAGAGAGACCAGAGACCAGACAGAGACCAGAGAGAGAGACCAGAGAGAGACCAGAGAGAGACCAGAGAGAGAGAGACCAGAGAGAGACCAGAGAGAGAGAGACCAGAGAGAGAGGGACCAGACAGAGAGAGACCAGAGAGAGAGAGACCTGAGAGAGAGACCAGAGAGAGGGACCAGACAGAGAGAGACCAGAGAGAGAGACCAGAGAGAGAGACCAGAGAGAGAGGGACCAGACAGAGACCTGAGAGAGAGAGACCAGAGAGAGAGACCAGAGAGAGAGACCCGAGAGAGAGACCCGAGAGAGAGACCAGAGAGAGAGACCAGAGAGAGAGACCAGAGAGAGAGAGACCTGAGAGAGAGACCAGAGAGAGAGAGACCAGAGAGAGAGACCAGAGAGAGAGACCAGAGAGAGAGACCAGAGAGAGAGACCAGAGAGAGAGAGACCAGAGAGAGAGACCAGAGAGAGAGACCAGAGAGCGAGAGACCAGCGAGAGAGGGACCAGACAGAGAGAGACCAGAGAGAGAGGGACCAGACAGAGAGAGACCAGAGAGAGAGGGACCAGAGAGAGAGACCAGAGAGCGAGAGACCAGAGAGAGAGAGACCAGAGAGAGAGGGACCAGACAGAGAGAGACCAGACAGAGAGAGACCAGAGAGAGAGGAACCAGAGAGAGAGAGACCAGAGAGAGAGACCAGAGAGAGAGAGACCAGAGAGAGAGACCAGAGAGAGAGAGACCAGAGAGAGAGGGACCAGACAGAGAGAGACCAGAGAGAGAGGGACCAGACAGAGAGAGACCAGAGAGAGAGGGACCAGAGAGAGAGACCTGAGAGAGAGACCAGAGAGAGAGAGACCAGAGAGAGGGACCAGACAGAGAGAGACCAGAGAGAGAGACCAGAGAGAGAGGGACCAGACAGAGACCTGAGAGAGAGAGACCAGAGAGAGAGACCCGAGAGAGAGACCCGAGAGAGAGACCAGAGAGAGAGACCAGAGAGAGAGAGACCAGAGAGAGAGAGACCAGAGAGAGGGACCAGACAGAGAGAGACCAGAGAGAGAGACCAGAGAGAGAGGGACCAGACAGAGACCTGAGAGAGAGAGACCAGAGAGAGAGACCCGAGAGAGAGACCCGAGAGAGAGACCAGAGAGAGAGGACCAGAGAGAGAGAGACCAGAGAGAGAGAGACCAGAGAGAGAGAGACCAGAGAGAGAGAGACCAGAGAGAGAGAGACCGGCGAGGAGAGGGACCTGAGAGAGAGAGACCAGAGAGAGAGGGACCAGACAGAGAGAGACCAGAGAGAGAGGGACCAGAGAGAGAGAGACCAGAGAGAGAGGGACCAGAGAGAGAGAGACCAGAGAGAGAGGGACCAGACAGAGACCAGAGAGAGACCTGAGAGAGAGAGACCAGAGAGAGAGACCAGAGAGAGAGACCAGAGAGAGAGACCAGAGAGAGAGACCAGAGAGAGAGACCCGAGAGAGAGACCCGAGAGAGAGAGACCAGAGAGAGAGAGACCGCGAGAGAGGGACCAGAGAGAGAGGGACCAGAGAGAGAGGGACCAGAGAGACAGAGACCAGAGAGAGAGTCCAGAGAGAGAGAGACCAGCGAGAGAGAGACCAGAGAGAGAGACCAGAGAGAGAGACCCGAGAGAGAGACCCGAGAGAGAGACCCGAGAGAGAGACCAGAGAGAGAGAGACCAGAGAGAGAGAGACCAGAGAGAGAGAGACCAGAGAGAGAGAACAGAGAGGGACCAGAGAGAGGGACCAGAGAGAGGGACCAAGAGAGAGGGACCAGAGAGAGAGAGACCCGAGAGAGAGACCAGAGAGAGAGAGACCAGAGAGAGACCAGAGAGAGAGAGACCAGAGAGAGAGAGACCAGAGAGAGAGAGACCGAGAGCCAGAGAGAGAGACCAAAGTCCAGTAACATCACAGCCTCACTTTCTGTTTGATGTTTTCTCTCTGTTCTTTTTGCTTCTGACGATAAAGAAATAAACAGTTCCTGATGAAGACCTGGTCCTGGTTTTGTGACAGACCACAGCAGAAAGTTTGGAGTTTGTATGTTCTGTGTAGGTTTCCTCCAGGTGCTCCAGTTTCCCCTACCACTAAAACCATGTAGAGTATCTCCCTTGAAAAAGATTCTGAAATCTCAGTAGTAGTAGGTGTAGCGACTCCATCCATCCATCTTCTTCCCCTTAATCCATGTCTGGGTCGGGGGTGGCAGTCAGAGCACCCTCACTGATCCTCCTGCTCGTACTGATCCTCCTGCTCGTCCTGGTCCTCACTGATCCTCCTGCAGGTGCTGAGTCCTCCATCTTTCAGCAAGGACTTCAGGCAAAGTGGGGTTAAGTGTCTTGCCCAAGGACACAACGACAACAGTCATCAATGGGAGTCATGAAAAAGGTCCCTGGTCTCTCTCTGGTCTCTCTCTCTGGTCTCTCTCTGGTCTCTCTCTCTGGTCTCTCTCTGGTCTCTCTCTGGTCTCTCTCTGGTCTCTCTCTGGTCTCTATGGACTTCCTGTCAAAACAAATTATAGAGCAAAAAAAATATAGTTTATAAAGAGAGGAGGCTGGGACCAGGAGGCTCAGACCAGGAGGCTCGGACCAGGAGGCTCGGACCAGGAGGCTCGGACCAGGAGGCTCGGACCAGGAGGCTCGGACCAGGAGGCTCGGACCAGGAGGCTCGGACCAGGAGGCTCGGACCAGGAGGCTCGGACCAGGAGGCTCGGACCAGGAGGCTCGGACCAGGAGGCTCGGACCAGGAGGCTCGGACCAGGAGGCTCGGACCAGGAGGCTCGGACCAGGAGGCTCGGACCAGGAGGCTCGGACCAGGAGGCCCGGACCAGGAGGCTCGGACCAGGAGGCTCGGACCAGGAGGCTCAGACCAGGAGGCTCGGACCAGGAGGAGGGGTCAGAGTTAGCTCCACTCTTCATCTTTATGGTCTTCATATGGTTCTCATGAGACAAAGGCTTCTGCAGCGTCGTAAAAGACAATTGGTCTAAGTCTGTGTGTCTCTGTGTGTGTGTGTCTGTCTGTGCAAGTCTATGTGTGTCTGTCTGTGTGTGTGTCTCTGTGTGTGAGTCTGTGTGTGTGTGTGTTAGTGTGTGTCTCCATCCTCATCTTCTGCTCACATTTATGATCAGATAAAAACCTTTATTGGTCTCTCAAGGAAATGTTGATGTTGCAGCGCACGGATATGGATATAAATATCTATATGTGTGTGTGTGTGTGTGTGTGTGTGTGTGTGTGTCTCAGACACACACATGTATGGATATAAATATCTATACGTGTGTGTGTGTGCTGTTATGGCAAGTTGGATTAGCCTCAAGGACGCCAACTCACCCCCCGCTGTTCTATTCAATTAACCTGCAGGAAGGAACCGGTCTCCCCCCTGCACCGACAGACATGACGCAAATTACTATCTCACCTTTGCCCCTTTTGCATTTTGCATCTCTATCGGTCCGTATGTCTGCATCTCTATTGACCTCTTACATTCTGCATGTCTTTTGTCCCTTCTGTTTGCATCTCCATGGCAACAAAGATTGTCTCTCACCAGGCAAGGCGCCTCGCCATCTGGATGCCCGTCTCAAACTGTGACCCCTCCCACCTTTTGTGGGCGTGACTGTCTTTCATGTGTTGTCTATGTAAACGGGGACCTGGGACTGGCCCCGCCAGAACTGATGTACGCTATCTTGTGTATGTGAGTTCTCCGCACGTGTGTTATAATAAACTTACGCTCCTGATTAAGACAAATACCTTTCCAGCTGTTTCCTTACTGTGGATAGAAACTCCCACAACAATTTGGCGTTGCTGGCATGTCTTGGCCTGGGTTTTTTTCGGCGGGGACGAGCGGGTGCGTTCGGCCGACCTGGAACAAAACCAGCCTCTGCTCTATTTGGAGACGAAAGGAGGGCGCGCTCGTCCGGCGCATGAAAAGAATCTTTGGCCACACAAGACCAAAAAGAACCTGATTTGGTGAGTTTTGTCTTTTCATTTGCGTAACAAGCCCAGGGCAGCGCTTAAGTGTACACGGGTATTTGATTTATTTACGTATTTTTGGGGTATTTCATTCATTGCCACAGCGTAGACTGTGTGCGGGTAATCCTAGCGGCTGCGTGTTAGTATCGCTCTGTAAGCGACCCTGAGAACTCTTTGTGCCTTCAGCCAGGCCCGGTCCGTTTCAAAAACGCGCGCCCGTTAGGTGTATTGAACTAACGGGGGGGGAACGGATCGCTCCAAAGTGAGGAAGAGCAGGGAGAGACTAAGCGAGGCTAGGCCCATTGTTCTGTACGTGAAAATGGGGAAAAATCAATCTAGAGATGCCACACCGAGGGGAATGTTAACGTCCCCCGTAACAATGGCAATGGAAAAACGGTTCGGATCTAAAGCAATGGAGTGCCTGCCTATATGGTGCAGTTCATTCGGCTTTCCCGATGGAGGTTCTATGTCTTTGAATCAATTACGCATCTTGCGTGAAAATTTAGAAGAAGAAAGGGAAAAAATACTTGGTTTTAAGAAAATTACAGCAGAAGACGTTAGGGCCATACTGAAACACCAGACCTGTCTTGCCATGTGGGAGGATTTAGCTACAGAACGGGACCGCAAAAAGACGAATAAAGCCATAGCTGCCCCGCCTTCCACAGAGGGGGGGGACACACAGGCGGACACACACACACACACACATCCCACACACCCCCCACCCTACCGCCCTTTCTCACCTACTAACCCTTTCACAGAAGGAGCAGAACTCCATGCTAAGTACGCGCCCAAGCAAAGCGCTGTGTTAAAAAATGTGCAGACTACTGTTGTGCCCTCTCTCTCTCTCTACCCAGATTTGTCCACGCTTTCCTCCGTGGCCCCGCTGTATGAAACCGGCCCCTGTCCTACGCCTGAAACACCGCCGCGCCAGAGCCAACCACGTCAGTGCCTCACAAAGCCTCTCGCATCTGCTGACGCCCCACAGGAAGTGGGCCCCGCGCCGGCAGCAGCAGAAGGAGAAGCGCCGGAAGCAGAACCGCGATGGAGCAGGGAAACGCTCCGGCGGGAACCGAGGCCCACAAATCACTTCGTCGCCACTTTCCCCATGATAGAGATGGTGGGCCGAGAAGGACCGGCGCTGGTCTTCAGACCCTGGGGGCCGAGCGAGTTTTTATCCGCTTCGCAACTGCTGTCTACACGGCCAGAGACAAACTGCTCAAAATTCAGCGAAGACCTGCTCGCTTTCTGTCGCGAATACAAGCCCTCAGGAGCGGAGTGCGCTCGGGTTCTCGTTTACAAGATGTCGCCTGCGGACTTTGGGAAATTTAAGCCATATTTGCCAGAGCCAGGACTACGGGCTAAAGAGATTGTGGAGTCAGACTCCGGAGCATATTTGACTGCCATAAAGAAAATGTGTGACGGGCTGGCAGCAGTTTTTCCACGCAAATATGACCTAACCATCCTGTCTAAATGCAAGCAGGAAAAAGGCGAAAGGGTCGAGGAGTACTATAGCCGCCTGTTGTCTGTGTTCAATGAACACTCTGGTGTACCCCCGAAGCTCCCAGGTGCAACGGACGGGGAGGAGAAGGACAATCCCGTTTACAACGGTTATTTATGCTCCAGATTTGTCGAAGGACTGTTACCAGAGGTGGCTTTAAAGGTGCGGGACTCGTATGTCGCATTTGATGACGGACCACAGATAAAGGAACTACTTATGCACGCCAAACATGCAATTTTTTGTTTGGAAGCATTGAAAAGTCAGGCTACACTGCTGTCGGTCCAAGCCCTTAATTCCTTAAACCCCAATGACATTTCCAAAAAGGACAAAAAGGGATGGGAGAAAAACAACGGAACGAGGATAGAATGCTGGAACTGTGGAAAAGTTGGCCACAGGGCAAGACCGCACCTGTTCCTCTAAATCGCGGATCTCTCTCAGGATGGAGCCTGTGTCCTCGATGGTCTGGATCAGCTGGTTGCAGTTCTGAACAGAGAGAGAACAAGCAAATACTTTCTTAAACACACAAACAGATCTCTGTCAAAACCCACAAGACCAGAGAGAGCAGAGAGCAAGAGAGAGAGCAAGAGAGAGAGAGAGAGAGAGAGAGAGAGAGAGCAGAGAAAGAGAGCAGAGAGAGACCAGAAAGAGACCAAAGAGGGACCAGTGGGAGACCAAAGAGAAGGAGACCAGAGACAGACAGAATGTTGTGTCTGTTCAAATGTGTTATTTATGAAAGAGTCTAAAGTCAGGTCCCTCAGCTTTAATCACATGTCTGTATGTGCAATGGTTCTGGATCAGGGACAGTGCCCCCTCTGGTGGTGTCAGAGAGGTACTGCACACATGGTACCTCGTGCAGCGCGGCCAGGTGCTTGTAGGACTTCCGGACCGACTCGTCTCGCTTGGCGTCCTGAAACACAGGGATCATGTGACACAGGGATCATGTGACACAGGGATCATGTGACACAGGGATCATGTGACACAGGGATCATGTGACACAGGGTTTTGCCTCCTGTTAACTCATTCACTGCCCATGACGACAAAACTCGTCATGTTGAATAGTAACGCTCACTGCCCATGACGAGTTTGACGAGTTTTTCGTGTTATTACACGGGAGGCTGCAGTAATGTCTGGCGCACCTTGTGAATGACCCACAACACTGATATATAGTACAAATGTACCTGTAATGATAAATCACCACCAGTAGGATGCAGTATTGCACCACAGGAGAGGTCATAAGTCAGTGGAGAGAAGGAGGAGGAGTGTGGGAGTGTGAGAAAGCGTGGTGCTGTAGCAGAGCGTGCTGCTGTAGCATTGAGACGGATCAGTGATCTAGTTTAGCGATAGTATAGCAAGAGTGATGGAGAAAAAGAATAGTTATAAGCAGTTGACACTGCTTCAGAGATTGACTCGCGGATCAGTGAGTGAGGTCGAGAGGGGAGAGAGGGGAGACCCCGGTGGAGGTCCGTCTCTGCAGCCACATTTGCGCGGAGCAAGAGCCCGGAGCAGAGACACACCTTCCGCCTCTCCAGCGTATCAGCTGCTGTTGTTACTGATGCCTCGGATTCGTTCAGCAAACCTGATCATGATTTATCGGACACACTCACAAACACTCACACGCACTCACTCACTCACTCACGCACACAGACACTCACTCGCACACTGACATTCACACACACTGACATTCACACACACAGACACTCACTCGCACACTGACATTCACACACACACACTCAAATTCACATGCTTCATTCTATTTTATACATCTATAGTTTTATTGATCTTTGTGTTGTTGTTGTTTGACGTTTTGGTTGATGGTATAGAAGAAAGTTAAATTTTCTATCTGTGAATAAATTGCAATTGCAATTTGCCATCAAAAGTATTATTTCAGAGTCATGTTTTTATATTTTTTGTAATGGAACAAGTGTGAAGATGTTTTGAGTTGTCACTAAAGCAGCAAAAATGCATCTAAAAGTCTCTTTTCTGCTTGATATGTTCCTGTTTACATACAGCTCGTTTTCTCTGTTTTCTTGCTCAGACCAGGTGTTATGGGTGAAAGTATGCTTTGTTCTATGGCGAATAACGCAAGAACGGTAAGAGGTAGAAACAAACTGTTTTTTTCAGAGTAAAGCAGAGAGGTGAATCTTTAATTTGGTGCCCTTGGTGTTTACATTGTCTAAAAAATGAATATTCTGTGGCACTTCAAAGTTGGGTCAAATCACCTGAAATTGCTGGCAGAACGCACTTCTCAAATCTGAAAATGCCTGGCAGTCAGTGAGTTAAGGGGCGTTCACACCGGACTTAACTTCGTCTTCAAAAGCGTCAGTTTTGCATTGAAAGTGTATGGTGAAGCGCGTCAGGTGAATTTTTGAAGTCTCTCGTTCAAATGAATGGAGTTGCGCCGGCTGTCTCATGCACAGATGCGTTTTTTCATAATTTTCTTGTGGGCGGGACCACTCACGGCCATTTTGGATAGCTCCAGTAGAGCACATTGTTTGGCCCATTAGTTAGAACGCCGGAGATAGGCGTGACTGTCCGTTAATTTTTACAGTCTATGCCTCGGTCTCGCTACTGTCTCGGACCTACTCACTGCTGCCTCGGTCTCACTGCTGTCTCGGTCTCACTGCTGTCTCGGTCTCACTGCTGCCTCAGTCTCACTGCTGTCTCGGTCTCACTGCTGTCTCGGTCTCACTGCTGCCTCGGTCTCACTGCTGCCTCGGTCTCACTGCTGCCTCGGTCTCACTGCTGCCTCGGTCTCACTGCTGTCTCGGTCTCACCTTAAAGATGAGCTCGTCTGTGACGGCAAAGGTTCGGTCCAGTTTCCCCGTCAGAGAGTTGATCTCCTTCTGCAGTTCTTTCGTGTCCGACAGAATCTGCAGCAGACACAGATTACAGAGATTATAATCTACACATGTATAATCTATACATGTATAATCCACACACGTATAATCCACACACGTATAATCTACACACGTATAATCCACACACGTACAATCCACACACGTACAATCCACACACGCATAATCCACACACGTATAATCCACACACGTATAATCCACACACGTATAATCTACACACACGTATAATCTACACACGTATAATCCACACACGTATAATCCACACACGTATAATCCACACACGTATAATCTACACACGTATAATCTACACACGTATAATCCACACGGATAATCCACACGTATAATCCACACACGTATAATCTACACACGTATAATCCACACATGTATAATCCACACACGTACAATCTACACAGGTATAATCCACACACGTATAATCCACACACGTATAATCTACACACACGTATAATCTACACACGTATAATCTACACACGTATAATCTACACATGATGAGTCTATAATCTGGTGTGTGGTGCTCTGTGGTGTGTGTTGCTCTGTGGTGTATGGTGCTCTGTGGTTGTGGTGCTCTGTGGTGTGTGGTGCTCTGTGGTTGTGGTGCTCTGTGGTTGTGGTGCTCTGTGGTTGTGGTGCTCTGTAGTGTGTGGTGCTCTGTAGTGTGTGGTGCTCTGTAGTGTGTGGTGCTCTGTGGTTGTGTTGCTCTGTGGTGTGTGGTGCTCTGTGGTGTGTGTTGCTCTGTGGTTGTGGTGCTCTGTAGTGTGTGGTGCTCTGTGGTTGTGTTGCTCTGTGGTGTGTGGTGCTCTGTGGTGTGTGTTGCTCTGTGAAGGTTGTGTAACAGTTGTGTACGTGTAACACACAGAACACACAACAGTCGACACATCTGACTGAAAACAGCATAATGTTTGTGAGACTCAAAATAACGCTGCATGATAAATAATAAATAATAATAATAATACATCAAACTCGTACAGTGCTTTTTTGGACACTGAAAGACACTTCCTACTTCACAGAGAGGCACCATGTGGACCAGAGCTCACCCTCCACAGCAGCTCTGGTGTGCCTCAGGGGTCGATACCTGGTCCAATTGTTTTTACAGTGTGATGTTACTATTAGGGAGGACCAGAAGAGATCACTGTACTTCCATTGGACCAAACCAGACCTAATGATACGTTATGGTGTGACATGGACCTGAAGGACTTGGACTAACTCCATCTACATGAGGACCAGAAAAGGTCCTGACACCAGACCCAGAGGACCAGGAGGAGGTCCTGACACCAGACTGAGAGGACCAGGAGGAGGTCCTGACACCAGACCCAGAGAATGCTCAGGTTCTTACTTTGCTGATCTCCTCCTTCTGTTTTCGGATGTTGCTGACGATCTCCAGGATCCTCTGGGTGTAGGCCGAGCGGGACACGTCCTGAGGCAGAGACTCCAGCTCCGACACCTGCCACAAGGGACCAGAGGGTTAGCTCAGGGTAGCGCTGCTGCTCCTTATGTTGACCCAGGAGTAGGAGAGGCTGCAGTACCACTTTTGGCCACACACACAGAGACACAGTAGCAGTTGTGAGTTCTCTGCATGAATCAAAGTTAAAGGAGCAGTTTGTAAAAATGTGTCCAAAAGTGGTACTGCAGCCTCTCCCACTCTCCCTGACTCAGGTTGCCAGATATGCAGACGAATCCAGCTGGGACCATAACAGCTGAATAGACAAGAGTTTAGTCAACAACAAATCTATAACCAACACCTTTTTCACAAAGATAGAAATCCTGGTTTTATTCCTTATTTTGTCGTTAATGATTTGAGAATCATAACGAGACCTTTTTTAGTTCTACGCCACATGGTACTTTGCCAGTGAGATTAGCTCCACGCAGTGAGTTCTGGCGCCCAGATTACGGACTTTCAGATTGGTGAAACGGTGGACGGGGGAAGAATTAGGGGCTGTAAAACTCATTTTGAAATCCAAATGAACTATTGTTATCAGTTAAAGAAGTATTGGAAAAGAGCATGTTTTATTCATGCCTTCTGACAGATTAGGGCCCTTTAATGATGACATATTAGGGCCATTTAATGATGACAGATTAGGGCCCTTTAATGATGCCAGATTAGGGCCCTTTAATGATGACAGATTAGGGCCCTTTAATGATGACAGATTAGGGCCCTTTAATGATGACAGATTAGGGCCCTTTAATGATGACAGATTAGGGCCCTTTAATTATGACAGATTAGGGCCATTTAATGATGACAGATTAGGGCCCTTTAATGATGACAGATTAGGGCCCTTTAATGATGACAGATTAGGGCCCTTTAATGATGACAGATTAGGGCCCTTTAATGATGACAGATTAGGGCCCTTTAATGATGCCAGATTAGGGCCCTTTAATGATGACAGATTAGGGCCCTTTAATGATGACAGATTAGGGCCCTTTAACTCATTGACTGCCATTGACGTGTTAACACGTCAAACTAAATAGTAACGTTGTCTGCCAATGACGTGTTAACACGTCAATTGCGTTTCCCGCTATTTTTACGTTCCCAGCTGTCCATTGAATCTAATATGTGGAGATTGGCTTGAGGCAATACTTTATGGAGCCAGCAGATGGCAGCATTGCGCTATGAATGGTTTGAACACAGCTAGATGCACTGTTTGTGGCCCTTTTTTCTCAGCTTTCTGGTGATTTCAATAAAACTTCCCTCTACTCAACTGGGGATTACAGAAGAACTAAACAAGATAGAAACAAAATTCTTTTTGCTGGTGAGAGTAGACAGCCCATTCTTTCAGAATCTAGTTTTAGATTTCAGATAGTCAAAGTACACAATATTCTGTGGGTCTTGAAAAATCAGTAAAAACCACCAGAAACGGCTGGCAATATGGGAGTACCTGTTTTGAAATGGGCTGGCAGTCAATGAGTTAATTATGACAGATTAGGGCCCTTTAATGATAACAGATTAGGGCCCTTTAATGATGCCAGATTAGGGCCCTTTAATGATGACAGATTAGGGCCCTTTAATGATGACAGATTAGGGCCCTTTAATGATGACAGATTAGGGCCCTTTAATGATGACAGATTAGGGCCCTTTAATGATGACAGATTAGGGCACTTTAATGATGACAGATTAGGGCCCTTTAATGATGACAGATTAGGGCCCTTTAATGATGACAGATTAGGGCCCTTTAATGATGACAGATTAGGGCCCTTTAATGATGACAGATTAGGGCCCTTTAATGATGACAGATTAGGGACCTTTAATGATGACATGAAAATCTTACATATTGCTACTTTAAAGGTTTATAGGAGGATATTCCCAAATGTTAGGAAAGAACCGTAGCACCAGAATGATTGACAATGAGGAGGACCAATAGTGTTGATGATCCACCTCCTCCATGCCTCTGATCCAAATGAAGTGAATGAGATGATTTCAGAGGAGGAGACGCAGCAGTGAAATACCAGCTGTTTGTAGGTCTGCTCCTTCTTCTTCGCCTCCTCCGAACACACAGAGATCTTTTCGTGTAGAGACCGGATCTCAGACAATTTTCCAGAAGATTCCATCTGCACCAGATAAACAGTATAGCCTCAAGGCGGGTTGCTCTTTGGCCTCTCTCTATGGCCTCCCTCTATGGCCTCTCTCTATGCCCTCTCTCTATGCCCTCTCTCTATGGCCTCTCTCTATGGTCTCTCTCTATGGCCTCTCTCTATGGTCTCTCTCTATGGTCTCTCTCTATGGCCTCCCTCTATGGCCTCTCTCTCTATGGCCTCTCTCTCTATGGCCTCTCTATGGCCTCTCTCTATGGCCTCCCTCTATGGCCTCTCTCTATGCCCTCTCTCTATGGCCTCTCTCTATGGCCTCTCTCTATGGCCTCTCTCTATGGTCTCTCTCTATGGCCTCTCTATGGCCTCTCTATGGCCTCTCTCTATGGCCTCTCTCTATGGCCTCTCTCTATGGCCTCTCTCTCTATGGCCTCTCTATGGCCTCTCTCTATGGCCTCTCCCTCTATGGCCTCTCTCTATGGCCTCTCTCTATGGCCTCCCCCTATGGCCTCTCTATGGCCTCTCTCTATGGCCTCCCTCTATGGCCTCTCTCTATGGCCTCTCTCTCTATGGCCTCTCTCTCTATGGCCTCTCTCTATGGCCTCTCTCTCTATGGCCTCTCTCTATGGCCTCTCTCTCTATGGCCTCTCTCTATGGCCTCTCTATGGCCTCCCTCTAGGGTCTCTCTCTATGGTCTCTCTCTATGGTCTCTCTCTATGGTCTCTCTCTATGGCCTCCCTCTATGGCCTCCCTCTATGGCCTCTCTATGGCCTCTCTATGGCCTCTCTATGGCCTCCCTCTATGGTCTCCCTCTATGGCCTCTCTCTATGCCCTCTCTCTATGGCCTCTCTCTATGGCCTCTCTCTATGCCCTCTCTCTATGGCCTCTCTCTATGGCCTCTCTCTATGGCCTCTCTCTATGGCCTCTCTCTCTATGGCCTCTCTCTCTATGGCCTCTCTCTATGGCCTCTCTCTATATGGCCTCTCTCTATGGCCTCTCTCTATATGGCCTCCCTCTATGGCCTCTCTCTCTATGGCCTCCCTCTATGGCCTCTCTATGGCCTCTCTCTATGGCCTCTCTCTATGGTCTCTCTCTATGGCCTCTCTATGGCCTCTCTATGGCCTCTCTATGGCCTCTCTATGGCCTCCCTCTATGGTCTCTCTCTATGCCCTCTCTCTATGCCCTCTCTCTATGGCCTCTCTCTATGGCCTCTCTATGGCCTCTCTCTATGGCCTCTCTCTATGGCCTCTCTCTATGGCCTCTCTCTATGGCCTCTCTCTATGGCCTCTCTCTATGGCCTCTCTCTATGGCCTCTCTCTATGGCCTCTCTCTATGGCCTCTCTCTATGGCCTCTCTCTATGGCCTCTCTCTATGGCCTCTCTCTATGGCCTCTCTATGGCCTCTCTATGGCCTCTCTCTATGGCCTCTCTCTCTATGGCCTCCCTCTATGGCCTCTCTCTCTATGGCCTCCCTCTATGGCCTCTCTATGGCCTCTCTCTATGGCCTCCCTCTATGGCCTCTCTCTATGGTCTCTCTCTATGGTCTCTCTCTATGGTCTCTCTCTATGGCCTCTCTCTATGGCCTCCCTCTATGGCCTCTCTATGGCCTCTCTATGGCCTCCCTCTATGGTCTCTCTCTATGGTCTCTCTGTATGGCCTCCCTCTATGGCCTCTCTATGGCCTCTTTATGGCCTCCCTCTATGGTCTCTCTCTATGGCCTCTCTCTATGGCCTCTCTCTATGGCCTCTCTCTATGGCCTCTCTCTATGGCCTCTCTCTATGCCCTCTCTCTATGCCCTCTCTCTATGGCCTCTCTCTATGGCCTCTCTCTATGGCCTCTCTCTATGGCCTCTCTCTATGGCCTCTCTCTCTATGGCCTCTCTCTCTATGGCCTCTCTCTCTATGGCCTCTCTCTATGGCCTCTCTGTATGGCCTCTCTGTATGGCCTCTCTATGGCCTCTCTATGGCCTCTTTATGGCCTCCCTCTATGGTCTCTCTCTATGGCCTCTCTCTATGGCCTCTCTCTATGGCCTCTCTCTATGGCCTCTCTCTATGGCCTCTCTCTATGGCCTCTCTCTATGGCCTCTCTCTATGGCCTCTCTCTATGGCCTCTCTCTATGGCCTCTCTCTATGGCCTCTCTCTCTATGGCCTCTCTCTATGGCCTCTCTCTATGGCCTCTCTCTATGGCCTCTCTCTATGGCCTCTCTCTCTATGGCCTCTCTCTATGGCCTCTCTATGGCCTCTCACTATGGCCTCTCACTATGGCCTCTCTCTATGGCCTCTCTCTCTATGGCCTCTCTCTATGGCCTCTCACTATGGCCTCTCACTATGGCCTCTCTCTATGGCCTCTCACTATGGCCTCTCACTATGGCCTCTCTCTATGGCCTCTCTCTCTATGGCCTCTCTCTATGGCCTCTCTATGGCCTCTCACTATGGCCTCTCACTATGGCCTCTCACTATGGCCTCTCTCTATGGCCTCTCACTATGGCCTCTCACTATGGCCTCTCTCTATGGTCTCCCTCTGGTCTCCCTCTGGTCTCCCTCTGGTCTCCCTCTGGTCTCCCTCTGGTCTCCCTCTGGTCTCCCTCTGGTCACTCACGTCCTGGACCCTGCAGAGTTCCTTCAGTCTGCGTTTCTCTTCGATCAGTGGAGTCCTGTGTTTTTCCCACTGCGTGGCGAGGCTGAGTACACGGCGTGCGCTGGTCTCCACCTGCTCCTGCAAAAGTCACAAATATGAGGAAATAGTACATAAAGAATACGACATATGTGAGTATGAGCGCTACTCCGAGCTCCTCCTGTGTGACTATCTCTAGGGCGGATCCACTCAAAACTCAAAACTTAAGTGTCGCTTGTGTCCGTGATCTCGTCCTCTCGGTCTTATCTCAAAGCTCAGGACCAGAGGTGATGGAGCTCTGACTGCAGACGCTGCTCCGTCTTCGCCACAACAGTCCAATACAGAGTCCATATCACTGAAAACTGTCAATCTCATAATCCCTCATGATCTTGCTCGGGTCTCGCTCTCTCTGGTGTCGCTCTCTCTCTCCCTGGCCTCTCTCTCTGGCTTCTCTCTCTCTCTGGCCTCTCTCTCTCTCTCTGGCTTCTCTCTCTCTCTCTGGCCTCTCTCTCTCTGGCCTCTTTCTCTCTCTGGCCTCTCTCTCTCTCTGGCCTCTCTCTCTCTCTCTGGCCTCTCTCTCTCTGGCCTCTCTCTCTCTGGCCTCTCTCTCTCTCTGGCCTCTTTCTCTCTCTGGCCTCTCTCTCTCTCTGGCCTCTCTCTCTCTCTCTGGCCTCTCTCTCTCTCTCTGGCCTCTCTCTCTCTCTCTGGCCTCTCTCTCTCTCTCTGGCCTCTCTCTCTCTCTCTGGCCTCTCTCTCTCTCTGGCCTCTCTCTCTCTCTGGCCTCTCTCGCTCTCTGGCCTCTCTCGCTCTCTGGCCTTCTCTCTCTCTCTGGCCTCTCTCTCTCTCTGGCCTCTTTCTCTCTCTGGCCTCTTTCTCTCTCTGGCCTCTCTCTCTCTCTCTGGCCTCTCTCTCTCTCTCTGGCCTCTCTCTCTCTCTCTGGACTCTCTCTCTCTCTCTGGCCTCTCTCTCTCTCTGGCCTCTCTCTCTCTCTGGCCTCTCTCGCTCTCTGGCCTCTCTCGCTCTCTGGCCTCTCTCTCTCTCTGGCCTCTCTCTCTCTCTGGCCTCTCTCGCTCTCTGGCCTCTCTCGCTCTCTGGCCTCTCTCGCTCTCTGGCCTCTCTCTCTCTCTGGCCTCTCTCGCTCTCTGGCCTCTCTCGCTCTCTGGCCTCTCTCGCTCTCTGGCCTCTCTCGCTCTCTGGCCTCTTTCACTCTCTGGCCTCTTTCTCTCTCTGGCCAGACTGCTGTGTTGTGAGCACACATGGTCCGTAACCATGGGAACAGCTCACCTGCATCTGGAGCAGGTTCTCGTTGGTCTCTGGTAGAAGGTCGATGGTTTTCTTCTTGACTTGGATCTGATGTTGTTTTTCCTCATTTTCACGCTCTCTTTTATTTATATCATTGGAAACCTGCAGAAACCAAACGCAAGGATTAGAGAGCCCGGAAAGAGAGACCAGAGAGAGAGAGACCAGAGAGAGAGACCAGAGAGAGAAAGACCAGAGAGAGAGAGACCAGAGAGAGAGAGACCAGAGAGAGAAAGACCAGAGAGAGAAAGACCAGAGAGAGAGAGACCAGAAAGAGACCAGAGTGAGACCAGAGTGAGAGACCAAAGAGAGAGACCAAAGAGAGGGACCAGAGAGAGCGGCCAGAGACAGAGACCAGGGAGGGGGACCAGGGAGAGAGATGTGGTACCTGTGCTGTGGTACATGTGCTGTGGTCCCTGTGCTGTGGTCCCTGTGCTGTGGTCCCTGTGCTGTGGTCCCTGTGCTGTGGTCCCTGTGCTGTGGTCCCTGTGCTGTGGTCCCTGTGCTGTGGTCCCTGTGCTGTGGTCCCTGTGCTGTGCTCCCTGTGCTGTGGTACCTGTGCTGTAGTAACTGTGCTGTGGTACCTGTGCTGTGGTACATGTGCTGTGGTCCCTGTGCTGTAGTCCCTGTGCTGTGGTCCCTGTGCTGTGGTCCCTGTGCTGTGGTCCCTGTGCTGTGCTCCCTGTGCTGTGCTCCCTGTGCTGTAGTCCCTGTGCTGTGGTCCCTGTGCTGTGGTCCCTGTGCTGTGGTCCCTGTGCTGTGGTCCCTGTGCTGTGGTCCCTGTGCTGTGGTCCCTGTGCTGTGGTCCCTGTGCTGTGGTCCCTGTGCTGTGGTCCCTGTGCTGTAGTCCCTGTGATGTGGTCCCTGTGCTGTGGTCCCTGTGCTGTAGTAACTGTGCTGTAGTCCCTGTGCTGTAGTAACTGTGCTGTGGTCCCTGTGCTGTAGTAACTGTGCTGTGGTCCCTGTGCTGTAGTAACTGTGCTGTGGTACCTGTGCTGTGGTACATGTGCTGTGGTCCCTGTGCTGTAGTCCCTGTGCTGTGGTCCCTGTGCTGTAGTCCCTGTGCTGTAGTAACTGTGCTGTGGTCCCTGTGCTGTAGTAACTGTGCTGTGGTCCCTGTGCTGTAGTAACTGTGCTGTGGTCCCTGTGCTGTAGTAACTGTGCTGTGGTCCCTGTGCTGTGGTCCCTGTGCTGTGGTACCTGTGCTGTGGTACATGTGCTGTAGTAACTGTGCTGTGGTACCTGTGCTGTAGTAACTGTGCTGTAGTAACTGTGCTGTGGTCCCTGTGCTGTAGTAACTGTGCTGTGGTCCCTGTGCTGTAGTAACTGTGCTGTGGTACCTGTGCTGTGGTACATGTGCTGTGGTCCCTGTGCTGTGGTCCCTGTGCTGTGGTCCCTGTGCTGTGGTCCCTGTGCTGTGGTCCCTGTGCTGTGGTACATGTGCTGTGGTCCCTGTGCTGTGCTCCCTGTGCTGTGCTCCCTGTGCTGTGGTCCCTGTGCTGTGGTCCCTGTGCTGTGCTCCCTGTGCTGTGGTCCCTGTGCTGTGGTCCCTGTGCTGTGGTCCCTGTGCTGTGGTACCTGTGCTGTGGTCCCTGTGCTGTAGTAACTGTGCTGTGGTCCCTGTGCTGTAGTAACTGTGCTGTGGTCCCTGTGCTGTGGTACCTGTGCTGCGGTGAGGCTCCGGTGCTTCAGTTCCACTGTGAGCTGCTCCACACCTGTGCACAGCTGCTGCAGCTGCTGCTGTAACGCTCTGAGCTCCTCCTGCTGCTGCTGCTGACCCCCCCCTAAGGCCACCGGGGGGAGGGGGAGGGGGGAGGCCTCCTGGGGTCAGGGGTCAGAGGTCAGAGCACGGTACAACACAGGTCTTATGCCGCGTTCAGACCACAAACGCACAAACGCTGAAGCCTCGCTCACCAGAACGTCCTGACCAGCACCGGAAGTGGCGGAAGTAGCCGGCTCTGATGCTAACAGAGCTATGCTAGCTGCTTCTCGTTAAAAGATCTTCTCCAATAATGCAGCTTTGCAGGGTGTCTGTGTTCAGAGACCTTCACAGGCTTTATATAACAGTAGTGTGTGTTCACGGAGGTGCGCAATAAGTTTATTTTATTATTAAACGGTATTTCCGCATCGGCGAACACACTCGAAGCAGTTGCATAAAGTCACGGAAGCATGAAAGCACATGTTAACAAGCACTATGTCCCCATTGTCAACCCTGGTTTAGTCCTGGTTTAGTCCTGGTTTAGTCCTGGTTTAGTCCTGGTTTAGTCCTGGTTTAGTCCAGGTTTAGTCCAGGTTTAGTCCAGGTTTAGTCCAGGTTTAGTCCAGGTTCAGTCCAGGTTCAGTCCAGGTTCAGTCCAGGTTCAGTCCAGGTTCAGTCCAGGTTCAGTCCAGGTTCAGTCCAGGTTCAGTCCAGGTTCAGTCCAGGTTCAGTCCAGGTTCAGTCCAGGTTCAGTCCAGGTTCAGTCCAGGTTTAGTCCTGGTTTAGTCCTGGTTTAGTCCTGGTTTAGTCCTGGTTTAGTCCTGGTTTAGTCCTGGTTTAGTCCTGGTTTAGTCCTGGTTTAGTCCTGGTTTAGTCCTGGTTTAGTCCTGGTGTAGCTCCTGTTTTGGCTGTTTACAGTATGTTCAGTCTGCTCGCTCAGACCACCAATGTCCCCGTGACCACTTTGCTGCTCTCTGATTGGTCGCTGCACGAACGTCCCGAGGAAAGGTTCAGCGAAGTTTATCTCCTGTGGGCGTTGATTTTCTGCTCCTGCTCCTCCCCTTTGACTTTCCCGCGCAGTCCGTGGGTCTCTACTGAACAGTCCGTGGGTCGCTACTGAACAGTCCGTGGGTCGCTACTGAACAGTCCGTGCGTCTCTACTGAGCAGTCCGTGAGTCTCTACTGAACAGTCCGTGGGTCTCTACTGAACAGTCCGTGCGTCTCTACTGAACAGTCCGTGTGTCTCTACTGAGCAGTCCGTGAGTCTCTACTGAACAGTCCGTGAGTCTCTACTGAACAGTCCGTGCGTCTCTACTGAACAGTCCGTGGGTCTCTACTGAACAGTCCGTGCGTCTCTACTGAACAGTCCGTGAGTCTCTACTGAGCAGTCCGTGCGTCTCTACTGAACAGTCCGTGCGTCTCTACTGAACAGTCCGTGAGTCTCTACTGAACAGTCCGTGCGTCTCTACTGAACAGTCCGTGCGTCTCTACTGAACAGTCCGTGCGTCTCTACTGAACAGTCCGTGCGTCTCTACTGAACAGTCCGTGCGTCTCTACTGAACAGTCCGTGCGTCTCTACTGACAGTCCGTGGTCTCTACTGAACAGTCCGTGGTCTCTACTGCAGTCTGCGTCTCTACTGAACAGTCCGTGCGTCTCTACTGAACAGTCCGTGCGTCTCTACTGAACAGTCCGTGCGTCTCTACTGAACAGTCCGTGCGTCTCTACTGAACAGTCCGTGGTCTCTACTGAACAGTCCGTGCGTCTCTACTGAACAGTCCGTGCGTCTCTACTGAACAGTCCGTGCGTCTCTACTGAACAGTCCGTGCGTCTCTACTGAACAGTCCGTGCGTCTCTACTGAACAGTCCGTGCGTCTCTACTGAACAGTCCGTGCGTCTCTACTGAACAGTCCGTGCGTCTCTACTGAACAGTCCGTGGTCTCTACTGAACAGTCCGTGGGTCTCTACTGAACAGTCCGTGCGTCCTACTGAACAGTCCGTGCGTCTCTACTGAACAGTCCGTGCGTCTCTACTGAACAGTCCGTGCGTCTCTACTGAACAGTCCGTGCGTCTCTACTGAACAGTCCGTGCGTCTCTACTGAACAGTCCGTGCGTCTCTACTGAACAGTCCGTGCGTCTCTACTGAACATCGTGCGTCTCAGACAGTCCGTGCGTCTCTACTGAACAGTCCGTGCGTCTCTACTGAACAGTCCGTGCGTCTCTACTGAACAGTCCGTGTGTCTCTACTGAACAGTCCGTGGGTCGCTACTGAACAGTCCGTGGGTCGCTACTGAACAACGTGGTCGCTACTGAACAGTCCGTGAGTCTCTACTGAACAGTCCGTGAGTCTCTACTGAACAGTCCGTGAGTCTCTACTGAACAGTCCGTGCGTCTCTACTGAACAGTCCGTGGGTCTCTACTGAGCAGTCCGTGCGTCTCTACTGAGCAGTCCGTGCGTCTCTACTGAACAGTCCGTGCGTCTCTACTGAACAGTCCGTGCGTCTCTACTGAACAGTCCGTGCGTCTCTACTGAACAGTCCATGCGTCTCTACTGAACAGTCCGTGCGTCTCTACTGAACAGTCCGTGCGTCTCTACTGAACAGTCCGTGCGTCTCTACAGAGCAGTCCGTGCGTCTCTACTGAACAGTCCGTGTGTCTCTACTGAACAGTCCGTGTGTCTCTACTGAACAGTCCGTGGGTCGCTACTGAACAGTCCGTGGGTCGCTACTGAACAGTCCGTGGGTCGCTACTGAACAGTCCGTGAGTCTCTACTGAACAGTCCGTGAGTCTCTACTGAACAGTCCGTGCGTCTCTACTGAACAGTCCGTGGGTCTCTACTGAGCAGTCCGTGCGTCTCTACTGAACAGTCCGTGCGTCTCTACTGAGCAGTCCGTGAGTCTCTACTGAACAGTCCGTGCGTCTCTACTGAACAGTCCGTGAGTCTCTACTGAACAGTCCGTGCGTCTCTACTAAACAGTTCGTGGGTCTCTACTGAACAGTCCGTGCGTCTCTACTGAGCAGTCCGTGCGTCTCTACTGAACAGTCCGTGCGTCTCTACTGAACAGTCCGTGCGTCTCTACTGAGCAGTCCGTGCGTCTCTACTGAGCAGTCCGTGCGTCTCTACTGAACAGTCCGTGCGTCTCTACTGAACAGTCCGTGAGTCTCTACTGAACAGTCCGTGCGTCTCTACTGAACAGTCCGTGGGTCTCTACTGAACAGTCCGTGCGTCTCTACTGAACAGTCCGTGTGTCTCTACTGAGCAGTCCGTGAGTCTCTACTGAACAGTCCGTGTGTCTCTACTGAGCAGTCCGTGAGTCTCTACTGAACAGTCCGTGAGTCTCTACTGAACAGTCCGTGAGTCTCTACTGAACAGTCCGTGCGTCTCTACTAAACAGTCCGTGGGTCTCTACTGAACAGTCCGTGCGTCTCTACTGAACAGTCCGTGAGTCTCTACTGAACAGTCCGTGCGTCTCTACTGAACAGTCCGTGGGTCTCTACTGAACAGTCCGTGCGTCTCTACTGAACAGTCCGTGCGTCTCTACTGAACAGTCCGTGGGTCTCTACTGAGCAGTCCGTGCGTCTCTACTGAACAGTCCGTGCGTCTCTGCTGAACAGTCCGTGCGTCTCTACTGAACAGTCCGTGCGTCTCTACTGAGCAGTCCGTGTGTCTCTACTGAACAGTCCGTGTGTCTCTACTGAACAGTCCGTGTGTCTCTACTGAACAGTCCGTGGGTCTCTACTGAACAGTCCGTGCGTCTCCACTGAACAGTCCGTGCGTCTCTACTGAGCAGTCCGTGCGTCTCTACTGAACAGTCCGTGCGTCTCTGCTGAACAGTCCGTGCGTCTCTACTGAACAGTCCGTGCGTCTCTACTGAACAGTCCGTGCGTCTCTACTGAACAGTCCGTGCGTCTCTACTGAACAGTCCGTGCGTCTCTACTGAACAGTCCGTGCGTCTCTACTGAACAGTCCGTGCGTCTCTACTGAACAGTCCGTGCGTCTCTACTGAACAGTCCGTGCGTCTCTACTGAACAGTCCGTGAGTCTCTACTGAGCAGTCCGTGAGTCTCTACTGAACAGTCCGTGGGTCTCTACTGAACAGTCCGTGCGTCTCTACTGAACAGTCCGTGTGACTGTGTCTCTACTGAACAGTCCGTGCGTCTCTACTGAACAGTCCGTGTGGGCCGAGAGGTCAATGCGTTTTGACGCTCGAACGCGTATCACCATTGACTTTGCATTGAAAGCAGACGCAACGCATGATCCGGTCTGAACGTGGCTTTAGCACTTTGGAACAGTGATATTAGAGAGCCCAGAGTGAGACCATAGTGAGACCAGAGAGAGACCAGACTCCTCACATGCTGCTGCACAGAGGCTGTGGCCTCTATGCTCCTGCTGGTCCTGTCTCAGTCGGATCAGCATGAGTCTTACATGCTCCTGCTGGTCCTGTCTCAGTAGGACCAGCAGGAGCAGAGGGACCTACCTGAGTGAAGGTGAACTTCTGTGTGTGGCTGAAGTGGGAGCTCTTCTGTGGGAGCTGCTCTGAGCCTCTGAAGGAGCGCAGCAGCTCTGACAGCTCTAATCCAGAGGAACCATCAGAGGAACCATTAGAGGAACCATCAGCGGCCACAGCAGAGCGCACCTGCTCATCCAGGCGCTGACGCAGACGAGCGCGCTTCCTCAGCCGGTACTCCTGCAAGAGAGGGAGGTCAGACCAGGTACCATGAGAGCACACTCAGCTGGTACTCCTGCAAGAGAGGGAGGTCAGACTCAGCTGGTACTCCTGCAAGAGAGGGAAGTCTAAGTCTGTATAAAGTGCTACGTCCTCATCTCTAGTTTGTATAAAGTGCTAAGTCCCCGCCTCTGTAGCCTGTATAAAGTGCTAAGTCCTCGCCTCTGTAGCCTGTATAAAGTGCTACGTCCTCGCCACTGTAGCCTGTATAAAGTGCTACGTCTTCGCCTCTATAGCCTGTATAAAGTGCTACGTCCTCGCCTCTGTAGCCTGTATTAAGTGCTACGTCCTCACCTCTGTAGTCTGTATAAAGTGCTACGCCCTCGCCTCTGTATAAAGTGCTGCGTCCTCGCCTCTAGTCTGTATAAAGTGCTGCGTCCTCACCTCTGTAGACTGTATAAAGTGCTATGTCCTCGCCACTGTAGCCTGTATAAAGTGCTGCGTCCTCACCTCTGTAGTCTGTATAAAGTGGTACGCCCTCACCTCTGTAGTCTGTATAAAGTGCTACGTCCTCACCTCTGTAGCCTGTATAAAGTGCTACGCCCTCGCCTCTGTAGTCTGTATAAAGTGCTACGCCCTCACCTCTGTAGTCTGTATAAAGTGCTACGTCCTCACCTCTGTAGTCTGTATAAAGTGCTACGCCCTCGCCTCTGTAGCCTGTATAAAGTGCTACGCCCTCGCCTCTGTAGTCTGTATAAAGTGCTACGTCCTCGCCTCTGTAGTCTGTATAAAGTGCTACGTCCTCACCTCTGTAGCCTGTATAAAGTGCTACGCCCTCGCCTCTGTAGTCTGTATAAAGTGCTACGCCCTCACCTCTGTAGTCTGTATAAAGTGCTACGTCCTCACCTCTGTAGCCTGTATAAAGTGCTGCGCCCTCGCCTCTGTAGTCTGTATAAAGTGCTACGCCCTCGCCTCTGTAGTCTGTATAAAGTGCTACGCCCTCACCTCTGTAGTCTGTATAAAGTGCTACGTCCTCACCTCTGTAGCCTGTATAAAGTGCTGCGCCCTCGCCTCTGTAGTCTGTATAAAGTGCTACGCCCTCGCCTCTGTAGTCTGTATAAAGTGCTACGCCCTCACCTCTGTAGTCTGTATAAAGTGCTACGTCCTCACCTCTGTAGTCTGTATAAAGTGCTGCGCCCTCGCCTCTGTAGTCTGTATAAAGTGCTACGCCCTCGCCTCTGTAGTCTGTATAAAGTGCTACGCCCTCGCCTCTGTAGTCTGTATAAAGTGCTACGTCCTCACCTCTGTAGTCTGTATAAAGTGCTACGTCCTCACCTCTGTAGTCTGTATAAAGTGCTACGTCCTCACCTCTGTAGTCTGTATAAAGTGCTAAGCCCTCGCCTCTGTAGACTGTATAAAGTGCTACGTCCTCACCTCTGTAGTCTGTATAAAGTGCTGCGTCCTCACCTCAGGGCTGAGCCGGGACAGCAGGCCCTGGCTGTTCCACTCGCTGTTCCAGTCCTGGGTCTGGCAGCAGTGGGAGGTGTGCTGTTCCAGGACTGAGGCCAGGACTGAGGTCTGGGAGGTCTGGCTGGTCACCGGGGGCAACAGGTCTCTCTGGTATTCAAGCAGCTCTGCACACAACACTTTTTATTTATGTAGCGCACTGCACAGACCAGGGTCGCACACAGCACTTTGCCATTCTATTTTAGCCTCATAAACAACACACAACACGCAGTCTTCGTGTTGTTTCAGACAGAGCCTCAAGAGTCACTTTTTGACTCTTTGGGGTGAGAGAGGATTGGCCAAGAGTGGGGGTGCTCTTTTTCACTTTTCTGCCTGACAAGGAGCAGAGTAGGGCTGGGCGATATGGCAAAAATGGGAAATCTCGATTTAATTTCCTGCTTTGGACGATTTCGATTTTAAATCGATTTTCATTAAAGTCACTGAAAAAGCCGATTAGTTGCCTAAATTTGATTTATTGCCCAGCCCTAGAGCAGAGAGAGACCAAAGAGAGACCAGAGAGAGAGAGAGAGAGAGAGAGAGAGAGAGACCAAAGAGAGACCAGAGAGAGAGAGAGAGAGAGAGAGACCAAAGACAGACAGAGGCCAGAAAGTGAGACCAGAGAGAGAGAGAGACCAGAGAAAGAGAGACTAAAGAGAAAGAGAGACCAGAGAGTGAGACCAGAGAGAAAAAGAGTCCAGAGAGAGAGAGACCAGAGAGAGAGAGAAACCAGAGAGACAGAGGCCAGAGAGAGAGAGACCATACAGAGACCGGAGAGAGAGAGAGAGCAGAGAGAGAGAAACCAGAGAGACAGAGGCCAGAGAGAGAGAGACCATACAGAGAGACCAGAGAGAGAGCCCAGAGAGAGAGACCATACAGAGAGACCAGAGAGAGAGAGGCCAGAGAGAGAGAGACCATACAGAGAGACCAGAGAGAGAGCCCAGAGAGAGAGACCATACAGAGAGACCAGAGAGAGAGAGAGAGACCAGAGAGAGAGACCAGAGAGAGAGACCAGAGAGAGACCATACAGAGAGACCAGAGAGAGAGACCAGAAAGAGAGAGACCAGAGAGACAGAGGCCAGAGAGAGAGAGACCATACAGAGAGACCAGAGAGAGAGAGAGAGACCAGAGAGAGAGCCCAGAGAGAGAGACCAGAGAGAGACCATACAGAGAGAGAGCCCAGAGAGAGAGCCCAGAGAGCGAGAGACCATACAGAGAGAGAGCCCAGAGAGAGAGCCCAGAGAGAGAGAGACCAGAAAGAGACTGGAAGATGTGGTATGTCCTTTCACTTTTCTGTGGTGTGAAAGTTAGGTCCCTCAGCTTTAATGGTACCTTTGCAGAGGCCTGTCCGGTCTGGGCTGTGAGGCAGACTGAGAGGCTGGGAGTGGAAGTGGTGCAGGACGTCTGGATCCTGAAGAACAAGTCAGAAAAACACCTGTAAGAAGAAACTCTCACCATAGACTGAGCACAGATGGACAATGCTACGCTAGCTCAAAGAAACTCAACAGGGAAGTGCTCATGGTGAAGTTTGGCTCCTCTCTCTAGCTCCTATTGACTTATATGTAAACATAAACGGTGTCAGTTATTGGACTTCTGTGACAGTTTGTTTAGAACCAACACCATGTTCCAGATCTGCAGTTTGGTCTGAAACCGGTCAGACCCGGCCCAAGTGCATTGTGGGTCTGCAGAAACCCTGGGGATGTGTTCTGGTCATGTCCCACCAAGAGGAGACCAGAGAAGACCCAGGACACAGAGGGACTCTGGGAAGGCCTCAGGATCCCCTCAGATGAGCTGAAGGAGGTGTGGGGAGAGCGGAGACTGCTGCCCCCACCATCCGGCAATGTATGAAGGGGAAGTAAAGGTACGGTGCAGCCTCCTCTCCTTACATGGGTCTGGGGCAGGCGCCAGGTCCGGGGCAGACGGCAGGTCCGGGGCAGCCAGGGCACGTGCAGCTCAGCCTTCAGCGCCGCCGCGATGTCTTTGTGCAACAGAACTGATTTACCTGAAAACACAAGAACAAACATAGAACTAAGGTCTCAGGACTGGTCTGAGAACCGGTCTGAGGACTGGTCTCAGGACTGGTCTCAGGACTGGTCTGAGGACTGGTCTGAGGACTGGTCTGAGGACTGGTCTGAGGACTGGGCTGAGGACTGTTCTCACCTGAGGACTGGTCTGAGGACTGGTCTGAGGACTGGGCTGAGGACTGATCTGAGGACTGGGCTGAGGACTGGGCTGAGGACTGGGCTGAGGACTGGGCTGAGGACTGGGCTGAGGACTGGGCTGAGGACTGATCTGAGGACTGGTCTGAGGACTGGGCTGAGGACTGGGCTGAGGACTGGGCTGAGGACTGGGCTGAGGACTGGGCTGAGGACTGTTCTCACCTGAGGACTGTTCTCACCTGAGGACTGGTCTGAGGACTCGTTGCTCCCTCGTGGAAGCTTCTCCACCAGGAACATGAGCAGAGAGCGGATCTCGGGCTCAGAGCTGTAGAGGAACGTCTGGTACCCCAGCTCCCCCTTGTACCCCACGTCCTGGGACAGAAGAGACGGCAACCAGGTGGAACAAGTATCAACGGTCTCTACCTTTCTCTCGCTGGTCTCCCCCTTTGGTCCTGGTCTCTGGTCCTGGTCTCTGGTCTCTCTCTGGACCCTGGACCCTGCTTTTTGGTGCTGGTCTCTGGTCTCTCTTTGGACCCTGATCCCTGGTCTCTGGACCCTGGTCTCTGGACCTGGTCTCTGGACCTGGTCTCTGGACCTGGTCTCTGGACCTGGTCTCTGCTCTCTGCTCTCCCTCTGGACCCTGGTCTCTGGACCTGGTCTCTGCTCTCTGCTCTCCCTCTGGACCCTGGTCTCTGGACCCGGTCTCTGCTCTCCCTCTGGACCCTGGTCTCTGGTCTGTCTCTGGACCCTGATCCCTGGTCTCTGGACCCGGTCTCTGCTCTCCCTCTGGACCCTGGTCTCTGGACCCTGGTCTCTGGACCCGGTCTCTGCTCTCTGCTCTCTGCTCTCCCTCTGGACCCTGATCCCTGGTCTCTGGACCCTGCTCTCTCGTCCTGGTCTCTGCTCTGGACCCCGATCTCTGGTCTCTCCCTGCACCCTAGACCCTGGACCTTCGACCCTGATCCCTGGTCCTGGTCCTCACCTGGCAGGCCTGTGCCAGACTCATGCCGACCCTGAAGCGAGCAGACATCCCTGGGGGGAGGGAGGAGGGCAGTCCGTGGTCCAGTCCTGGGTCGATCACACGGAGACATGAGACCACGGCCTGGACCACCAGCTCACTGCTGAAGAGCTTCACACTGTCCACCTCCTCTGGCACCTCCCTGCAGGAGCACAGGCACCACAGCATCACAGCCGGGTTGTTTACACCCGTGTCAGATTCACAGCACAGGGATGACAGGAAGACCAGAGAGAGAGCAGAGAGCAGTGAGAGAGACCAGAGAGAGCAGAGAGAGAGCAGAGAGAGCAGAGAGAGAGACCAGAGAGAGCAGAGAGAGAGCAGAGAGAGAGCAGAGAGAGCAGAGAGAGAGCAGAGAGAGAGCAGAGAGAGCAGAGAGAGAGCAGAGAGAGCAGAGAGAGAGCAGAGAGAGCAGAGAGCAGAGAGAGAGCAGAGAGAGCAGAGAGAGAGCAGAGAGAGCAGAGAGAGACCAGAGAGAGACCAGAGAGAGCAGAGAGAGAGCAGAGAGAGAGCAGAGAGAGAGCAGAGAGAGAGCAGATAGAGAGCAGATAGAGAGCAGATAGAGAGCAGAGAGAGCAGAGAGAGAGCAGAGAGAGAGCAGAGAGAGAGCAGAGAGCAGTGAGAGAGACCAGAGAGAGCAGAGAGAGAGCAGAGAGAGAGCAGAGAGAGCAGAGAGAGAGCAGAGAGAGAGCAGAGAGAGAGCAGAGAGAGCAGAGAGCAGAGAGAGAGCAGAGAGAGAGCAGAGAGAGCAGAGAGAGAGCAGAGAGAGAGCAGAGAGAGAGCAGAGAGAGAGCAGAGAGAGCAGAGAGAGAGCAGAGAGAGAGCAGAGAGAGACCAGAGAGAGAGCAGAGAGAGCAGAGAGAGAGCAGAGAGAGAGCAGAGAGAGCAGAGAGAGAGCAGAGAGAGAGCAGATAGAGAGCAGATAGAGAGCAGATAGAGAGCAGAGAGAGCAGAGAGAGCAGAGAGAGAGCAGAGAGAGAGCAGAGAGAGAGCAGAGAGAGAGACCAGAGAGAGAGCAGAGAGAGAGCAGAGAGAGAGCAGAGAGAGCAGAGAGAGAGCAGAGAGAGCAGAGAGAGACCAGAGAGAGACCAGAGAGAGAGAGCAGAGAGAGGGAGCAGAGAGAGCAGAGAGCAGAGAGCAGTGAGAGAGAGCAGAGAGAGCAGAGAGAGCAGAGAGAGAGCAGAGAGAGAGCAGAGAGAGAGCAGAGAGAGAGCAGAGAGAGAGCGAGAGAGCAGAGAGAGGGAGCAGAGAGAGCAGAGAGAGACCAGAGAGAGCAGAGAGAGAGCAGAGAGAGAGCAGAGAGACCAGAGAGAGCAGAGAGAGAGCAGAGAGAGCAGAGAGAGAGCAGAGAGAGAGCGAGAGAGACCAGAGAGAGAGCAGAGAGAGCAGAGAGAGAGCAGAGAGAGACCAGAGAGAGACCAGAGAGAGCAGAGAGAGAGCAGAGAGAGAGCAGAGAGAGCAGAGAGAGAGCAGAGAGAGAGCAGAGAGAGAGCAGATAGAGAGCAGAGAGAGCAGAGAGAGCAGAGAGAGAGCAGAGAGAGAGCAGAGAGAGAGCAGAGAGAGCAGAGAGAGAGCAGAGAGAGAGCAGAGAGCAGAGAGAGAGCAGAGAGAGCAGAGAGAGAGCAGAGAGAGAGCAGAGAGAGAGCAGAGAGAGAGCAGAGAGAGAGCAGAGAGAGACCAGAGAGAGACCAGAGAGAGCAGAGAGAGAGCAGAGAGAGAGCAGAGAGAGCAGAGAGAGAGCAGAGAGAGAGCAGAGAGAGCAGAGAGAGAGCAGAGAGATAGCAGATAGAGAGCAGATAGAGAGCAGATAGAGAGCAGATAGAGAGCATAGAGCAAGAGAGCAGAGAGAGCAGAGAGAGCAGAGAGAGAGCAGAGAGAGAGCAGAGAGAGAGCAGAGAGAGAGACCAGAGAGAGAGCAGAGAGAGAGCAGAGAGAGCAGAGAGAGAGCAGAGAGAGAGCAGAGAGAGCAGAGAGAGACCAGAGAGAGACCAGAGAGAGACCAGAGAGAGACCAGAGAGAGAGCAGAGAGAGCAGAGAGAGAGCAGAGAGAGAGCAGAGAGAGACCAGAGAGAGCAGAGAGAGAGCAGAGAGAGAGCAGAGAGAGAGCAGAGAGAGAGCGAAGAGAGCAGAGAGAGGGAGCAGAGAGAGCAGAGAGCAGAGAGCAGTGAGAGAGAGCAGAGAGAGCAGAGAGAGAGCAGAGAGAGAGCAGAGAGAGAGCAGAGAGAGAGCAGAGAGAGAGAGACCAGAGATAGACCAGAGAGAGAGACCAGACAGAGGGACCAGAGAGAGAGACCAGAGAGAGAGTCCAGAGAGAGAGACCAGAGAGAGAGTCCAGAGAGAGACCAGAGAGAGAGAGAGAGACCAGAGAGAGCAGAGAGAGAGCAGAGAGACCAGAGAGAGCAGAGAGAGAGCAGAGAGAGCAGAGAGAGAGCAGAGAGAGAGCGAGAGAGACCAGAGAGAGAGCAGAGAGAGCAGAGAGAGGGCAGAGAGAGAGAAGAGAGAGAGCAGAGAGAGAGCAGAGAGAGACCAGAGAGAGCAGAGAGAGAGCAGAGAGAGAGCAGATAGAGAGCAGAGAGAGCAGAGAGAGCAGAGAGAGAGCAGAGAGAGAGCAGAGAGAGAGACCAGAGAGAGAGCAGAGAGAGAGCAGAGAGCAGTGAGAGAGACCAGAGAGAGCAGAGAGAGAGCAGAGAGAGAGCAGAGAGAGCAGAGAGAGAGCAGAGAGAGAGCAGAGAGAGAGCAGGAGAGCAGAGAGAGCAGAGAGAGAGCAGAGAGAGAGCAGAGAGAGAGCAGAGAGAGAGCAGAGAGAGACCAGAGAGAGACCAGAGAGAGACCAGAGAGAGCAGAGAGAGAGCAGAGAGAGAGCAGAGAGAGCAGAGAGAGAGCAGATAGAGAGCAGATAGAGAGCAGAGAGAGCAGAGAGAGCAGAGAGAGAGCAGAGAGAGAGACCAGAGAGAGAGCAGAGAGAGAGCAGAGAGAGAGCAGAGAGAGCAGAGAGAGAGCAGAGAGAGAGCAGAGAGAGCAGAGAGAGACCAGAGAGAGACCAGAGAGAGACCAGAGAGAGAGAGCAGAGAGAGAGGGGAGCAGAGAGAGCAGAGAGAGCAGAGAGAGAGAGAGAGAGAGAGCAGAGAGAGAGAGAGCAGTGAGAGAGAGCAGAGAGAGCAGAGAAAGCAGAGAGAGAGCAGAGAGAGAGCAGAGAGACCAGAGAGAGACCAGAGAGACCAGAGAGAGACCAGAGAGACCAGAGAGAGACCAGAGAGAGAGCAGAGAGAGAGCAGAGAGAGAGCAGAGAGAGCAGAGAGAGAGCAGAGAGAGACCAGAGAGGGAGCAGAGAGAGCAGAGAGAGAGCAGAGAGAGCAGAGAGAGAGCAGTGAGAGAGACCAGAGAGAGAGAGCAGAGAGAGAGACCAGGGGTAGAGAGAAACTGATCAATTGTCAACAAGTGCATTGCAGTAAATATAAATATCAAACTCAAAACTTTTGACAGAGGCCAGGGCTTTGGGTTTGTAGTCGTCTTTACTTAGAAAAGAGAACAGATAAGATAGACTTTATTGATCTCACACAGGAAAAAATTACAATTTACTGGTAATTTAGCCATCTTTTCATCCTTAAAAAGTTGGGTACTCCAGCTTTAAGTGTTGTTTGTAATAACGTGTGGCTAATCCTGAGTTATCTCCCACTTTACTTTCGTGCACAGTGGAAATGTGTCTCTGCAGCAGATGGTCATATGACAGACCGCACAGGAGCAGGCGTCAGCAGTGTCAGCAGGGGATACTTACGTGCCCACTTGTTTCAAAGCACGGATGAGGATCTTGTCCACTTCTTCCATCGCAGCGAGTCCAAAATATCCACAGAAAGACAAGTAAAACAAATGTAAAGAGCAGAAATCACATCTACTACTGTAGCTGCACCGCTGCTGAGCTGAAGGCTGGACGTTTTCACCCGACGCACTTTCCGCAAAGATCAAATATATTAACGGGAGGCTATGCTAGCTCATGTTTACTCTCAAAAACATAATTTAATTTATGAGACTTAATTTGAGGTTGTTTTATTTATTGTTTGACTACTTAAATCAGTCAAAGAGACAGCGGTATTACGGTTCGCTGATGAGAGCCTGGCAGAAGTGTGTTGGGGAAAAAGATCAGCAGCGAAGGCGTGAGCTTGCGAGAAAGTGAAATAATATAATAATATATAATAATATTTAATGCGTAATATTTAACTTAGTAACGAACCGTAATAATAATAATACTTTTTTTTAAAAAATATAGTAATTATATTGAAATTATAATAGTACAAAAAGTGAACGATATAAATTAATATTGAAAGAATGATAATGATGATAATAATTAATAAAATAAATATAAACATAGAATTGAAAAAATATGTAAGATGAAATAAAACTTGGATAAATCACAAATACATCCAAATATTGCAGTAAAATTACATAAAATAATACATTAATTAAAAATGAATAAACAAATAAAAAATAGAAACAAAAGTAAATAAAATATGAAACATGAATATCAAAAGGGTAAAATAATAATGATAAATGTGTAGCATTAATTGGACAGTTCTGTCTCTGACCAGCAGATGGCAGCAGATAACAATAACAGCACGGCACCGGAAATCGCGAAAATCGGTCTGTTATCCACCACCGCCGTTGTCCCCGCCGAACCGTGGATCTATGCCCCTTGCACCCGGCTGTCAATTCCTGTCTACCGGCCAGTACCAGCCCCGGTCCTGGCCCCGGTCCTGGTCCTGGTCCTGGTCCTGGTCCTGGTCCCAGTCCCAGCTTCAGTCTAGGACCCAACATGCTGCTGTTGTCTTAGGAGGCTGTCTTCCCCAGAGGTTGATCCGGGCTGCGGGTGGACATGGCTGGGGAGGACGAGAGGGGGGTGGTCCGAGTGAAAGTCAAGGTAAAGATGAAAACAACCGATGATCGCTGAGACGCGTCATGTGATATGGAGTGTTTACAGTAGGCCCATAGCGGCTGGGGTGTGACGTCATGGCTGTTGTTTGGGTGCAAATAGTGTGTGTGTGTGTGTGTGTGTGAGAGTGAGTGTGTGTGTGTGTGTGTGTGTGTGTGTGAGTGAGTGAGAGTGTGTGTGTGTGTGTGTGTGAGAGTGAGTGTGTGTGTGTGAGAGTGAGTGTGTGTGTGTGTGTGTGTGTGTGTGTGAGTGTGTGAGAGTGAGTGAGTGTGTGTGTGTGTGTGTGTGTGTGTTATTGTATTGTATGTCAAGCAGGATGTACTTAAAGCTGCAGTACCTAACTTTCCTCCAACAATACGGGTTGGGGTTTTATGAAACTAGTGACAGAACAAGACTGTTTTAGAGCAAGAACTAGAGAAATGGGTTTCGGTCTCTCTCTGGTCCCTCTCTGGTGTCTAAAGTTACAGGCCTGAGCTTTAACCTGATGTTTTGTTGCAGAAATGTGACGGGGCTCTTCCTCCAGAGCTGCGGTCGTTTGCGGTCGATCCTCAGATCACGTCCCTGGAAGTTCTACAGCACATCCTCATACGGGCCTTTGACCTGAGCGGGTAAGAGGGACCTGGGGGAGACCAGGGAGAGACCAGGGAGAGACCAGGGAGAGACCAGGGAGAGACCAGGGAGAGACCAGGGAGAGACCAGGGAGAGACCAGGGAGAGACCAGAGAGAGACCAGAGAGAGACCAGGGAGAGACCAGGGAGAGACCAGGGAGAGACCAGGGAGAGACCAGAGAGGGACCAGAGAGAGGCCAGAGAGAGGCCAGAGAGGGACCAGGGAGAGACCAGGGAGAGACCAGGGAGAGACCAGGGAGAGACCAGGGGGAGACCAGGGAGAGACCAGGGAGAGACCAGGGAGAGACCAGGGAGAGACCAGGGAGAGACCAGGGGGAGACCAGAGAGGGACCAGAGAGGGACCAGAGAGGGACCAGGGAGAGACCAGGGAGAGACCAGAGAGGGACCAGAGAGGGACCAGAGAGGGACCAGAGAGGGACCAGAGAGGGACCAGAGAGGGACCAGAGAGGGAATGCTAGTTGCCAAGCAACCAGAAAAGGCTACATTTAACTTGTACATAAACAAATGATAAATAAAACAGGAGGTTAAACTCATACTTACAGTATTTACAGAGAACAAAATGCAGACACAGAAAAGGCACAAAGACTAATCATTCTTCCTCCTAAACCTATAGCAGTCAAATGGACTGCTCTGTGTTAAATGGACTGCTCTGTGTTAACTGGACTGCTCTGTGTTAAATGGACTGCTCTGTGTTAACTGGACTGCTCTGTGTTAACTGGACTGCTCTGTGTTAAATGGACTGCTCTGTGTTAACTGGACTGCTCTGTGTTAACTGGACTGCTCTGTGTTAACTGGACTGCTCTGTGTTAAATGGACTGCTCTGTGTTAACTGGACTGCTCTGTGTTAACTGGACTGCTCTGTGTTAACTGGACTGCTCTGTGTTAACTGGACTGCTCTGTGTTAAATGGACTGCTCTGTGTTAACTGGACTGCTCTGTGTTAACTGGACTGCTCTGTGTTAACTGGACTGCTCTGTGTTAACTGGACTGCTCTGTGTTAACTGGACTGCTCTGTGTTAATTAACTGGACTGCTCTGTGTTAATTAACTGGACTGCTCTGTGTTAAATGGACTGCTCTGTGTTAACTGCTCTGCTCTGTGTTAACTGGACTGCTCTGTGTTAACTGGACTGCTCTGTGTTAAATGGACTGCTCTGTGTTAACTGGACTGCTCTGTGTTAACTGGACTGCTCTGTGTTAAATGGACTGCTCTGTGTTAACTGGACTGCTCTGTGTTAACTGGACTGCTCTGTGTTAAATGGACTGCTCTGTGTTAACTGGACTGCTCTGTGTTAACTGGACTGCTCTGTGTTAACTGGACTGCTCTGTGTTAAATGGACTGCTCTGTGTTAACTGGACTGCTCTGTGTTAATTAACTGGACTGCTCTGTGTTAACTGCTCTGCTCTGTGTTAACTGGACTGCTCTGTGTTAAATGGACTGCTCTGTGTTAAATGGACTGCTCTGTGTTAACTGGACTGCTCTGTGTTAACTGGACTGCTCTGTGTTAAATGGACTGCTCTGTGTTAACTGGACTGCTCTGTGTTAATTAACTGGACTGCTCTGTGTTAAATGGACTGCTCTGTGTTAACTGCTCTGCTCTGTGTTAACTGGACTGCTCTGTGTTAAATGGACTGCTCTGTGTTAACTGCTCTGCTCTGTGTTAACTGGACTGCTCTGTGTTAACTGGACTGCTCTGTGTTAATTAACTGGACTGCTCTGTGTTAAATGGACTGCTTTGTGTTAACTGGACTGCTCTGTGTTAATTAACTGGACTGCTCTGTGTTAAATGGACTGCTTTGTGTTAACTGGACTGCTCTGTGTTAATTAACTGGACTGCTCTGTGTTAAATGGACTGCTTTGTGTTAACTGGACTGCTCTGTGTTCTTTCAGGAAGCAGACCTTTGGGATCAGCTTTTTGTCCCGGGACCAGGGCCCTGAGGGGTTCCAGGCCCTGACCTCGGACCTGGACTTGGAGGAGGCCTTTGTGAGCGCCGCCAAACCACATCTGCAGCTGAAGATGGACATCAGGCCAGCAGAGGACAGTAAGGGACCAGGGGCCAGACCAGGGGCCAGACCAGGGGCCAGACCAGGGGCCAGACCAGGGGCCAGACCAGAGTGTGACATCACCACAGTGTTAGCCTTAATACAGAAGAAGCTGATTTGAACATGAGCTGCAGTAGCCTGGCCTTATCCATCCGTACTCTCTGGTCAATCATCATTTCACTGCATGTCACGTCTGGGTCTGGTCCCTGTGTTTGAGATTACAATCGGTTGAATTCCATCCGACCAATCAGAGAGCGCGGGAGACGGGTGTTGTAGTTAGTTGTGGTTGACGTCAAGAGTTTGCGTCGAACGGGCAGGTTGTAGTTTTGCGGAAGAATACGAGAGGAGAGGGGAGCAAATAGTTTACTTGATGATATTTCTGGTTGACAACACGGATCCTTCTCTGCCTCTGTCTCTGTCTCTGTCTCTGTCTCTGTCTCTGCCTCTGCCTCTGCCTCTGCCTCTGCCTCTGCCTCTGCCTCTGCCTCTGCCTCTGCCTCTGCCTCTGCCTCTGTCTCTGCCTCTGCCTCTGCCTCTGCCTCTGTCTCTGCCTCTGCCTCTGCCTCTGCCTCTGCCTCTGCCTCTGCCTCTGCCTCTGCCTCTGCCTCTGCCTCTGCCTCTGCCTCTGCCTCTGCCTCTGTCTCTGCCTCTGCCTCTGCCTCTGCCTCTGCCTCTGCCTCTGCCTCTGCCTCTGCCTCTGCCTCTGCCTCTGCCTCTGCCTCTGCCTCTGCCTCTGTCTCTGTCTCTGCCTCTGGCTCTGGCTCTGTCTCTGTCTCTGTCTCTGCCTCTGCCTCTGTCTCTGTCTCTGTCTCTGTCTCTGTCTCTGTCTCTGTCTCTGCCTCTGGCTCTGCTCTGTCTCTGTCTCTGTCTCTGTCTCTGCCTCTGCCTCTGTCTCTGTCTCTGTCTCTGTCTCTGTCTATTGTCTCTGTCTCTGTCTCTGTCTCTCTTCCTCTGTCTCTCTGCCTCTGTCTCTCTGCCTCTCTGCCTCTCTGTCTCTCTGCCTCTCTGTCTCTCTGTCTCTCTGCCTCTCTGTCTCTCTGCCTCTCTGTCTCTCTGTCTCTCTGCCTCTCTGTCTCTGCCTCTGCCTCTGTCTCTGTCTCTGTCTCTGTCTCTGTCTCTGCCTCTGCCTCTGCCTCTGTCTCTGTCTCTGTCTCTGTCTCTCTTCCTCTGTCTCTCTGCCTCTGCCTCTCTGTCTCTCTGCCTCTGCCTCTCTGTCTCTCTGCCTCTGTCTCTCTTCCTCTGTCTCTCTGCCTCTGCCTCTCTGTCTCTCTGCCTCTCTGTCTCTCTGCCTCTGCCTCTCTGTCTCTCTGCCTCTGTCTCTCTGCCTCTCTGTCTCTCTGCCTCTCTGCCTCTGTCTCTGTCTCTGTCTCTGCCTCTGCCTCTGTATCCAGGTCCAGTGATGGAGGACTGGGACATCATCAGCCCCAAAGACGTGATGACCTCTGAGCAGCTGTTTGCAGACCGCACTCGCTCTCTGGCCTCCGCCGCTCTGCCCTTCACCCAATCTCTGCTCTCCCAGGTACCAGTACTCACCCATGTACCAGTACTCACCCATGTACCAGTACTCACCCATGTACCAGTACTCACCAGGTACCAGTACTCACCCATGTACCAGTACTCACCAGGTACCAGTACTCACCCATGTACCAGTACTCACCCATGTACCAGTACTCACCCATGTACCAGTACTCAGCCATGTACCAGTACTCACCCATGTACCAGTACTCACCCAGGTACCAGTACTCTTCCAGGTACCAGTACTCACCCATGTACCAGTACTCACCCATGTACCAGTACTCACCAGGTACCAGTACTCACCCATGTACCAGTACTCACCCAGGTACCAGTACTCACCCATGTACCAGTACTCACCCATGTACCAGTACTCACCAGGTACCAGTACTCACCAGGTACCAGTACTCACCCATGTACCAGTACTCACCCATGTACCAGTACTCACCAGGTACCAGTACTCACCCATGTACCAGTACTCACCCAGGTACCAGTACTCACCCAGGTACCAGTACTCACCCATGTACCAGTACTCACCCATGTACCAGTACTCACCAGGTACCAGTACTCACCCATGTACCAGTACTCACCCAGGTACCAGTACTCACCCATGTACCAGTACTCACCCATGTACCAGTACTCACCAGGTACCAGTACTCACCCATGTACCAGTACTCACCCAGGTACCAGTACTCTCCCAGGTACCAGTACTCACCCATGTACCAGTACTCACCCATGTACCAGTACTCACCAGGTACCAGTACTCACCCATGTACCAGTACTCACCCATGTACCAGTACTCACCAGGTACCAGTACTCACCCAGGTACCAGTACTCACCCAGGTACCAGTACTCACCCATGTACCAGTACTCACCAGGTACCAGTACTCACCCATGTACCAGTACTCACCCAGGTACCAGTACTCTCCCAGGTACCAGTACTCACCCATGTACCAGTACTCACCCATGTACCAGTACTCACCCATGTACCAGTACTCACCCATGTACCAGTACTCACCCATGTACCAGTACTCACCCATGTACCAGTACTCACCAGGTACCAGTACTCACCCATGTACCAGTACTCTCCCAGGTACCAGTACTCACCCATGTACCAGTACTCGCCCATGTACCAGTACTCACCCAGGTACCAGTACTCACCCATGTACCAGTACTCACCCATGTACCAGTACTCACCCAGGTACCAGTACTCACCCATGTACCAGTACTCACCCAGGTACCAGTACTCACCCATGTACCAGTACTCACCCATGTACCAGTACTCACCAGGTACCAGTACTCACCCATGTACCAGTACTCACCCAGGTACCAGTACTCACCCATGTACCAGTACTCACCAGGTACCAGTACTCACCCATGTACCAGTACTCTCCCAGGTACCAGTACTCACCCATGTACCAGTACTCACCCAGGTACCAGTACTCACCCATGTACCAGTACTCACCCATGTACCAGTACTCACCCAGGTACCAGTACTCACCCATGTACCAGTACTCACCCATGTACCAGTACTCACCCAGGTACCAGTACTCACCCATGTACCAGTACTCACCCATGTACCAGTACTCACCAGGTACCAGTACTCACCCATGTACCAGTACTCACCCAGGTACCAGTACTCACCCAGGTACCAGTACTCTCCCAGGTACCAGTACTCACCCATGTACCAGTACTCTCCCAGGTACCAGTACTCACCCATGTACCAGTACTCACCAGGTACCAGTACTCACCCATGTACCAGTACTCACCCAGGTACCAGTACTCACCCATGTACCAGTACTCACCCATGTACCAGTACTCACCAGGTACCAGTACTCACCCATGTACCAGTACTCACCCAGGTACCAGTACTCTCCCAGGTACCAGTACTCACCCATGTACCAGTACTCACCCATGTACCAGTACTCACCAGGTACCAGTACTCACCCATGTACCAGTACTCACCCAGGTACCAGTACTCACCCATGTACCAGTACTCACCCATGTACCAGTACTCACCAGGTACCAGTACTCACCCATGTACCAGTACTCACCCAGGTACCAGTATTCACCCAGATACCAGTACTCACCCAGATACCAGTACTCACCCAGGTACCAGTATTCACTCAGGTACCAGTACTTATCCAGGTACCAGTACTTATCCAGGTACCAGTACTCATCCAGGTACCAGTACTCACCCAGGTACCAGTACTCACCCAGGTACCAGTATTCACCCAGATACCAGTACTCACCCAGATACCAGTACTCACCCAGGTACCAGTATTCACTCAGGTACCAGTACTTATCCAGGTACCAGTACTCATCCAGGTACCAGTACTCACCCAGGTACCAGTACTCGCTCATAAAGATATGATTAAGTGGATGTCCTGTCCCTGCCCCCCTGGTCTCTGACAACCTGGTGCTTGTGGTCTCTATGATCTCTCTCTGGTCTCTCTCTGGTCTCTCTGGTCTCTCTCTCTGATATCTCTCTCTGGTCTCTCTCTCTGGTCTCTCTCTGGCCTCTCTCTCTGATATCTCTCTCTGATATCTCTCTCTGGTCTCTCTCTGATCTCTCTCTCTGATTTCTCTCTGGTCCCCTTTCCCCCTGGTGTCTAACCTCCTGGTGTGTCTCCATGGTTACCAGGTGGGCCGGACCCTGACCCGGGTGCAGCAGGCCTTCAGCTGGTCGTACGGAGAGGAGATGAAGCCGTTCAAACCTCCGCTAAGTGACGCAGAGTTCCACTGGTACCTAAACCATCAAGGCCAGCTCACCAAACCAGAGGAGCTGAGGCTGCGTATCTACCATGGGGGAGTGGAACCATCGCTGCGCAAGGTGTGGGGCTGTTTACAAACAAGCAAGGGACTAAGGATAATAGCAACATGAAATCTATCTCTGGTCCCTCTCTGGTCTCTCTCTGGTCCCTCTCTGGTCTCTCTCTGGTCTCTTTCTGGTCTCTTTCTGGTCTCTCTCTCTGGTCTCTCTCTTGTCTCTTTCTGGTCTCTCTCTCTGGTCTCTCTCTTGTCTCTTTCTGGTCTCTCTCTCTCTGGTCTCTTTCATTTTACGTCACAAAATTCTTTCTGTTGGAGAAACTTCTCTCACTAGTCTCTGGTCTCTCTCTCTCTCTGGCCTCTCTCTGGCCTCTCTCTCTGGTCTTTCTCTCTGGTCTCTCTTACTAGTCTCTGGTCTCTCCCTCTGGTCTCTCTACTCTCTCTGTGGTCTCTCCCTCTGGTCTCGCTGGTCTCTACCTCTGGTCTCTCTCTGGTCTCTCTCACTAGTCTCTGGTCTCTCCCTCTGGCCTCTCTCTCTGGTCTCTCTCTCTGGTCTCTCCCTCTGGTCTCTCCCTCTGGCCTCTCTCTCTGGTCTCTCCCTCTGGCCTCTCTCTCTGGTCTCTCCCTCTGGTCTCTCCCTCTGGCCTCTCCCTCTGGTCTCTCTGGTCTCTACCTCTGGTCTCTCTCTGGTCTCTCTCACTAGTCTCTGGTCTCTCCCTCTGGCCTCTCTCTCTGGTCTCTCTCTCTGGTCTCTCTCTCTGGTCTCTCCCTCTGGTCTCTCCCTCTGGTCTCTACCTCAGGTCTCTCTCTGGTCTCTCTCACTAGTCTCTGGTCTCTCCCTCTGGCCTCTCTCTCTGGTCTCTCTCTCTGGTCTCTCTCTCTGGTCTCTCCCTCTGGTCTCTCCCTCTGGTCTCTCCCTCTGGTCTCTCCCTCTGGTCTCTCCCTCTGGTCTCTCCCTCTGGTCTCTACCTCAGGTCTCTCTCTGGTCTCTCTCACTAGTCTCTGGTCTCTCCCTCTGGTCTCTCTCTCTGGTCTCTCTCTCTGGTCTCTCCCTCTGGTCTCTCCCTCTGGTCTCTCCCTCTGGTCTCTCCCTCTGGCCTCTCTCTCTGGTCTCTCTCTCTGGTCTCTCTCTCTGGTCTCTCCCTCTGGTCTCTCCCTCTGGTCTCTCTCTCTGGTCTCTCCCTCTGGTCTCTCTCTCTGGTCTCTCCCTCTGGTCTCTCCCTCTGGTCTCTCTGCTCTGACTCTCTCTTGCTTTTCCTCAGGTGGTGTGGCGGTACCTGCTGAACGTGTACCCAGATGGTCTGAGTGGTCAGGAGAGGATGGACTACATGAAGAGGAAGACGAGAGAGTACTACGAGCTGAAGAGCGCCGGGACGTCCAGGGTCAGTGCGCAGGAGCTGGACTTCATCCGCGGGAACGTCCTCAAAGACGTTCTCAGGACAGACCGCGCTCACGCCTACTACGCCGGCTCCGAGGACAGCCCACACCTCACCGCACTCACCAACCTGCTCACCACCTTCGCCATCACACACCCACAGGTACCAGAGACCAGAGGGAGACCAGAGGGAGACCAGAGGGAGACCAGAGGGAGACCAGAGGGAGACCAGAGGGAGACCAGAGGGAGGCCAGAGGGAGACCAGAGGGAGACCAGAGGGAGACCAGAGGGAGACCAGAGGGAGACCAGAGGGAGACCAGAGGGAGACCAGAGGGAGACCAGAGGGAGGCCAGAGGGAGACCAGAGGGAGACCAGAGGGAGGCCAGAGGGAGACCAGAGGGAGACCAGAGGGAGACCAGAGGGAGACCAGAGGGAGACCAGAGGGAGGCCAGAGGGAGGCCAGAGGGAGACCGGAGGGAGACCGGAGGGAGGCCGGAGGGAGGCCGGAGGGAGACCGGAGGGAGACCGGAGGGAGACCGGAGGGAGACCGGAGGGAGGCCGGAGGGAGACCGGAGGGAGACCGGAGGGAGACCGGAGGGAGGCCGGAGGGAGACCGGAGGGAGACCGGAGGGAGACCGGAGGGAGACCGGAGGGAGGCCGGAGGGAGGCCGGAGGGAGGCCGGAGGGAGGCCGGAGGGAGGCCGGAGGGAAGCCAGAGGGAGACCAGAGGGAGACCAGAGGGAGGCCAGAGAGAGACCAGAGGGAGACCAGAGGGAGGCCAGAGGGAGGCCAGAGGGAGGCCAGAGGGAGGCCAGAGGGAGACCAGAGGGAGACCAGAGGGAGGCCAGAGGGAGGCCAGAGGGAGACCAGAGGGAGACCAGAGGGAGGCCAGAGGGAAGCCAGAGGGAGACCAGAGGGAGACCAGAGGGAGACCAGAGGGAGGCCAGAGGGAGGCCAGAGGGAGGCCAGAGGGAGGCCAGAGGTAGGCCAGAGGGAGGCCAGAGGGAGGCCAGAGGGAGACCAGAGGGAGACCAGAGGGAGGACAGAGGGAGGCCAGAGGGAGGCCAGAGGGAGGCCAGAGGGAGGCCAGAGGGAGACCAGCGGGAGACCAGCGGGAGACCAGAGGGAGACCAGAGGGAGACCAGAGGGAGACCAGAGGGAGGCCAGAGGGAGGCCAGAGGGAAGCCAGAGGGAGGCCAGAGGGAGACCAGAGGGAGACCAGAGGGAGACCAGAGGGAGACCAGAGGGAGACCAGAGGTAGGCCAGAGGTAGGCCAGAGGGAGGCCAGAGGGAGGCCAGAGGGAGACCAGAGGGAGACCAGAGGGAGGCCAGAGGGAGGCCAGAGGGAGGCCAGAGGGAGGCCAGAGGGAGGCCAGAGGGAGGCCAGAGGGAGGCCAGAGAGGGAGACCAGAGGGAGACCAGAGGGAGACCGGAGGGAGAGGCCAGACTCAACCCTTGTCTCTTTATCTAAAGAAGTGACAGAGACAAACACATGAAACTCGAGCCAGAACCAGAGACATGGTTTCATACAGAGAAAGTTACAGACCTCAGCTTTACTCTGCTCCTCCAGATCTCGTACTGCCAGGGCATGAGTGACATTGCGTCTCCGATCCTCGCCGTCATGGACAACGAGGCGCACGCCTTCATCTGCTTCTGCGGCGTCATGAAGCGCCTGGAGGGGAACTTCCGCCCGGACGGTCATCTCATGTCTGTGAAGTTCCAGCACCTGAAGCTGCTGCTGCAGTACTCCGACCCGGACTTCTACTCCTACCTGGTGTCCCGCGGCGCCGACGACCTCTTCTTCTGCTACCGCTGGCTTCTGCTGGAGCTGAAGAGAGAGTTCGCCTTCGATGATGCTCTGAGGATGTTAGAGATCACCTGGAGCTCGCTGCCTCCAGACCCTCCAGAGACTGAGGTGGAGCTGTGTGGGCCGCCCCTGGAGGAGGAGCAGGCCGGGAGGTACAGGAGGAGGAGGAGAGGGGTGGAGGACCAGGACCAGGGCCTAGACCAGGGCCTGGACCTGGACCAGGACAGGGCTGGGAGCTACAGGCGGAGGAGATCGATGGAAGAAGGGCAGGTGGAGGATGGACCGGGACGAGCTGTGAACCACATGCAGAGCAGAGAGGGGCTGATGGAGGACCAGGACCAGAACCAGGACCAGGACCAGGACAGGCAGCGCATTCGCCACATGCTCCGGCCTTCGCGAGAGGAAGTGGTTGTCATGGAGACAGACGCCAACGAAGAATCCAAAACCAGCACTTTTCCAATGTCGAGGAAAAGCAGTTTCGGCGAGTTTAAAGTGAGTATAACATGTTTGATTGTTTGTAAAAATAGTCTTAGGTCATTCACTTTCCTTTTCATGTTCTTCATCCGCCTGAAAAAGGCCAAGGGAGCAGGATCACCAGTAGATGGAGAGCTTAGACTTTCATAAAACAAGTACATAAATGGTACTTTATGAATACTGAGGGTCCCAGTGTAGACCCTTGCGGTGCCCCACAGGTGTCTCTCTGTGTCAGGTCCAAACTAAAGTGGAATTATGTCAAATGTGTTTTTGTGAAGTGGTTTCACCTGTTGTTTGATCTTTTAGTACTACTGCGCCAGGAGCGAGGAACGCATGGAAGACATCGAGCCCACCCAGCCCGAGCCCACCCAGCCCGAGCCCACCCAGCCCGAGCCCACCCAGCCCGAGCCCACCCAGCCCGAGTCCACCCAGCCCGAGCCCACCCAGCCCGAGCCCGGCCCATTCAGGCGCCAGTCCACTGCAGAGAGCCAGGACGAGCTCGGAGAGAAGGCTCCGCTGATAAAGGACTCTGATCCCTCCAGTCTTTGGTCGAACTTGATCCCGGACTCTAAACCCGGTCTCCACAACGGCGTGTCGTCTCCTCCCTCTCGCCCGCGCTCCCTGCTCTCCTCCCCCATCCTCTCCTTCGGGAAATCCCACTTCAGGGCCAGCTCCAACCCGCTGTCCTCGCCGGGAAACAAGACTTTGCCCCGAGCGGACTGCCCCAAGCCGTGCTCGCTGCCGCCGCCGCAGGAGTTTGGCAAAGGCAACCCGTTCATGCTCTTCCTGTGCCTGGCCATCCTGCTGGAGCACCGCGACCACATCATCAAGAACGCGCTGGACTACAACGAGCTGGCCATGCACTTCGACCGCCTGGTGCGCCGACACAACCTGAGCCGTGCGCTGCAGAGGGCCAAGGCGCTGTTCGCCGAGTACCTGCAGAGCGAGGTGTGGGACTCCGAGGAGGGGGACGAGGTGAGCTCCGACTCCCCCACTCTGCCTGCACGGCCCGGGTACAGCCCGCTGGCCTCTCCCCCCCTGGCCTCTCCCCCGCGGGCCTCCTCCCCCAACTCCACCTACGACCTGACCAGCACCGTGCCCTCGGTCGCATTGTCGCCCACGTCCTGAGCGCGAGAAAAGACTCGACCGAAAACACGTTTTTAAAGACTGTTGTCGCTACGGTTACGTTTTCATAGTTTATTTAATATTTTTTTGTTTTGTTGGTGTTCAAAGACTAGATCAAAGGTTTGAAGGGCATAGAGAGAGCACAGAGAGAGAGCACAGAGAGAGAGCACAGAGAGAGAGCACTGACTGAGAGAGAGCACAGAGAGAGAGCACAGAGTGAGAGACCAGAGAGAGACCAGAGAGAGAGAGACCAGAGAGGAAGAGACCAGAGAGGAAGAGACCAGAGAGGAAGAGACCAGAGTGGAAGAGACCAGAGAGGAAGAGACCAGAGAGGAAGAGACCAGAGAGAAAGAGACCAGAGAGGAAGAGACCAGAGAGGAAGAGACCAGAGAGGAAGAGACCAGAGAGGAAGAGACCAGAGAGGAAGAGACCAGAGAGGAAGAGACCAGAGAGGAAGAGACCAGAGAGGAAGAGACCAGAGAGAGAGACCAGAGAGAGAGAGACCAGAGAGAGAGAGACCAGAGAGAGAGAGACCAGAGAGAAAGAGACCAGAGAGAAAGAGACCAGAGAGAAAGAGACCAGAGAGAAAGAGACCAGAGAGAAAGAGACCAGAGGAAGAGACTAGACCAATCAGCACGGAGCTAGAGCGAGCCGAGTTTCTTGCTGTGGATTTGTAGAAAACCAATGGATTTCAAAAAAACAAAAAGAGACGCTGAAATCAAAGCCTAACACGGAGGTCGTTCAAAAACCTCTCTCTGTTACGTCACTTTGCGATTTACAACGTTCTGAGTATATCTTGAGCCACAGGGGGCGCTATTGTCCTGACCACTCTGAAAGTTCAAATGGCCTTTTCTTTGTCCTGTCTGCCTTCTTCTTTTTCTTCTTCTTCTGGCTTCTTAAGTGCAATTATTTATTTTATGTTTCGGATCCTGTCCCTGAGCGTCTGTCACCACTGCACACTATCTCTGTGAATAACATGATATTTACAACTATGTATAAAAATAAAATAAACCAAATCTTTTCAATGGATTTGCTGCTTTTGTGGTGTTGGTGTTGGCTTTAATCAATGGAAACGTTAGAAATACTGCAAAAACTATAAGACTTAGAAGCATAAGAACTTACCACTGTAACATTTAAACTCTAAAAAGGTTCTAGCAAGTTCCAATGCAGGTTTAGAGGAGACCAGAGAGAGACCAGAGAGAGACCAGAAAGAGAGACTAGAGAGGAACCAGAGAGAGAGACCAGAGAGAGACCAGAAAGAGAGACTAGAGAGAGACCAGAGAGAGACCAGAGAGAGACCAGAGAGAGACCAAAGAGAGACCAAAGAGAGACCAAAGAGAGACCAAAGAGAGACCAAAGAGAGACCGGAGATAGACCAGAGAGAGACCAGAAAGAGACCAAAGAGAGACCGGAGATAGACCAGAGAGAGACCAAAGAGAGACCAAAGAGAGACCAAAGAGAGACCAAAGAGAGACCGGAGATAGACCAGAGAGAGACCAGAAAGAGACCAGAGAGGAACCAGAGACAAACCAGAGAGAGACCAGAGAGAGACCAGAGAGAGGCCAGAGAGAGGCCAAAGAGAGGCCAAAGAGAGACCAAAGAGAGGCCAAAGAGAGACCAAAGAGAGACCAAAGAGAAGAGAGACCAAAGAGAGACCAAAGAGAGGCCAAAGAGAGGCCAAAGAGAGGCCAAAGAGAGGCCAAAGAGAGGCCAAAGAGAGGCCAAAGAGAGGCCAAAGAGAGGCCAAAGAGAGGCCAAAGAGAGGCCAAAGAGAGGCCAAAGAGAGGCCAAAGAGAGGCCAAAGAGAGGCCAAAGAGAGGCCAAAGAGAGGCCAAAGAGAGGCCAAAGAGAGGCCAAAGAGAGGCCAAAGAGAGGCCAAAGAGAGGCCAAAGAGAGGCCAAAGAGAGGCCAAAGAGAGGCCAAAGAGAGGCCAAAGAGAGACCAAAGAGAGACCAAAGAGAGACCAAAGAGAGACCAAAGAGAGACCGGAGATAGACCAGAGAGAGACCAGAAAGAGACCAGAAAGAGACCAGAAAGAGACCAGAAAGAGACCAGAAAGAGACCGGAGATAGACCGGAGATAGACCAGAGAGAGACCAGAAAGAGACCAGAGAGGAACCAGAGACAGACCAGAGAGAGACCAGAGAGAGACCAGAGAGAGACCAGAGAGAGACCAGAGAGAGACCAGAGAGAGACCAGAGAGAGACCAGAGAGAGACCAGAGAGAGACCAGAGAGCGTTGCATCCTCTGCGGTGACCCTCCGTGACCAGCAGGGGGCGCTGATGGTCCTCACTGCGCCTCTGTGGTGTGTGGAGGTGTTAGCATTAGCATTAGCCTGGAGCTGCTATGCGGGTAAGAGATTACAACTACATCCTCTCACACACATATAGCCATGCAGTGTTGTCTCCTATGGCCACTTTTCTTCACACTGTAAACACGGCGTTGATCTGAGCCGAAGAGAAGCTAGCATGCAGCTGTTAGCATTAGCATTAGCCTTGTTTACATCCTGAGCAACGCCGCGTTTCTCTTTTCTGTGTTTTCCCTTCACGTAAACACATACTGTGGTAGTAACACACGGACATAGGCCTGTCATTGTCCCCACACCGCAGTATTTAGATGATATTGCTCCTGTTTGAACAGTTACTGTGTTGGAATGAACTGGACTGGCTCTAAAATCTTGGTATTTCGCCCTGAGGAAGCCTTCACTTAACCCCAACTTTAGCACGACATCAAAGGCTGTGGAACGTTTGTGTCCCATAAATAACACGTGTGTCCAAGACGTTACTGGCTCTAAACAGTTTGCTTTCGTCACTAGTTTTCACATGGTGTATTATGTCATATCTTTAGATCGGCGTTTCAGACAGAAACATTCTGGTCTCTCTCTGGTCTCTCTCTGGTCTCTCTCTGGTCTCTCTCTGGTCTCTCTCTGGTCTCTTTCTGGTTTCTCTCTGGTCTCTCTCTGGTCTCTCTCTCTCTCTCTCTCTGGTCTCCCTCTGGTCTCTCTCTGGTCTCTCTCTGGTCTCCCTCTGGTCTCTCTCTGGTCTCTCTCTCGCTGGTCTCCCTCTGGTCTCTCTTTGGTCTCTCTCTGGTCTCTCTCTCTCTCTCTCTCTGGTCTCTCTCTGGTCTCTCTCTGGTCTCTCTCTGGTCTCTCTCTGGTCTCTCTCTGGTCTCTCTCTGGTCTCTCTCTCTCTCTCTCTCTCTCTCTGGTCTCCCTCTGGTCCCTCTCTGGTCTCTCTCTCTCTCTCTCTCTCTCTCTGGTCTCCCTCTGGTCTCTCTCTCTCTCTCTCTCTCTCTGGTCTCCCTCTGGTCTCCCTCTGGTCTCTCTCTGGTCTCTCTCTGGTCTCTCTCTCTCTGGTCTCTCTCCCTCTGGTCTCTCTCTGGTCTCTCTCTGGTCTCTCTCTGGTCTCTCTCTCTCTGGTCTCTCTCTCTCTGGTCTCTCTCTGGTCTCTCTCTGGTTTCTCTCTGGTCTCTCTCTCTCTGGTCTCCCTCTGGTCTCTCTCTGGTCTCTGGTCTCTCTCTCTCTGGTCTCTCTCTCTCTGGTCTCTCTCTCTCTGGTCTCTCTCTGGTCTCTCTCTGGTCTCTCTCTGGTCTCTCTCTGGTCTCTCTCTGGTCTCTCTCTGGTCTCTCTCTGGTCTCTCTCTGGTCTCCCTCTGGTCTCTCTCTGCAGAAAAAAGTGTTAAGGTGAATCAGGATGTTGTGTCTGATTGGTTCAAAACCTTTTAGACTCTTTGTTCAAACCACAAGAGTTTGATGAGACTAAAGTTACGGACCCCAGCTTTAACTCCCCCTGTGTGTAGAGTGTGTGTTTAATTTGAAAGTGTTTCTTATGGTTTGCAGCATGTACAGAAGCGCCGCAGCTCTGAGCCGCTGCCTTTTCAATCCAAATGTGTGAGAAGAGAGAGCGAGGGTCCTTCATCTGCAGACACAGGTGAGAACACACATATACAGAGAGAGAGAGACCAGGGAGAGCCTTGTAGACTAATATCCATAGTTATTATATAGCGTTACACTGAACACTCCTCGGCAAAAAGACTAGGCCTGAAGGCGGGTTGGTCGCCGAGTCCTTCTGACACACCAGCCTGAGTCGCTGTCCAAATCTGAGGCCATGGTGCTCGTCCAGAAAAGAGGTGCCTTGTCCTCTCCAGGTCCTGGTCCTCTCAAGGTGGAGAGGTCCTTCCTCAAGTGGAGGAGTTCAAGTATCTCGGGGTCTGGTTCACGAGTGAGGGAAGAATGGAGCGTGAGATTGACAGGCGGATCGGTGCAGCGTGCGCAGTGATGCGGTCGCTGTATCGGACCGTTGTGGTAAAGAGGGAGCAGCGTCTGCAGTCAGAGCTGTATCGGACTTTTTAGGGCTGGGCGATATGGCAAAAAAAATAAATCTCCGATTTTTTCACACCAAATCCGATTTTCGATTTTAATCGATTTATTTTTTTCTATTTAAAAACAAACTACAACTGACAAAAAAATAGATTTTCCTATATGCAGTTTAATCTAAATCCCCATGGAGCATAAGTGTAACAGGAATTACGCCTTAAAACATGCTTGTAAACGAGATGGCTCTGCCATTGTAAACAGTGAAAATGTAGCTTAACAGTTTTATAATAACTTCACTTACAATGACACTATGCACCTTCAAAATAACTTAAATCACACAAACAAGGCCCATCGCAAATATATCAATCCTATTAAACACATGCATTATTTACATGAAATATCACATTTTTAAAACTGATTACTCAAAATAGAAATGTTGTAACAGTCTTTTCCAAAAGCCTCCTCGGGTTTTCATGCTTGTTCTTTCAACTGTGCCTGAGTAACTGTGCTGTAGTACAACGCTCGGTCCAGCTGGTGGCGCTAATACTAACTTCAGTGGCTCCCGCATTGTGCGAGCTTCCTGTTTACATTCTGATGCTGTAGCTAACAGCTACTGCAGCAGCTACTGTAGCACAGCTACGTAGCTAGCTACTGTAGCTAACAGCTACTGTAGCAGCTACTGTAGCTAACAGCTACGTAGAGCTACAGTAGCGCTACGTAGCGCTACTGTAGCTACAGCTAGTAGCAGCTACTGTAGCTAAGCTACGTAGCTACAGTAGCAGCTACTGTAGCTGCTACAGTAGCGTAGCTACAGTAGCGCTACAGTAGCAGCTACAGTAGCAGCTACGTAGCAGCTACTGTAGCTAACAGCTACTGTAGCAGCTACTGTAGCTAACAGCTACTGTAGCAGCTACTGTAGCTAACAGCTACTGTAGCAGCTACTGTAGCTGCTACAGTAGCAGCTACAGTAGCTGCTACTGTAGCTAACAGCTACAGTAGCAGCTACTGTAGCAGTAGCTGCTACAGTAGCAGCTACTGTAGCAGCTACTGTAGCTAACAGCTACTGTAGCAGCTACTGTAGCTAACAGACAGCGGGGAACACGTTGTTTGTATCAGAGCAATGAGAGCAATGTGTGAGACGTGTCTTTCCCCAAAGTGCAGCGGCTCAGTGGGACACGAGTGTGTGCGCGCCACGGACACGGGAGTACGCTTTGGAATAACGAGCGTGAGAGAGCGTGAAAGATGTGGCGTACGAACATGGCGTACGAACATAGCGACCGGAGCCTGCGTGCGTGTGTGTGTGTGTTCTGGCGATTAAATAAAGTCTGATTCTTGAACGTTTGAAGTGTTATTGCAACAGCACCAACTGTGAGAGCGAGCATCAGGCCAGAGGGAGACTGTTAGCATTAGGTTAGCTTCAAAATGACTGCTCAACACCATAGACCCGCGGTTAGCGCGTTAGCGCTGTAGTTCTGCGCTGGAGAAAATAAAAATCGAATTTTTAAAAAAAGAAATCGCCCTAAACGTAAAACTCGAATTAATGATTAAAATCGATTAATCGCCCAGCCCTAGGACTGTTGTGGTAAAGAGGGAGCTGAGCCGAAAGGTAAAGTTCTCAATTTACCGGTCAATCTACATTCCCTCCCTCACCTATGGTCATGAGGGAGAAGCGTCTGAAGTCAGAGCTCCCCTCCCTCACCTCTGGTCATGAGCTTTGGGTAATGACCGAAAGAACGAGATCGCAGATACAAGCTCGGAGTAGAGTCGCTACTTCTCCACGTCGAGAGGAACCAGTTGCGGTGGCTCGGGCATGTGTTCTGGACGCCTCCCTGGGGAGGTGTTCCGGGCCCCGGGGGAGACCCAGGACACAGAGGGACTATGTCTCTCTCTGGCCTGGGAACACCTTGGGGTTCCCCGCGGACGAGCTGGAGGACGTGTGTGAGAGGGAAATATAGGCGTCTCTGACTGCTGCCCCTGCAACCCGGCCACAGATGAAGCGGAAGAAAATGGAAAATGGAAATGAATGAGGCTAAAGGACAGATGTGTTTGTGGCTGATGGACACAGGGTCCGTCTCTTTGTGGACGGCTGTTCTCCGGTCTTAAAGCCCAGGATGATGTGTGTGAAGCAGCCTCCTCACTCTTTCTTCTCTGTCCCCTCTGTGTCTTTGTCTTCTCTGTGTCCTTCTCCCCTGTGTGCCTCTGTGTCTTTGTCTTCTCTGTGTGTCCTTCTCCCCTGTGTGCCTCTGTGTCTTTGTCTTCTCTGTGTCCTTCTCCCCTGTGTGCCTCTGTGTCTTTGTCTTCTCTGTGTCCTTCTCCCCTGTGTGCCTCTGTGTCTTTGTCTTCTCTGTGTCCTTCTCCCCTGTGTGCCTCTGTGTCTTTGTCTTCTCTGTGTCCTTCTCCCCTGTGTGCCTCTGTGTCTTTGTCTTCTCTGTGTCCTTCTCCCCTGTGTGCCTCTGTGTCTTTGTCTTCTCTGTGTCCTTCTCCCCTGTGTGCCTCTGTGTCTTTGTCTTCTCTGTGTGTCCTTCTCCCCTGTGTGCCTCTGTGTCTTTGTCTTCTCTGTGTCCTTCTCCCCTGTGTGCCTCTGTGTCTTTGTCTTCTCTGTGTGTCCTTCTCCCCTGTGTGCCTCTGTGTCTTTGTCTTCTCTGTGTGTCCTTCTCCCCTGTGTGCCTCTGTGTCTTTGTCTTCTCTGTGTCCTTCTCCCCTGTGTGCCTCTGTGTCTTTGTCTTCTCTGTGTGTCCTTCTCCCCTGTGTGCCTCTGTGTCTTTGTCTTCTCTGTGTCCTTCTCCCCTGTGTGCCTCTGTGTCTTTGTCTTCTCTGTGTCCTTCTCCCCTGTGTGCCTCTGTGTCTTTGTCTTCTCTGTGTGTCCTTCTCCCCTGTGTGCCTCTGTGTCTTTGTCTTCTCTGTGTCCTTCTCCCCTGTGTGCCTCTGTGTCTTTGTCTTCTCTCTGTGTCCTTCTCCCCTGTGTGCCTCTGTGTCTTTGTCTTCTCTGTGTGTCCTTCTCCCCTGTGTGCCTCTGTGTCTTTGTCTTCTCTCTGTGTCCTTCTCCCCTGTGTGCCTCTGTGTCTTTGTCTTCTCTCTGTGTCCTTCTCCCCTGTGTGCCTCTGTGTCTTTGTCTTCTCTGTGTCCTTCTCCCCTGTGTGCCTCTGTGTCTTTGTCTTCTCTGTGTCCTTCTCCCCTGTGTGCCTCTGTGTCTTTGTCTTCTCTGTGTCCTTCTCCCCTGTGTGCCTCTGTGTCTTTGTCTTCTCTGTGTGTCCTTCTCCCCTGTGTGCCTCTGTGTCTTTGTCTTCTCTGTGTGTCCTTCTCCCCTGTGTGCCTCTGTGTCTTTGTCTTCTCTGTGTGTCCTTCTCCCCTGTGTGCCTCTGTGTCTTTGTCTTCTCTGTGTGTCCTTCTCCCCTGTGTGCCTCTGTGTCTTTGTCTTCTCTGTGTGTCCTTCTCCCCTGTGTGCCTCTGTGTCTTTGTCTTCTCTGTGTCCTTCTCCCCTGTGTGCCTCTGTGTCTTTGTCTTCTGTGTGTCCTTCTCCCCTGTGTGCCTCTGTGTCTTTGTCTTTTCTGTGTCCTTCTCCCCTGTGTGCCTCTGTGTCTTTGTCTTCTCTGTGTGTCCTTCTCCCCTGTGTGCCTCTGTGTCTTTGTCTTCTCTGTGTCCTTCTCCCCTGTGTGCCTCTGTGTCTTTGTCTTCTGTGTGTCCTTCTCCCCTGTGTGCCTCTGTGTCTTTGTCTTCTCTCTGTGTCCTTCTCCCCTGTGTGCCTCTGTGTCTTTGTCTTCTCTGTGTGTCCTTCTCCCCTGTGTGCCTCTGTGTCTTTGTCTTCTCTCTGTGTCCTTCTCCCCTGTGTGCCTCTGTGTCTTTGTCTTCTCTGTGTGTCCTTCTCCCCTGTGTGCCTCTGTGTCTTTGTCTTCTCTGTGTGTCCTTCTCCCCTGTGTGCCTCTGTGTCTTTGTCTTCTCTGTGTCCTTCTCCCCTGTGTGCCTCTGTGTCTTTGTCTTCTCTCTGTGTCCTTCTCCCCTGTGTGCCTCTGTGTCTTTGTCTTCTCTGTGTCCTTCTCCCCTGTGTGCCTCTGTGTCTTTGTCTTCTCTCTGTGTCCTTCTCCCCTGTGTGCCTCTGTGTCTTTGTCTTCTCTGTGTCCTTCTCCCCTGTGTGCCTCTGTGTCTTTGTCTTCTCTGTGTCCGTCTCTCCCCTGTGTGCCTCTGTGTCTTTGTCTTCTCTGTGTGTCCTTCTCCCCTGTGTGCCTCTGTGTCTTTGTCTTCTCTGTGTGTCCTTCTCCCCTGTGTGCCTCTGTGTCTTTGTCTTCTCTGTGTCCTTCTCCCCTGTGTGCCTCTGTGTCTTTGTCTTCTCTGTGTCCTTCTCCCCTGTGTGCCTCTGTGTCTTTGTCTTCTCTGTGTCCTTCTCCCCTGTGTGCCTCTGTGTCTTTGTCTTCTCTGTGTCCTTCTCCCCTGTGTGCCTCTGTGTCTTTGTCTTCTCTGTGTCCTTCTCCCCTGTGTGCCTCTGTGTCTTTGTCTTCTCTGTGTCCTTCTCCCCTGTGTGCCTCTGTGTCTTTGTCTTCTCTGTGTCCTTCTCCCCTGTGTGCCTCTGTGTCTTTGTCTTCTCTCTGTGTCCTTCTCCCCTGTGTGCCTCTGTGTCTTTGTCTTCTCTCTGTGTCCTTCTCCCCTGTGTGCCTCTGTGTCTTTGTCTTCTCTGTGTCCTTCTCCCCTGTGTGCCTCTGTGTCTTTGTCTTCTCTGTGTCCTTCTCCCTGTGTGCCTCTGTGTCTTTGTCTTCTCTGTGTGTCCTTCTCCCCTGTGTGCCTCTGTGTCTTTGTCTTCTCTCTGTGTCTTTGTCTTCTCTGTGTGTCCTTCTCCCCTGTGTGCCTCTGTGTCTTTGTCTTCTCTGTGTCCTTCTCCCCTGTGTGCCTCTGTGTCTTTGTCTTCTCTGTGTGTCCTTCTCCCCTGTGTGCCTCTGTGTCTTTGTCTTCTCTGTGTCCTTCTCCCCTGTGTGCCTCTGTGTCTTTGTCTTCTCTGTGTGTCCTTCTCCCCTGTGTGCCTCTGTGTCTTTGTCTTCTCTGTGTCCTTCTCCCCTGTGTGCCTCTGTGTCTTTGTCTTCTCTCTGTGTCCTTCTCCCCTGTGTGCCTCTGTGTCTTTGTCTTCTCTGTGTGTCCTTCTCCCCTGTGTGCCTCTGTGTCTTTGTCTTCTCTCTGTGTCTTTGTCTTCTCTGTGTCCTTCTCCCCTGTGTGCCTCTGTGTCTTTGTCTTCTCTCTGTGTCCTTCTCCCCTGTGTGCCTCTGTGTCTTTGTCTTCTCTGTGTGTCCTTCTCCCCTGTGTGCCTCTGTGTCTTTGTCTTCTCTGTGTCCTTCTCCCCTGTGTGCCTCTGTCTGTCCCCTCTATGTCTCTGTCTCTCTCCCCTCTCTGTGTCTCACCGTGTCTGTGTCTCTGTCTGTGCAGATGGGGGACTCTCCAGTGGGGAGGACAGCAGTCATGGAAGTGAAAACCAGCTGGAACTGGATCTGCGCAGGACGTCCCGCAAACACAACCTCACACAGCAGAACGTGCGCAACATTCTCCGGGTGAGAGCACTCTCTTTCTGGTCTCTCTCTCTCTGGTCTCTCTCTTTGGTCTTTCTCTCTGGTCTAAGTCTCTGGTCTCTCTCTTTAGTCTCTCTCTGGTGTCAGTCTTTAGTCTCTCTCTCAGTCTCTGGTCTCTCTCTTTGGTCTTTCTCTCTGGTCTAAGTCTCTGGTCTCTCTCTTTAGTCTCTGGTCTCTCTCTTTGGTCTTTCTCTCTGGTCTAAGTCTCTGGTCTCTCTCTGGTGTCAGTCTTTGGTCTCTCTCTCAGTCTCTGGTCTCTCTCTTTGGTCTCTGGTCTCAGTCTTTGGTCTCTCTGGTCTCTCTCTCTGTCTCTGGTCTCTCTCTCTGCTCTCAGTCTCTGCTCTCTCTCTGGTCTCTCTCTTCAGTCTCTCTCTGGTCTCAGTCTTTGGTCTCTCTGGTCTCTCTCTCTGTCTCTGGTCTCTCTCTCTGGTCTCAGTCTCTGCTCTCTCTCTGGTCTCTCTCTTCAGTCTCTCTCTGGTCTCAGTCTTTGGTCTCTCTCTCAGTCTCTGGTCTCTCTCTTTGGTCTCTGGTCTCAGTCTTTGGTCTCTCTGGTCTCTCTCTCTGTCTCTGGTCTCTCTCTCTGGTCTCAGTCTCTGCTCTCTCTCTGGTCTCTCTCTAATCTAAGTTCTGGTCTCTCTGCAGGAGGTGATCACCCATGAGAAGGTGGTGGACATGATGAAAGCAGCAATCCGGGACACACAGGACCTGCCTCTGTTCGTAAGTACCATCTGTAACCTGCTGTCATCCACATGGTTTCCACATGGTCTCCACATGGTCTCAAACTGCTGTTGTCTGTCCTCGCAGGAGCCCAAAATGACCCGGTCCAGACTGAAGCAGGCCGTGGAGCAGGGACAGGTGAGGAGCGGACTGAGTGTGACATCACCAGTGTTAGTCTTCATGTTGATCCTTTTATGGATTTTATCTGGGTTTACAAAGACAAAATCTCACTAACAACAGCAGGATCACAGAGAGGGATCAGTAGCCAAACTTCACCATGAGCACTTCCCTATTGGGCTTCATTAAGCTAGAGCAGCCATTCCCAAACTTAGCAACACCGAGGCCCCCTTAAAAATCTGAAGGGTCTGCGTGGCCCCCCAAAATAATAACCAAGAAGACAACATTAAGAAAAGGCTCTTCTGGTTATTTTATTTTGGGGAAATAGCCTCTGCTACAAACATTGTAATACAAAAATGATTACAGTGGATTATTCAAGTCAAATAATGAACACAAATATTTTAATATTACAAACAAAACATTATAAATTTAACATTAAATAATAATATTATTTTTTTTATTTTTTTTATGACCTCCCGCGGCCCCCCTCCAGTACCCTCGCGGCCCACCAGGGGGCCGCGGACCCCACTTTGGGAGACACTGAGCTAGAGGGTTAGCATTGTCCGTCTGTATATGGGGGATGCCTGCAACAGATTTTACACATGACTCAACTTTATGCAACTTTGTTCTGTTGCAGAAAGTGAACTGGAGCCTCCCGGGGGTTGCAGCCACTAACAGGGTAAGTACTCAGAGAGACCAGAGAGAGACCAGAGAGAGACCAGAGAGAGACCAGAGAGAGACCAGAGAGAGACCAGAGAGAGACCAGAGAGAGACCAGAGAGAGACCAGAGAGAGACCAGAGAGAGACCAGAGAGAGGCCAGAGAGAGACCAAAGAGCAGACCAAAGAGAGAGTGGTGATTGGGTGGTCGGTCTGTGGTCTGGGTCCTGGACCTGGTCTGGGTCCAGGTCTGTGTGTGACTCTTGTTGTGGGTTCAGGCCTCGGGCTTCGTGGACATGGATTTGGAGGAAGAGGAGGACACGTCTGATGAAGAGTACTGTCCTGATGAAGAGGAGGAGGAGGACACCACAGACGAGGTTAGAGCACACAGTTAAAGCTGAGGGGTGTAACTTTAACACCACAGCCATAGGACCAGGAACGGCTGGTACCAGGAACGGCTGGTACCAGGAACGGCTGGTACCAGGAAGATGTGATTTACTTTATTATCTTCATTTTGTATTTATTTAATTTCTTTAAAACTTTATGTGTGTTGCAGATGCTGTTGAGTGATGGAGACAGTCTGGCCTCTCCCCTCAGACTGACCTGTCCCCAGAACCCAGACCAGACCCAAGTCCAGACCCCAGTCCAGACCCCAGCTGGGACCACACAGGGGACCACAGGGACCGCAGCAGATCCCGGGACCACAGAGCCTTTCTCGGACCCCCTCACAGACTCCTTCATCGACCGACTGAACGCTGTGGAGGAGGAGCTCAACTGCAGCTCTGACTTCTACTACCAGGTCTGAGTGTAGTCTCTCTGACTTCTACTACCAGGTCTGAGTGTAGTCTCTCTGACTTCTACTACCAGGTCTGAGTGTAGTCTCTCTGAGTTCTACTACCAGGTCTGAATGTAGTATCTCTGACTTCTACTACCAGGTCTGAATGTAGTCTCTCTGACTTCTACTACCAGGTCTGAGTGTAGTCTCTCTGACTTCTACTACCAGGTCTGAGTGTAGTCTCTCTGACTTCTACTACCAGGTCTGAGTGTAGTCTTTCTGACTTCTACTACCAGGTCTGAGTGTAGTCTCTCTGACTTCTACTACCAGGTCTGAGTGTAGTCTCTCTGACTTCTACTACCAGGTCTGAGTGTAGTCTCTCTGACTTCTACTACCAGGTCTGAGTGTAGTCTCTCTGACTTCTACTACCAGGTCTGAATGTAGTCTCTCTGACTTCTACTACCAGGTCTGAGTGTGGTCTCTCTGACTTCTACTACCAGGTCTGAGTGTAGTCTGTCTCTGACTACAACCAGGGAGAGAAGGAGAGACCAGAGAGTGGGAGAGACCAGAGAGTGGGAGAGACCAGAGAGACCGGAGAGTGGGAGAGACCGGAGACACCAGAGTGACCGGAGAGACCAGAGTGACCGGAGAGGGAGAGAGATCAGAACGAGAGGGAGAGAGATCAGAATGAGAGGGAGAGACCGGATAGGGAAAGAGATCAGAACGAGAGGGGAGACCAGAGAGGGAGAGAGATCAGAACGAGAGGGAGAGACTTGAGAATGAGAGAATGAAAGAGACAGGAAAGTGTGACCGGAGAGACTCAGACTGGAGAGGGACACCAGTGCGAGACCAGAATGAGGCCAGAGCGAGACCAGAATGAGGCCAAAGAGAGTGAGCATTGAGTGACCTTGAGATCATGAGAATTGTTTTGCTAAAGAACTGATCTACGGTGAATAAAAACGTTGACATCCGTGTTTCCCACAGGAGGACCCTCTGGCCTGTCGTACACGCTCAAAGCTCCCCCTGGTGGACGTTCCCATAAACCGTCTGGAGGCGGAGCTTCTGGCCCCTGACATCACAGCCGACATGTACGGCAGCCCCACACAGAAGACCAGGGACCCACACTGGACCCAGTGGCTCCAGGGTCTACTGGCCCCAGAGAACACAGGTACCGTCCAGAGAGAGACACCAGAGAGAGAGACCAGAGAGAGAGAGAGAGCATAGAGAGAGGCCAGAGAGAGAGAGGCCAGAGAGAGAGAGAGGCCAGAGAGAGAGAGAGGCCAGAGAGAGAGGCCAGAGAGAGAGACCAGAGAGAGAGAGGCCAGAGAGAGAGAGAGAGGCCAGAGAGAGAGAGAGGCCAGCGAGAGAGAGGCCAGAGAGAGAGAGAGAGAGGCCAGAGAGAGAGGCCAGAGAGAGAGAGAAGCCAGAGAGAGAGAGAGGCCAGAGAGAGAGGCCAGAGAGAGAGGCCAGAGAGAGAGGCCAGAGAGAGAGAGGCCAGAGAGAGAGAGGCCAGAGAGAGAGAGGCCAGAGAGAGAGAGAGGCCAGAGAGAGAGGCCAGAGAGAGAGGCCAGAGAGAGAGGCCAGAGAGAGAGAGAGGCCAGAGAGAGAGAGGCCAGAGAGAGAGAGAGGCCAGAGAGAGAGAGAGGCCAGAGAGAGAGAGGCCAGAGAGAGAGGCCAGAGAGAGAGGCCAGAGAGAGAGGCCAGAGAGAGAGGCCAGAGAGAGAGGCCAGAGAGAGAGACCAGAGAGAGAGAGAGGCCAGAGAGAGAGAGACCAGAGAGAGAGAGAGAGGCCAGAGAGAGAGAGAGGCCAGCGAGAGAGAGGCCAGAGAGAGAGGCCAGAGAGAGAGGCCAGAGAGAGAGAGAAGCCAGAGAGAGAGAGAGGCCAGAGAGAGAGGCCAGAGAGAGAGGCCAGAGAGAGAGGCCAGAGAGAGAGAGGCCAGAGAGAGAGAGGCCAGAGAGAGAGAGGCCAGAGAGAGAGAGAGGCCAGAGAGAGAGGCCAGAGAGAGAGGCCAGAGAGAGAGAGAGGCCAGAGAGAGAGGCCAGAGAGAGAGAGAGGCCAGAGAGAGAGAGGCCAGAGAGAGAGAGAGGCCAGAGAGAGAGAGAGGCCAGAGAGAGAGGCCAGAGAGAGAGGCCAGAGAGAGAGGCCAGAGAGAGAGAGAGGCCAGAGAGAGAGAGAGGCCAGAGAGAGAGAGAGGCCAGAGAGAGAGACCAGAGAGAGAGGCCAGAGAGAGAGACCAGAGAGAGAGACCAGAGAGAGAGAGAGTGACCTTAGAGAGAGAGGCCATGTGTGTAGTACTGTCTGTGCGGGGAGTGGACTATGTGGACCTCAGTCTCTCGTTGGGACAGAGCAGCAGAGAAGTGCTGTCTCTGTTTGGGTCGAGAGAAAAAGTACTTTTTCCTCCAGAGCTGAAATCTCACTCCTCCAAGAGTGACGAGGGAGAGAGCTGCTCAGGAGACAATACTCTGAACATGAGACCAGAAGGAGAGACCAGAGGGGGAGACCAGAGGGGGAGACCAGAGGGAGAGACCAGAGAGAGAGACCAGAGAGGGAGAGAGAGGCCAGAGAGAAGACCAGAGAGACCAGAGAGAGAGACCAGAGAGACCGACCAGAGAGACCAGAGGGGGAGACCAGAGGGGGAGACCAGAGGGGGAGACCAGAGGGGGAGACCAGAGGGGGAGACCAGAGGGGGAGACCAGAGGGAGAGGGGCCAGAGGGAGAGGGGCCAGAGAGAGGCCAGAGAGAGAGAGGCCAGAGAGAGAGAGGCCAGAGAGAGAGAGGCCAGAGAGAGAGAGGCCAGAGAGAGAGAGGCCAGAGAGAGAGAGGCCAGAGAGAGAGGCCAGAGAGAGAGAGACCAGAGAGAGAGAGGCCAGAGGGAGAGGGGCCAGAGGGAGAGGGGCCAGAGAGAGAGAGAGAGGCCAGAGGGAGAGGGGCCAGAGGGAGAGGGGCCAGAGGGAGAGGGGCCAGAGGGAGAGGGGCCAGAGAGAGAGAGGCCAGAGAGAGAGACCAAAGAGGGAGAGACCAAAGAGGGAGAGACCAGAGAGGGAGAGACCAGAGGGAGAGGGGCCAGAGAGAGAGAGGCCAGAGGGAGAGGGGCCAGTGAGAGAGGCCAGAGAGAGAGAGGCCAGAGAGGGAGAGGCCAGAGAGAGAGAGGCCAGAGAGGGAGAGGCCAGAGAGAGAGAGACCAGAGAGGGAGAGGCCAGAGAGAGAGGGGCCAGAGAGAGAGAGGCCAGAGAGAGAGAGGCCAGAGAGAGAGAGGCAAGAGAGAGGCCAGAGAGAGAGAGGCCAGAGAGAGAGAGGCCAGAGAGAGAGAGGCCAGAGAGAGAGAGGCCAGAGAGAGAGAGGCCAGAGAGAGAGAGGCCAGAGAGAGAGAGGCCAGAGAGAGAGAGGCCAGAGAGGGAGAGACCAGAGGGAGAGGGGCCAGAGAGAGAGAGGCCAGAGAGGGAGAGACCAGAGAGAGAGAGACCAGAGGGAGAAACCAGAGGGAGACTCCAGAGAGGGAGAGAGTGTCCAGAGAGGGAGAGAGTGTCCAGAGAGAGAGAGAGAGTCCAGAGGGAGAAACCAGAGGGAGAGTCCAGAGAGGGAGAGAGTGTCCAGAGAGGGAGAGAGTGTTCAGAGAGGGAGAGAGTGTTCAGAGAGAGAGAGAGAGTCCAGAGGGAGAAACCAGAGAGAGAGACCTTCTAACGTGTGTTGTGTGTTCAGAGGAGGCAGAGGATGAGGACGACCCTGAGTATAACTTTCTGGAGGACGTGGATGAACCGGACATGGAGGACTACAGGACCGACCGAGCCGTGCAGATCACGAGTGAGACTCACGACACACACTCGCAAAGTCACGACACACACCTCCAAAGTCACGACACACATGTCCAAAGTCACTACACACATGTCCAAAGTCACTACACACACCTCCAAAGTCACGACACACACTCGCAAAGTCACGACACACACCTCCAAAGTCACGACACACACCTCCAAAGTCACGACACACACCTCCAAAGTCACGACACACACCTCCAAAGTCACGACACACACCTCCAAAGTCACGACACACACCTCCAAAGTCACTACACACACTCCCAAAGTCACTACACACACTCCCAAAGTCACTACACACACTCCCAAAGTCACTACACACACTCCCAAAGTCACTACACACACATGAAAAGTCACTACACACACTCCCAAAGTCACTACACACACATCAAAAGTCACTACACACACTCCCAAAGTCATTACACACACATGAAAAGTCACTACACACACATCAAAAGTCACTACACACACTCCCAAAGTCATTACACACACTCCCAAAGTCACTACACACACACATCAAGTCACTACACACACTCCCAAAGTCACTACACACACTCCCAAAGTAACTACACACACTCCCAAAGTCACTACACACACTTCCAAAGTCACTACACACACTTCCAACCCCGCCTCACACACAGGTCCAAAGTCACTACACACACTTCCAAAGTCACTACACACACTTCCAACCCCGCCTCACACACAGGTCCAAAGTCACTACACACACTCCCAAAGTCACTACACACACTCCCAAAGTCACTACACACACTTCCAACCCCGCCTCACACACAGGCCCAAAGTCACTACACACACTTCCAACCCCGCCTCACACACAGGCCCAAAGTCACTACACACACTTCCAACCCCGCCTCACACACAGGTCCAAAGTCACTACACACACTTCCAAAGTCACTACACACACTCCCAAAGTCACTACACACACTCCCAAAGTCACTACACACACTTCCAACCCCGCCTCACACACAGGTCCAAAGTCACTACACACACTTCCAAAGTTACTACACACATTTCCAACCCCGCCTCACACACACTCCCAAAGTCACTACACACACTCCCAAAGTCACTACACACACTCCCAAAGTCACTACACACACTTCCAACCCCGCCTCACACACACTCCCAAAGTCACTACACACACTCCCAAAGTCACTACACACACTTCCAACCCCGCCTCACACACAGGTCCAAAGTCACTACACACACTCCCAAAGTCACTACACACACTCCCAAAGTCACTACACACATTTCCAACCCCGCCTCACACACACTTCCAAAGTCACTACACACACTTCCAAAGTCACTACACACACTTCCAAAGTCACTACACACACTTCCAAAGTCACTACACACATTTCCAAAGTCACTACACACACTTCCAAAGTCACTACACACACTTCCAACCCCGCCTCACACACAGGTCCAAAGTCACTACACACACTTCCAAAGTCACTACACACACTTCCAAAGTCACTACACACACTTCCAACCCCGCCTCACACACAGGTCCAAAGTCACTACACACACTCCCAAAGTCACTACACACACTCCCAAAGTCACTACACACACTCCCAAAGTCACTGTATACACACACTTCCAACCCCGCCTCACACACAGGTCCAAAGTCACTACACACACTTCCAACCCCGCCTCACACACAGGCCCAAAGTCACTACACACACTTCCAACCCCGCCTCACACACAGGTCCAAAGTCACTACACACACTTCCAAAGTTACTACACACATTTCCAACCCCGCCTCACACACACTCCCAAAGTCACTACACACACTCCCAAAGTCACTACACACACTTCCAACCCCGCCTCACACACAGGTCCAAAGTCACTACACACACTCCCAAAGTCACTACACACACTCCCAAAGTCACTACACACACTCCCAAAGTCACTACACACACTCCTAAAGTCACTACACACACTCCCAAAGTCACTACACACTCCCAAAGTCACTACACACACTCCTAAAGTCACTACACACACTCCTAAAGTCACTACACACACTCCCAAAGTCACTACACACACTTCCAACCCCGCCTCACACACAGGTCCAAAGTCACTACACACACTCCCAAAGTCACTACACACACTCCCAAAGTCACTACACACACTCCCAAAGTCACTACACACACTCCCAAAGTCACTACACACACTCCCAAAGTCACTACACACACTTCCAACCCCGCCTCACACACAGGTCCAAAGTCACTACACACACTTCCAACCCCGCCTCACACACAGGTCCAAAGTCACTACACACACTCCCAAAGTCACTACACACACTCCCAAAGTCACTACACACACTCCCAAAGTCACTACACACACTCCCAAAGTCACTACACACACTCCCAAAGTCACTACACACACTTCCAACCCCGCCTCACACACAGGTCCAAAGTCACTACACACACTACACACACCAAATAATTTGTGTTTATGACATAACTTATGCACTGGTGTCACTTTGTTTGGTGTCTCATGGTGTCTGTGCTTGTACCTGCTCTGTTCTGTGAGAGAATGGAGTTTCTGGTATCGTCTGTAACTGACACAACTCTAAATGTGTTTCAGAAAAGGAGGTGAACGAGCTGCTGGAGGAGTTCTTCGAGACGGTGAGGAGGAGTCGGCTCCTGGTCCACACAAACCTTTCTCATAATATTTAAAACAGGAAGTAAATGTTTGTGTGTGTGTGTGTCAGCTTCAGGAGCAGGCGGCTGAGGAAGAGGAGCGTGACGAAGCCGAGGAGGAAGACTTGTGTGTGCCCGGACCAGAGTTCAAAGTCCCTCAGTCTGTTTAGTGAGTGGACTCTCTCCCTCACTCCTCCTCAATTAATAAGGGTGTAATAGGAGAGAGAGACCAGAGAGAGAGACCAGAGAGAGAGACCAGAGAGAGAGACCAGAGAGAGAGACCAGAGAGAGAGACCATGTGTGCTGTCTCTGTTTGGGTCGAGAGAGAAAAGTACTTTTTGCTCCAGAGCTGAAATCTCACACAATACTCTGAACATGAGACCAGAAGGAGAGACCAGAGGGAGAGACCAGAGGGAGAGACCAGAGGGAGAGACCAGAGGGAGAGACCAGAGGGAGAGACCAGAGGGAGAGGCCAGAGGGAGAGGCCAGAGGGAGAGGCCAGAGAGAGAGGCCAGAGAGAGAGACCAGAGAGAGAGACCAGAGAGAGAGGCCAGAGAGAGAGACCAGAGAGAGAGACCAGAGAGAGAGACCAGAGAGAGAGACCAGAGAGAGAGACCAGAGAGAGAGGCCAGAGAGAGAGGCCAGAGAGAGAGACCAGAGAGAGAGACCAGAGAGAGAGACCAGAGAGAGAGACCAGAGAGAGAGACCAGAGAGAGAGGCCAGAGAGAGAGGCCAGAGAGAGAGGCCAGAGAGAGAGGCCAGAGAGAGAGACCAGAGAGAGAGACCAGAGAGAGAGACCAGAGAGAGAGACCAGAGAGAGAGACCAGAGAGAGAGGCCAGAGAGAGAGGCCAGAGAGAGAGTGACCTTAGAGAGAGAGTGACCTTAGAGAGAGAGACCAGAGAGAGAGAGAGGCCAGAGACAGAGAGGCCAGAGAGAGAGACCAGAGAGAGAGAGAGGCCAGAGACAGAGAGGCCAGAGAGAGAGACCAGAGAGAGAGACCAGAGAGAGAGACCAGAGAGAGAGAGAGTGACCTTAGAGAGAGAGGCCATGTGTGTAGTACTGTCTGTGCGGGGAGTGGACTATGTGGACCTCAGTCTCTCGTTGGGACAGAGCAGCAGAGAAGTGCTGTCTCTGTTTGGGTCGAGAGAAAAAGTACTTTTTCCTCCAGAGCTGAAATCTCACTCCTCCAAGAGTGACGAGGGAGAGAGCTGCTCAGGAGACAATACTCTGAACATGAGACCAGAAGGAGAGACCAGAGGGGGAGACCAGAGGGGGAGACCAGAGGGAGAGACCAGAGAGAGAGACCAGAGAGGGAGAGAGAGGCCAGAGAGAAGACCAGAGAGACCAGAAGGAGAGACCAGAGGGGGAGACCAGAGAGAGAGACCAGAGGGAGAGACCAGAGAGACCAGAGGGGGAGACCAGAGGGGGAGACCAGAGGGGGAGACCAGAGAGGGAGACCAGAGAGGGAGACCAGAGAGAGAGACCAGAGAGAGAGAGACCAGAGAGAGACCAGAGAGAGACCAGAGAGGGAGACCAGAGAGGGAGACCAGAGAGGGAGACCAGAGAGGGAGACCAGAGAGGGAGACCAGAGAGCGAGACCAGAGAGTGAGACCAGAGAGGGAGACCAGAGAGGGAGACCAGAGAGGGAGACCAGAGAGGGAGACCAGAGAGGGAGACCAGAGAGGGAGACCAGAGAGAGAGACCAGAGAGAGAGACCAGAGAGGGAGACCAGAGAGGGAGACCAGAGAGGGAGACCAGAGAGGGAGACCAGAGAGGGAGACCAGAGAGGGAGACCAGAGAGGGAGACCAGAGAGGGAGACCAGAGAGGGAGACCAGAGAGAGAGACCAGAGGGAGAGACCAGAGGGAGAGACCAGAGAGAGGGGCCAGAGAGAGAGAGAGGCCAGATAGAGCGGCCAGAGAGGGAGACCAGAGAGAGAGACCAGAGAGGGAGACCAGAGAGGGAGACCAGAGAGAGAGACCAGAGAGAGAGACCAGAGGGGGAGACCAGAGAGAGGGGCCAGAGAGGGAGACCAGAGAGAGAGAGAGGCCAGATAGAGGGGCCAGAGAGGGAGACCAGAGAGAGAGACCAGAGAGAGAGACCAGAGAGAGAGACCAGAGGGGGAGACCAGAGAGAGAGACCAGAGAGAGAGACCAGAGAGAGAGACCAGAGAGAGAGACCAGAGAGAGAGACCAGAGGGGGAGACCAGAGAGAGAGACCAGAGAGAGAGAGAGACCAGAGAGAGAGAGAGACCAGAGAGAGAGAGAGAGACCAGAGAGAGAGACCAGAGGGGGAGACCAGAGAGAGAGACCAGAGAGAGAGACCAGAGGGGGAGACCAGAGAGAGAGACCAATTTACATCTTAATGTGAACACATGGAGCATTAAAGATCAAACATAATCTTGTGTTTTAGCCCTGAGGATCAACAGAAGAATGTGACGAAGCCGAGTCAGCGACGAAGAGTTCTTCAGGACACAACCAACACCACACAACCCCCAGCACTGAACCAGTCCAGGAGCCAGGGACCCCAGCCTCAGCTATCAGCCAGCCAGGGGCCCCAGCCTCAGCCATCTGCCAGCCAGGGGCCCCAGCCTCAGCCAGCTGACAACAAGGGGCCCCAGCCTCAGCCATCTGCCAGCCAGGGGCCCCAGCCTCAGCCAGCTGACAACAAGGGGCCCCAGCCTCAGCCATCTGCCAGCCAGGGACCCCAGCCTCAGCTATCAGCCAGCCAGGGGCCCCAGCATCAGCTATCTGCCAGCCAGGGACCCCAGCCTCAGCGATCTGCCAGCCAGGGGCCCCAGCCTCAGCTATCTGCCAGCCAGGGGCCTCAGCCGCCTCTCAGCTCTTCTGGGACCCAGCCTCAGCCTTCAGCCTCAGACCCTGTGATGGAGACTGAGACCCTAACGCTGCGACTGAGCGACCCCCAGAGGAAACATCTGCAACAACAGATCCAGCAGGTACACCCCCCACCCCCCCTGACCCCGCCCAACCCTCGTGATCTCATGATTATGATTGAACTGTTGTGTTTGTGTTCGCCTCAGCACGTCCAGCTGCTGACACAGGTCCACCTCTTGACCAAAGACATCCAGGCTCTGCACCATGAAGCCGACATCACCAGAAACTTCCTGGTAAGAGCCACGCTGTGTGTGGTGTGTAAACGGAGAGGCAAGAGAGAGGCAAGAGAGAGAGAGGCAAGAGAGAGAGAGGCAAGAGAGAGAGAGGCAAGAGAGAGAGAGGCAAGAGAGAGAGAGGCAAGAGAGAGAGAGGAAAGAGAGAGAGGCCAGAGAGAGAGAGGCAAGAGAGAGAGAGGCAAGAGAGAGAGAGGCCAGAGAGAGAGGCCAGAGAGAGAGGCCAGAGAGAGAGGCCAGAGAGAGAGAGGCAAGAGAGAGAGAGGCCAGAGAGAGAGAGGCCAGAGAGAGAGAGGCAAGAGAGAGAGAGGCCAGAGAGAGAGAGGCCAGAGAGAGAGAGGCCAGAGAGAGAGGCCAGAGAGAGAGAGGCAAGAGAGAGAGAGGCCAGAGAGAGAGAGGCCAGAGAGAGAGAGGCAAGAGAGAGAGAGGCCAGAGAGAGAGAGGCCAGAGAGAGAGAGGCCAGAGAGAGAGAGGCCAGAGAGAGAGAGGCCAGAGAGAGAGAGGCAAGAGAGAGAGAGGCAAGAGAGAGAGAGGCCAGAGAGAGAGAGGCAAGAGAGAGAGAGGCAAGAGAGAGAGAGGCAAGAGAGAGAGAGGCCAGAGAGAGAGAGGCCAGAGAGAGAGAGGCCAGAGAGAGAGAGGCCAGAGAGAGAGAGGCAAGAGAGAGAGAGGCAAGAGAGAGAGAGGCAAGAGAGAGAGAGGAAAAGAGAGAGAGGCCAGAGAGAGAGAGGCAAGAGAGAGAGAGGCAAGAGAGAGAGAGGCCAGAGAGAGAGGCCAGAGAGAGAGGCCAGAGAGAGAGGCCAGAGAGAGAGAGGCAAGAGAGAGAGAGGCCAGAGAGAGAGAGGCCAGAGAGAGAGAGGCAAGAGAGAGAGAGGCCAGAGAGAGAGAGGCCAGAGAGAGAGAGGCCAGAGAGAGAGAGGCCAGAGAGAGAGAGGCCAGAGAGAGAGAGGCAAGAGAGAGAGAGGCAAGAGAGAGAGAGGCCAGAGAGAGAGAGGCAAGAGAGAGAGAGGCAAGAGAGAGAGAGGCAAGAGAGAGAGAGGCCAGAGAGAGAGAGGCCAGAGAGAGAGAGGCCAGAGAGAGAGAGGCCAGAGAGAGAGAGGCAAGAGAGAGGCAAGAGAGAGAGAGGCAAGAGAGAGAGAGGCAAGAGAGAGAGAGGCAAGAGAGAGAGAGGCCAGAGAGAGAGAGGCCAGAGAGAGAGAGGCCAGAGAGAGAGAGGCCAGAGAGAGAGAGGCCAGAGAGAGAGAGGCAAGAGAGAGAGAGGCCAGAGAGAGAGAGGCCAGAGAGAGAGAGGCCAGAGAGAGAGAGGCCAGAGAGAGAGAGGCAAGAGAGAGAGAGGCCAGAGAGAGAGAGGCCAGAGAGAGAGAGGCCAGAGAGAGAGAGGCCAGAGAGAGAGAGGCCAGAGAGAGAGAGGCCAGAGAGAGAGAGGCAAGAGAGAGGCCAGAGAGAGAGAGGCCAGAGAGAGAGAGGCAAGAGAGAGAGAGGCCAGAGAGAGAGAGGCCAGAGAGAGAGAGGCCAGAGAGAGAGAGGCCAGAGAGAGAGAGGCCAGAGAGAGAGAGGCCAGAGAGAGAGAGGCCAGAGAGAGAGAGGCCAGAGAGAGAGAGGCCAGAGAGAGAGAGGCCAGAGAGAGAGGCCAGAGACAGAGAGGCAAGAGAGAGAGAGGCAAGAGAGAGAGAGGCAAGAGAGAGAGAGGCAAGAGAGAGAGAGGCAAGAGAGAGAGAGGCCAGAGAGAGAGGCCAGAGAGAGAGAGAGAGGCAAGAGAGAGAGAGGCAAGAGAGAGGCCAGAGAGAGAGGCAAGAGAGAGAGAGGCAAGAGAGAGAGAGGCCAGAGAGAGGGAGAGGCCAGAGAGAGGAGAGAACGCCACACATACAGGTCTCTAATCTCTCTCTGTGTATGTGATGCACTGCCCTCATCTGCCTGCAGGGGGAGCTGGACCTCTTCTGGCATATTCTGTACTGGACTCTTCTCTCTTCTGCAGGCAAGTTGCTCAGTGGGTTGTTTGCTCAGGTGTGTAAAGCCTGCAGGGAGAGGACAATGGGGCCCACACCTGGCCCAGGAGGAGAGGGAAAACCCCAAAAATATGTTTGTAAAAAAAGTAAATGACTGTAAACAAAACCTAAAAAACCTGGCAGAAAAGAGCAGGGGCCTCCGGTAACCTGCAGGGGCCGAGCGGGCAGATGGCCGCGCCGTCAGCCTGCAGGGGAGCTGACTTGGACCCCTCTTCTGCAGCAGGCATTGCCTTGCTCTCATGAGTCAAAAATGTAAGAGTTGCTCCGTGTGTTAAAACCTGCAGAAAAAAAACAAACCTGACAGCAGAGAAGAGGGGGCGGACCTCTATTCTATGGGAGCTGGCACCTCTCTATCTGCGCACAAGCAATCAAGTTGCTCATGTGTAAAACCTGCAAGAGGTGGCTTTTTGCGGCTACAGGATCATGTGGTGTAACCTTCAGCCAATCCGAGCAGCAATATGAGCCCTCTGCAGAGGAGTGAGAGGGCTGCAGGGCAAGGGGCAGAAGGCCCGCAGAAGAACCCTGCAGCCAGCCGGGCAAAACCTGCTGCAGCCCCGCTCTGGAGCACTTGAGGAGCAGAATCAAGGCGAAACCCCAGAGATGTCAAGAATCATAACTCGCAAAACACGCGCAGAGACAGAAAATAAAACCAAACACACAAAAGGTCACAACGAAACAAAAACCCCCAACATAGCGAACACACATGAACACGTTGAGAAAAACAACACTGACTTGGCACGACATCTAACGGACACTATCCATACTAATGCATCGTCCCATGATGACCGCTAAAATCACGAACTTAGTAGGAGCAACACCTAACACTCTCACAACAAAAAAAAAAAAAACACTTCTCCAGATTATGTCAAAGACATCAAACACAAACGCAAAACAACTCAACGAAAAACAGCACACTAAACAAAGAAGTTCCACAGAACTTATTCCAAAATGTATTGGTCACACACCCACAGAGATTCCTCAAAAACAGTCAAAACAAAAACACTGACAACTAGACAACCAGAAACAATCAACAACCACGTATGACAAAACACACAGAAACACGGCTATTTTGCCCATCGCACCCATGTCAACTTCTCTATCACTCACCAACACAATCTCACTAGCTAACACTTGACACAGTCCAAAGGTCTGTCACACACAACACCTCCATATCTAGTCAACTAACAACACTAAAGAAAAAACGCCTCGTTACTAAGATTTCACACCAAAGTTCCACCAGTCACTAACAACCACAGCTCAACACTCACTGACGCAACATCATTAACAATTGTCACACTGAAAGAAACACCACAAAATGTCACAACTAACTAGAGTCAAAACTTAGTCTCACTCCACTCAACAAATGTCACACTATCCAGTCCACATCTCCAGAGTCAACACTCAATAGACACGTAGCCCATTTTACACTTAAACAACTCAAATGTCCACAACACAAAAGCAAACAACACAAAGATGTCCCAACTAAACACGAAACACGTCCACGTAAATAAACACGTCGACACAAGGACAAACTCCCAAAAACAACAAACATCAGAAAACACACAGAACACTAAAACACAAGCAAATAGATGGTCAAATCCAACTACAGAAATGCCAACACGTCCACGTCACCAAAATCACTGGGACACACAACACAGAGGCTCTGCACCGACCCCCCCTCTGCCTCCCTGCTGCAGCCTCTGATGGTGCCTCTGCTGGGGCCGTGAAGCGCTGGCTGCCCTCCATGACCCCCATCACCAGCGGTGCGTCCGGTTTCATGTCTGGTTTTAAATACGTTTGTTGGCTGTGAGTTTGGATGCACTCGATTAACACTGTATTCTCCAAACATCGCCCTGTGACCGGAGACGACAGCAGAACTTACTCCATGAGTCTCGCTCTGGTCTCTCTCTCTCTCTGCTCTCTCTCCCTGTTCTCGCTCTCTCGGCTCTCTCTCTCTGCTCTCTCTCTCTGGTCTCTCTCTCTGCTCTCTCTCTAGTCTCTCACTGGTCCCTCACAATGGTCTCTCTGTCTGCTCTCTCTCTCTCTCTCTGCTCTCGCTCTGCTCTCTCTCTCTCTCGGGTCTCTCCCTGCTCTCTCTCCCTGCTCTCTCCCTTCTCTCTCTGCTCTCTCTCCATGCTCTCTCTCTCTGCTCTCTCTCTCTCTGCTCTCTCTCTCCCTGCTCTCTCTCTCCATGCTCTCTCTCCATGCTCTCCCTCTCCTCTCTCTCTCCTCTCTCTCTCTGCCCTCTCCTCTCTCCCATCCCTCCTCTCTCTCTGCACTCCTGTCTCTCCTCTCTCTCCGTCCTCTCCCTGCTCTCTCCTCTCTCTCCTCTCACTCTCACTCTCTCCTCCTCTCTCTCCCTCTCGCCTCTCCCTCTCTCTCTCTCTCACTCCGCTACTCTCTCCTCTCTCTCTCTCCGCCTTCTCTCCTCACTCTCTCTCTCACTCTCTCTCTCGTCTCTGCTCCGGTCTCTCCTCTCCTCACTCTCGTCTCCTCTCTCTCCTCTGCTTCCTCGTCTCTCCTCTGACTCCTCTCATCTCCTCTCTGTCTCCTCGTCTCTCCTCCTCATCTATCTCTCTCTCTCGCTCTCTCTCTCCTCTCTCGGCTCCTCTCTCTCCTCTCTCTCGCCCTACTCCTCACTCTCCTCCGATCTCTCCCTCTCTTCTCACCCTCCTCCTCTCCTCCTCCTCTCCTCACTCTCTCTCTCGTCTCTCCTTCGCTCTCTCTCCCTCGACTCCTCTCTCTCCCATCACTCCTCCTCTCTCTCCTCTGCTCCTCTCTCCTCTCACTCTCCTCAGCTCGCCTCCTCTCCCTCCTCTCTCTCTCCCCTCTCCTCTCTCTCTCTGCTCCTCCTCTCTCTCTCTTCAGATCTCCTCTTCTCTCCTCTTCCTCTACTCTCTCTCAGTCTCGCCTCACGTCCATCTCTCTCTCTCTCTATCTTACCCCTCTCTTCTCACTCCCGCTCATCTCTCCTGGCTCCTCTCCGTCCCTCTCCTCTGTCCCCCTACACTCTTCTCTCTCTCCTCCCCTCCTCCTCTCCTCGTCTCTACTCCTCTCTCGCCCTTCGACTCTCTGCTCCTCCGTCCCTCTCGCTATCCGCCTCCTCTCTCAGCCCTCAACAAGATCCTCTCTCTCCCTCTCTCTCTCTCTCGTACACTCAATCGCTCCTCTCCTCTCCTCTGCTCTCTCCTCTCTCTCTCTCTCCTCTCGTCCCTCTCTCCTTCGCCCTTCTCCATCATCTCCCACTCCACTCTCGTCCTCCCTCTCCCTCTCCCCCTCCTCTCCTCTTCTCTCTCTCCTCTCTCCCTCTCTCCCCCTCTCTCTCCTCTCGCTCCTCTCCTCCCTCTCTCTCCGCTCCTCCCCTCTCCCTCCTCTTCTCCTCCCTCTCTCCTCTCTCCCTCTCTCCTCCCTCTCTCCTCACTCAACTCTGCTCTCCTCTCCACTCCTCGCCTCTCCACCCTCGTCTCACTCCTCCTCCTCCTCTCCTCCTCTCTCCCCTCTCCCTCTCCTCCCCTCTCCTCTCTCGTCCTCTCCCCTCTCTCTCCTCTCTCCACTCCTCCCTCTCTCTCCTCATCCCCTCTCGTCTCCATCTCTCTCCCGTCCTCGCTCACTCCTCGTCTCCTCCTCATCCACTCTCCCCTATCCTCCTCTCATCCTCTCCTCCGTCCTCCACTCTCCTCTCTCTCCTCCCCGTCACTCTTCCCATCCTCTCTCTCCCTCTCTCCCCCTCTCCTCTAGCTCCCTCTCCTCCTTCCTCATCTCCTCCTCCCTCTCTCTCACCCTCTCACTCTCGCTCCTCTCCTCCTCTCTCCTCTCTCGTCTCCCTCCCCTCTCTCGCTCCCTCTCGCTCCTCCCTCTACTCTCCTCTCTCCCTCCCCTCTCCCTCCTCCCATCTCCTCCTCTCTTACTCTCCCTCCTCCTCTCCCACTCCCCCTCTCTCTCCCTCTCCATTCGTCTCTCTCCCCTCTCTCCTCCTCTCTCTCCGCTCCTCTCTCCACCTCCTCTCCTCTCTCCCTCACTCCTCCCTCCTCCACTCTCCCCTCTGCTCTCACCCCTCCCTCTCTCCTCGCCTCCTCCTCCTCTCTGCTCTCCTCCCTCACTCTCCCTCTCTCTTCCTCCTCTCCTCCGCTCTCTCCTCCACTCTCTCCCCTCTCCTCTCCTCTCACCCTCTCTCCCTCCACCCCTCTCCCCTCCTCTCCTCTCTCTCCCCTCCTCTCCCTCTCTCCTCCTCTCCGCCTCCTCTCGTCCTCCTCTCCTCCTCTCCTCCTCTCCCTCTCTCCTCTCTCCCCTCCCTCCCTCTCTCTCCTCTCCCTCCCTCCTCTCTCCTCATCCTCTCCTCCTCTCCCCTCTCCTCTCCTCTCCCTCTCTCTCCTCTCCTCCTCCCCTCTCTCTCTCCCTCCCCTCCTCTCCTCCCTCTCCCCTCTCTCTCCTCCTCTCTCCTCCTCGCTCTCCTCTCCTGCTCCTCTCTCCCCCTCTCCTCTCCTCCTCACTCCCCTCCTCTCTCCCTCTCCCCTCCTCTCTCTCTCTCCCCTCCTCCTCTCCTCTCGCTCTCTTCTCCCTCCTCTTCCTCCTCTCTCTCCTCTCTCCTCCCCTCTCCTCTCTCCTCCCCCTCTCCTCTCCTCCCTCCCTCTCCCTCCTCTCTCCTCCTCTCCCTCTCTCTCCTCTCTCTCCTCCCTCTCTCCTCTCCCCTCCTCTCCTCCTCTCCTCTCTCCTCTCTCCCTCTCCTCCTCTCTCTCCCTCTCTCCTCCTCCTCTCCCTCCTCCTCTCCTCCTCTCTCCTCCTCTCCTCTCTCCCCTCCCTCCTCTCTCTCCTCTCTCCCCTCTCTCCTCTCTCCTCTCCTCTCCCTCCTCCTCCCTCTCCTCCTCTCTCCCTCTCTCCCTCTCCTCCTCTCTCCTCCTCTCTCCTCTCCTCCTCCTCCTCTCTCCTCCTCCCCTCTCCTCTCTCCCCTCCTCCTCCTCCCTCTCTCCCTCCTCTCTCTCTCCTCTCCCTCTCTCCTCCCTCCCTCTCCTCTCTCTCTCCTCTCACTCCTCTCTCCCTCCTCTCCCCTCTCTCTCCTCCTCTCCCTCTCTCCTCTCTCCTCTCTCCTCCTCTCCTCTCTCTCCTCCTCCTCTCTCTCCCTCTCTCCTCCTCCTCTCCTCTCTCCCTCCTCTCTCTCCCTCTCTCCTCCTCTCCTCTCTCCTCTCTCCTCTCTCCCCCTCCTCTCCTCCTCTCTCCTCCTCTCCCTCTCTCCCTCTCCTCTCTCTCTCTCCTCTCTCCTCCTCTCCCTCTCTCTCCCTCTCTCCTCTCTCTCTCCCTCCTCCTCTCCTCTCTCTCCTCCTCTCCTCTCCCCTCTCTCCTCTCTCCTCCCTCTCTCTCTCCCTCTCCTCTCCTCCTCTCTCCTCTCCCTCTCCTCCTCTCCTCTCCTCTCTCCTCCTCTCCTCTCCCTCTCTCCTCTCTCCTCTCCCTCTCTCTCCCTCTCCTCTCTCTCCTCTCTCTCTCCCTCTCCTCTCTCCCTCTCTCCTCTCCTCTCTCCTCTCTCCTCTCCTCCTCCTCTCCTCCTCTCCTCTCTCCCTCTCTCCCTCCTCTCTCCTCCCTCCTCTCCTCTCCTCTCTCCTCTCTCTCCTCCCTCTCTCCTCCTCTCCTCTCTCTCCTCCTCTCCTCCTCTCTCCTCTCCTCTCCCTCTCTCCTCCTCTCTCCTCTCCTCTCCCTCCTCCTCTCTCCTCTCCTCCTCCCTCTCCTCCTCTCCTCTCCTCTCCTCTCTCCTCTCCCCTCCTCTCCTCTCTCCCCTCTCCTCTCTCCTCTCCTCTCCTCCTCTCCTCTCTCCTCTCTCCTCCCTCCTCTCCTCCTCTCCTCTCCTCCCTCCTCTCCTCTCTCTCCCTCCCTCTCCTCCTCCTCTCTCCTCTCCTCCTCCCTCCTCTCTCCTCCTCTCCTCTCCTCCTCTCCCTCTCTCCTCTCCTCCTCTCTCCTCCCTCTCTCTCTCCCTCTCTCCTCTCTCCTCTCTCCTCCTCTCTCCCTCCTCTCTCCTCTCCCTCTCTCCCTCTCCCTCCTCTCCTCTCTCCTCTCTCTCCTCCTCTCTCCCTCTCTCCTCTCCTCTCCCTCCTCTCCTCCCTCTCTCCTCCTCTCTCCTCCCCTCTCCTCTCCTCCCTCTCTCCTCCTCTCTCTCCTCCTCCTCTCCCTCCTCTCTCCTCTCTCTCCTCTCCTCTCCCCTCCTCCTCCTCTCCTCTCTCCTCTCCTCTCTCTCTCCTCCCTCTCCTCCTCTCCCCTCTCCTCTCTCCTCCTCTCCCTCTCTCCTCTCCCTCTCCTCTCTCTCCTCTCTCCCTCTCCTCTCTCTCCTCTCTCCTCCCTCTCCTCCTCCTCCTCTCCTCCTCCCTCTCCTCTCCTCCTCTCTCCTCTCTCCCTCCTCTCTCCTCCTCCTCTCCTCCTCTCCCCTCTCTCCTCTCTCTCCTCCTCTCCCTCCTCTCTCCTCTCTCCTCCTCCCCTCTCTCTCCTCTCCCTCCTCTCTCCTCTCCTCTCCCTCTCCTCTCTCTCCTCCCTCTCCTCCTCCTCTCTCCTCTCCTCTCCCTCCTCTCCTCTCTCTCTCTCCTCCTCTCCTCTCTCCTCTCCTCCTCTCCCTCCTCTCCCTCCTCTCCCTCTCCTCCTCCTCTCCTCTCCTCCTCTCTCCTCTCCTCCTCCTCTCCCTCCTCTCTCCCTCTCTCCTCCTCTCCCTCCTCCTCTCCTCTCCTCTCCTCTCTCCTCCCTCCTCCTCTCCCTCCTCTCCTCTCTCCTCTCTCTCCTCCTCCCTCCT